GCAACCATGCTCTTCCAAGAGGGGATCCCACTCGCATATTCGATTCATCCTCTATAGAATTACATTTTGTGGATAACACAGAAGTGGGACCTGCCTTAGGAGTATCGGCGGTCCCATTTAAAAATTCAACCCATGCGCTTTCATCTCTTCCGGGGTTGCCAGACGATCTCCCATGTAAGCAGTCTTCATTCCGTCAGCAGAAAGAATGACTCGAACGCCGGGGGGTGGCACGGGTTTACTTGATTTACAGTCACGCTTGTAGTGACCCTTTGCTCCACATTCGAAGCAGGTGACGTTATCGTTTGATCGGCGTATGTTTTGCCTTCTTTTGTCAACATCCATCACATCAGGATCTCGGGAACCTCCACAGTAATGAATAAACTTTCGTTCATACCAAGATTCCTTCCCTTCAAGGATATGTTTGGTTGTGATCGCGGTTCTCGCCTCACCAGCACACTGGATCCACTCTATAACGGTGGAGGGGGTATGTCCAGAGTTAAGAACCCATTCGCGATATTCTTTGTTTAACCCTTTTCTGAAGAAGATCCCTGCTTCACGTGATTCTTCTTTGAGTTGGGCCTTGTTAACCAACCCCGTAAATTCGGCAATATACGCTTCCAGTTCTCTTTTTCCTTGGGAAATGTCGGAGAGCCACAAAATTGCGAGTGCTGTCTGATCGCCTGACTCGAACGTGGCTTTAAGCCGTTCCACGAACCTCTGAAATGTATCAGAGTACCAGATGGAACCATCCAAAAGCTTGTTCTCGTTTTGGTAATTTTTGGCGAACGATACGGCGGCTCCTTTCGTCATATACGTAAGGGTGAAAGAGATCTTGAGCAATTCCATGTTGTACACGTGCTTGTTAAGGTTGAGATAACCTTCCACTTGGGTAATCCAAGTCTGAAGCCTGTTGTGGCTTCCGTCGTATTCTCCAGGACGCCCGACGTTAAACTCCCTTCCTCCATTGGGTGGGCGGACATCGTATGAGTTGTCGCCATCTTCGGCTGGGGCCTTACCCTTACTGGACCCACCGACAGGGCCCTCTGGGGGAATTACCTTTCCGAAATTTCTGGCGTACCAAGCTCGTAGAGCCGAGTCTGTAGGTGTTCCTGTTGGGAAGGGATCACTCGACTGACCTGTACCGGCAATCTTGCGCCAGTCTTCTGCCAAAGAGTGCATCTGTCTTTCCAACCTCTCTTTCAGCTCCGCTTCGGAGTATACCTTTGGCGGCATCTCAGGGGCTGACTCTCCATGTCCGATCATCATAGACATAACAGGTAACGATTGTGCTTCTTGTTCTTCTTTGAGGACTGATCCGAGAGAAGTGTCGGACTTCCGATCGTCTTCTTCTTCTGAACTAAGAGCGACTTCCGAATCCCTAAACCGGGACAAATAAGATAACCGAGGATTACTTGCTGTGGCTGACGGCCCAAGTCTTCCTGGTATCAGCAGCAAAGGCGGGTTCCTACCGAGTCCTAGCGGGGTGTTACGTGGAGGGACCGGTGGCCTCGACTTCTGGGGGTTAGACACTTTAACGAGAAGTGATAACGAAGGCTGAGGGAGGATTTATTTCTTGAAAGAAACCTGTCAGCGTAGTAGAAGTTTTATGAGGGTGCGCGAGTGTTTTTACACATAGGGAAACACGAGCGCTGGCTCTAGGGAGGCGATCTATTAAAGCCTAGTGGCTGCCTGTAGAGCGGTGAATTTGGTTGAGGGTAGAGGGATGCTTCTCAATTTCGCTGTCGGGTATTAATCCGATTTGAGAGGCGTAGACAAAGGCAAGTTAGTCTTTTACGTGTAGGGAGACCGACGAGCCTTCTTTATTTGAGACGAAGATTTGGTTTGTTGAAGTTCAGAAACCAGGGACGAGTAGACTTTCGCAAAGAGGTCAACGAGTCCCAAAAGCTGCGTTGAGTTTTTCGATTTTGTTATGCCTGGGCACGGTGACTTCTTCAAATGGAATAGGCACGAAGCACGCGAGGTGGGAGTCTACAGGCCGAACGTATTGTAACCCCTATGGCTGAGTTATTGCGAAGATCTGACAAAGGTCTTCTCTCCATGCAATAACCCTAACGGTTTGCCAGTAGACAAGACCTTTGTCGGATCTTCGCAATAACTCAGCCATAGGGGTTACGATACGTTCGGCCCATAGACTCCCACCTCACGTGCTTCGTGCCTATTCCATTTGAAGAAGTCACCGCGCCCGGGCATAACAGAGACAGTTAATTAGCATTCTTGAGCCTCACTTAGTCTGCGTGTTCAGGGTAGATCAGTGGACATGGAATTGAAAGAAACTATGTATCACCACAATAGTCAGTATGTGTGAAACATTATATGAGCCGTAGTGGAGGTATCACTATTTCTTTTGTCTAGTAATGCAGGTAACCCTTGCTGGAACAGCCCCAATGCCTTCCTCCATCACCTTAGCCTGTCCTTGGGTTTCTTTCTTGCCTTTCTTAGTGGCCTTGGAGGAATGGCTGCTCACTAAGGCTGGCATGACAACAAGGGGGTCGAGAGGATTCAGATGGGTCAAAACAGATGGTTGGGAGCTGCCGAGAGAAAGAGTGGAGAGGGGAAGGGAGAGTTCCGAACTGGTTGCCAACACAATCACTGACTGCGAAGGAGAGACAGTCCTGGCCTCTAGAACAGAAATACTAAGGTTTGTATTTGGCTGAATAGCACTGGAGATGGAAGTGCCATTCCCCCAGGCAGTGCTGGCAGTGCTGAGCGAGTTCATATGTATCTGAGGAGGAGGGAAGTCTTCAGCTTGAATGGTGCTGGTGAGAATGGAAGGGTGTGTAGCTGACTGGCTGGTGACAGGGACAGTGGGAGGGTTCGAGTTTACCTCTGCAGTCCCACCGACACCTCCAAGTTGTGCCAAGATATCATCTTCCCAGCTTCTCGGCGCCTCAACAGAATCTTCAGCTTTGGGAGGTGGTTGTTGGGATCCATCACATCGGTTTGCACCAAAGACAGCATTATCAAAGTGCTCAAAGATCCCCAAAGCCCACTTCTTGTTCTCTTGTTTTTGGAGCAGCTCTATATAGAATTCGAAGTCCTTCTCGTATGAAATTCCAGTTTGACTACCAGTAGATGAGAATTCATCATCCCCAGAGAGCAGGAAGCAGGCCTAGCAATGTATGATGAGTGGGTGGCTGTCAGTGCAGGTAGGATGTAATTTGACTCATGAATGTACAACAAATTGCGATGATGCCCTCTGGCGTTGTTGTCACCTTCAATTTCTGACCCCTGCCAGGTGGACCACCTTTTTTCTTGCCTGTCAGGATGCCTTTTCCGAAGTGCAACACACATGCAATCTAATATAACAAGACAATCAGCTGTGAGCGTGTCCAATACATTCAGCCAGGAAGTGGTTTACCTGAGTGAGTGCCTTGTTTTTGAAGAGGCCAGAGACATTCATTGCTGATGGGTCTTCAAAAAGGATTGGTGCAAGTGGTGTATATGCCTCATCATGGTTTGCTGGGTTTTGCTTGAGGAGTGACAAAAAGGCAGGATTGTCCATTCTCTTTCTCCAGTTGCTGAGTGCCACCGGATCCAGTCCTGGACTCAAATGAGTGAAGAGTTGTGTGACGGAGTCCTTGACAGGTTTAAGAATGTTGCCATGTTCGCCATTCACTGTGGATGTGAACTGTGAGAAGCAATAGTTAGCAATCGTTTGCTGGATTAGGTATTCTTCACTTACAAGTTGCTCGAAGTGTTCATACTTCATAGTCTGAGCCCAAAGCTCAGGGGGAACCATAAGGTAAAGTTTGGCACCGTTAGCAATGGCCTTGGACTCAGGAGTTTGATAATGTATCAGATCATGTAAATCAAAGTTGGGAGGGCATGTGCAAAGAGGGAAGATGCTGCTAGGGACCCATAAGTGATAAAAGTAAGCATACTTCTTTGCTAGGGTGACGATGGTGGCATCCAGCAGGCCTTGAGTGATCGACTTGAGGGCCCAGGATTGCACTCTGGGTGCTACCTTGGCCTTAAATTTGTTTAGCTCGTTCCTCGTCTTTATTAGTTCCTCTCATAGGTGATTAAAGGAGACCTGCACTTGGCCCAGTGCCTAGTAGTGGTAGTCAGTAATATTCAGTTTTGTAGGCAGGTCAGAACGCATACCTGGCACAACTCAGCAGGGCTCACATCCAGTGCAGGGGTAGCCATAACCCTTCGCACCTCATCAAGTTCCCTGTCCAAGTTAGCACCTGCACCTCTGGCCGCCCCATGGTTTGCTGCACATGGGACATCCTCATCATTATCAGTATTCTCATCAAGGCTATCATGGCCCACAGCATCGATATCTAGAGTAAAATCCTCAGACATCGCTGGAAACTGGTAAAACAGACCTAGTCAAGGTTGCAGCTGATGTTCTGTGACCAGCATGTAACAAATTGGGGGTGAGGTCCTTGTACTAAATGTTGGCGCCAAGCAGATCCCTTTGAAGGGTGTTCAATGAGGCAAAAGACGGAAATGAAGTTGACTAACTGTTTACACCAGTGCAACATTGTTGAGGTATCTTATTACCTACCAGTAGAGCATACCAAGTTAGAATGGCAGCCAGGAGAACCAATCAGAATGGCAATAAGAGCAGACTCACCATTTGAATGTGTCTGTAGGAGTAATACCATTTGTTGTAGTCCAGATAAAGGCCCCACCACCACTGCTTCGATGTTATTGAGTTGACATGATGTCAGTAAACATGCAATATTATGACTCAAGAGATCGGAATTAGTAACTCAAAACATAGCGACAACAATTTGAAGGATAAACTGTATCATTGTTAGAGATCCAGTGAGAGATTCAGAATACACTAGCACAGAGCATTGGTATGAGGAAAAGAGAGCAGCTATCTAAAGTACAATATAATGTTTCCTTACTCCTGGTCTAGATGATGCCCATTCCACTCGTTGACACGACGAAACATGTCTCCATCAATGTGCTCCACCACAAAATATTTGTCTTTATATTTGGGGTCAGGGTACAGCAATGCTCCCCTAATGGATGAATATCGACACTGTGTGGGGACATGCTTTAATGCACATGAGCCTGAAGGCATTGTTGAAGGAGCTGTGAGCCGCATTGATGTTGGCTGTATAGGGGTGAATGAGAGCAAATTGATAGGTGCTGAAGTCAGGAATATTGCACGAAAACATGAATACCAAGCGAGCAAAAGCAATCTCACTATGTGAAAGCTGAAAGAGGACAGTGTCATAACAAGGCTTGCCATGGAACGAAGGGTTGCACCATAGGTAGTCGGTAGCTTGCCGCCAGTCCATCCTTGATTCGTAATTGACCTTGAGGTAAGCATGTTCCTGCAACTACATGCATAGGTCGTTGTGAGATGGGGTAATGACTACTATGCAACATGGTGAAATGTACCTGGAACGTTTCAGCAAACGAGATATTTTTCCAAGAATTCTGGTCGCAATTGAGGTAGATAGGAAGGCACTGATTGACGAACTGAGTAAACTTCTGATGGAAACCTTGGAATTCTTGCTGTGAAGCATGATCATGAATGATCAATTGAATGCTCTTCGGTGACTGCAGTGAACCGAGCTTAACGTGCTTGCTGAAACTCATGAGGACATCCTCATCGCCCCTGCTGTCAATATCATCGTCATCACAATCTTGCTGTGTATGATTAGCTTCAGCATCCACCTGGTTCCTAATTAGTTTCATGGCTAAGTGGTGGTGGTCAACATGAAGGACCTATGTGACTTCAGGTCAGCAGGACTGAGTGAGATGAGAAGAGCAGAAGCTGGATGCACCTGAACAGCAACATCCTTACCATTTGAGCAGTCCTGATATGCATCTTTAAGTGAGCCGTGCATTTTCTCGTTGGGCCGAGTGCTGTAGTTACGGGCTGCTCCTTTATTCTGAATGTCCTGCATGACATGTTTCCAAAGATGGACCTTTGGAAAATTCCAGTCCATTTTGAGGTGTTCTGCTAGCTCACCATTAGCCACACAGGAGACATACTCCTAGGTCAGAGCAGGGGATCAACAGTCAACTCAAACAGCAAGGAAATATCACATACCTTTAGCTCACTCCCAAAAACCAACTGCTCCCTCTATCAATTCAAGGGTCTTGTCAGTGTGCATGTCCAGCCCAATGAGACTGTCCAATTCTAAGTAGCTGTGGAGCATCCATAGGAGCTGGTAGCCTTCACGGCTTACATCGTTTGTCAGAATATTCAAAGCAGTGTAGAAGGTTTGCTTGTGAGTTCATTAGCTTATACCGGGAAGTCAAAAGAAGAATCTCACCTGCGTGAGATCTCAGAGTTTGTTCCCATCAGCATAGCTTACATGTAGGATGCCATTGAAGTGCGCCAAACCTTGCCAGCTTGGAAATGCTGCAAGCCTGCATTCAATTTAGGATTAGGATGTCTTAGCAAAGTAAATAGAGGGTAGTACGTACTGCTCCTCAAGTTGCGCTGCATACTTACACAGTAATTTGCTTAAAAGAATCTTGAGTTCTTCGAGTAAGTGGTGCCCAAAAAGACCATCATGCAGAGCATGGAGGCAGTCGAAGCTCACAGCTTCCTCCGGCTCCGAGTTCTCAACCTTCCAGAAAACGTTCTTGTGATTTGGTTACATGGTTGGCAAGAGTCACTAATAAATACAAAACTCACCACAACCAGCCAAAGCCTGAGGGCTTTGAGGATCAGTTCACTGGCTGACTTCTTTTCCTGATAGATGGCAAGGGCTTCTTTTGCCTGTCTTATGGTACACGTTGGAAATGATTTGGCAAGCTGGGATAAATCCTCAAGGGGAACCAAACAAGCTGGGCATGGACATTTACTCTTCGTGCCTCGAATTAGGCTCATCATGCATCTAATGTCAACATAGTTATTAGTATATCAATGCACACTTGTAGTGCCCTCGACTTACTGTTCTTCATAATCAGCAGATAAGATGAGAATCAAGGGAAAGAGCTGCCAAGTGATCTTGTCATAGCACTCATATTTGTATCCTAGCTTTGAGAGTTCGGCAAGTCTATCAATGATACAAAGGAATGCTTCATGCCAAATAATGTGTTTGTAATTGGTGTAGCTGGTCTTCCCCTCTTCTTTGGCAGACTCGGGAACCTTGCATAATATACATGAGCAAGGATGCTGAAGCCTGCACTCAGTAACTTACAATAGGCAACCAGCCGATGACACATCCACCACCAAAGCGCTCTCCATTCCTGATGTTCAGTGGGCAGATTTCCACAACAAGCTACAACAGGATAACCCTTGACAGTTCTGTGGGAACTTAGACATGTTCAGTCAGCATATAGGATAAAAGCAAATGGGGCTGCATTTTCAACCTGAGGTAAACAAGACTAGAAGCAAGCGCAAGTTAAACACAGTATATACAAAGTATACAGGTTATTACAACATACTTGAATGTCCCACCAGCGATCACCAGTCCATGGTTCTGAGTAGAATCTCTCATACTCATGGCCATTATGTTGGAAGACCCGTTGGGCATCCCAGATGAAGTGAGGTGCAAGGAGGGGGTTCGATAAGAGATCAAGAGCCCACTCCCATAACAAATGTGCATAAACTGCGAATGTTAAGTTCTCTCCATTATAAGGTGCAAGTCACGTTGTGTCGTGTAAACTAGAGTAGAAGCTTGTGGATGAATGCACAGAAGCTCACAGTGTATGAAGAGAAAGAACGTACCAGTGTCACCTGCATGGCCGCCCTGTCCCATGCACTGTTGAAGGTCAACATCGTTCCGCAAGGTAACATTTGCCTTTCCTTGGACAATGAGTGAAATGAGGGAAAGCAGCCCATTGATCTGCAACACGTTGAGGCCTGCTTGCAATGCTATTTCAGCAAACAAGTAGTCACCCTCCTTGATAAATGGGCACCATGGGTGTGGATCAGGGGCCATTGTAGCAGTAGCACACTGACCAAATTCTTCTTGCAACTGGAAAAGCGATGGGGTATTGCTGTGGGGATGGAACTCAGTCTTGAAGTCAGCAGGCAGCTGTTCAGGGGATGGTGTTTGGTCACTGCCATTACTCGCCATGGAGACATTTGATTGATCTATTCATATCAAGCATGTATGTACTTAGTATGGCACACTCAGGAAACCAGGTAGCAGCTGAGTTCATGCACTCACCACTTTGTGCAGCAGGATCTCCATGAGGCTCCCACATGTCCTGATCAACAAAATCCATGCATCCCGAGTGAGAAATGTTGGGAGCTGTAAAGAAAATGGCCTTAAGTGCAGGTATATCATAGGTTGAATGAAATGTACTTGGCAATCCATTGTTATCTTCATTAAGCATGCAGGCTACTTGAGAAGGGCCTGCCTGCATGATGTGCATGCGCACTGTCAAGTATGCAGATGTGACCAATGCTACCCTCAATTCCTCAGCTGAGAACGATACACAGCAAAAACTGGATGCACCTTGCTCCTTTTCCCTCTCATATTCCTTAGTAGTGTCTATTCATTGTATTTCCCTTGTTTGACAAGCCACACAGTGTGTCACATGGCTCTTGATGCCCTGAGGTTTGAATAGTTTTCTGCAGATTTGGCACTTCAATGTTTTTGAAAGCATTTTCTCTGAATAGTTATATTTTGTGTGACAAACAGGGGCCATTTCCAAAATGCTGAAGATGAAGGGATTGCAGTGGTTCAGGAAAAAGGGCAGGGGATTGTGAGGATTAAAGTACATACCAACAACATGCAGCACAAGCCACCACGTTGCAATGCCGCTGTGATGATCTTATGGCAATCTTACCCTGAAGATAATGGAACTCGTTGATTATCATATCTCAGCTGCATTGCCAGAACATTACTGATGATCATTATTAAGCAGGAGAGGGGTTTCATAATGTGTATTACAATTTGTCATCATTGTCATGACCCTAAACATTTTTGTGACATCAGCCTCTCTCGTAAATCTCTTTTTCTACAGCACTCACAAAGACTTTGAACCTCTTTGAAATACCTAAATAGGTCAGATGCACACCCCAAGAACCATGGTGCATCCCTCAAATGCCTCAGTGGCATTCCCTCGAGTTCTTCTGGCACATTCTCACAGCTTCTTTGCAGAAATTCGACTACTAATTTCCCTTCAGATTTGTTTCTTGACTCAAGGGATCTTCAACTTCATCACTCACTCAACATTTGCTGCTCAAAAAATTAATTCTGAAAATTCTGGAGTTCCTGAGTGTAGGCTGTAACTAGAATTGAGATTCTGAGTACTTAGCTTGTCCAAATTAACCCAGCAAAAATTTTGTGCAGCGATAAGGAGGTGGCTTCTTTCCCCAAAATGAGCAGAACCCCCCTCATGGTGGGCTCCAGATGTAGGAATAGGTAATAGAAGATACCTAGAAATAGAAATTAGTCAGTAAACAGGTGAGTATGCACTTGACCCAAAAGGGAGATCCTGTTTTGGAGAAATGAAGTGTAGCAAAGGTGTAAAAATGCAAACTGGAAAGACTACTTAGCTCTGTCTGTCCAATACCTCTTGCCAGTCCTCCTGGCCCTTTGGGTACTCCCCAAAGTAATAATTCTAGCTTCAAAAACTCACCAAAATGTGAGACTATATCACCCTACTACTGAGGGTCTCTGACATGGATTTCTTTTGGTAAACTGAACTTGCATGAACACAGCACATGCACTTAGTCAGCAACATGGCTGCTCACCACTAAGTCCAGTGGTACAAACATGACAACAAAAGCAAGAAATAAAACAAGTCCCCCAACCCCCTAAACTCCTGACCAAGATGAATTCTCCTAGGGAACTCAAACTCATTCCCTACAGTGGTCTTGAAAGTTCAGCTCACATTGAACAAGGAACTTGCAGAGTTTCTTAGGGTCAGAGCCATTGAAGGTGTCAAGCTTGTGGACTTTGGTTTTTGGAGCAGAGTCCCCAGAGTGCAAACTAGATCATGCAAGTGCATCAACAGCTCTAGCAAGAACTATGAGGGGATCCTCTGGCAGCTCAGCTGGGTCTTCAGGGACATCCCCATCACTGCTGCCCCCACTGTTGGGATCACCATCAGGATAATCAGGATCAGGGTCAGGTCCATCACCTCAATTATGAGGAGATGGAGTATGGAAGGTTGTTGGGTGGAGGTCAGAGTGACCAGCTTGCAAAGTGCTTTTGCCTTCAGCACAAGAGTGGTGTCAAGCAGAGAATGATTGGAACTGTTCAATGATGGAAGGGAGTTGACATGGATTAGCTAGCACAGCAGCAAGGTTCTCAGCAACCTCTCTCTGGGATTGAGCTCAAGTTCTCATGATGGTGTAAGTTTTTTGGAGGACAGAAAATGAGATCATACAAGTATGAGTACAAATATACTACCATGATTAGGTAAAATAATGAGTTATCAAAGTCATAATCATGAGATGACATGTGATTTCAACTGCATGTTCATGGAAAGTGGGTGGCATTACAAGTCATTAAAAGGTGGTGTGGGAAATCCGCTCCTATTAAGGTATGCTAATGACTTGTCATGGATCTAGGAAATTTGCGACATTATCAGATGTCTTTCAAGCGACGCATCCCCTCGAATCATGCTAATTTCCCCCCTGGCACTCGAATCTCTCCATCGTCCCCATCGACGGTATTGATTTCGACCGGAATACCGTCCCTCGATGATGTTCTGGGCGGTGGTTTGCCCTTGTCGTGTTCGCTAGCTCTCCTAGCACCTGATAATCATTCCGCGTATGGTGAGCTGGTTCAAAAGTACTTTGTCTCCCAAGGCATTGCATGCGGTCAACAAGTGTGCATAGTCGACGATGATGGTTTGCTTCTCGCAAGGGGGTGTATGTGGACGTCTGTGGGATCTTCGGCTTCATCGCCTCCTGTTAATCACGACGAAGATGACGGAAAGTCTGCTCAGAGCGACGAACGGATAAAGATCGCATGGCGGTATGAAAAAATGAAGATGTTTCAGACCACTGTGCCCTCGTGTAACTTGTACGTACTGATCCCTCTCTGTACACCATCTGTGAGCGCTCGTTGACGAACAGCACACGCGTAGATCGAAGGACGACTACTGTCACACATTCGACCTTTCATCCCGTATACCTGAATCAGTGGTACAGGATGCCTGCGATACTAATCGTCTCGTCATCCTGGGCGTACATGCGGACCATGAGGTCAAGGTGTCGATGACGGGACTTCTCGGAAAAATTCAAGACAATCTGAGCATTTCCTCGGAGACAGGACTTATGCGATTATGTATCCCTACCCTAGGTTCTGTGCAATGGGGCGACGTAGAACCCGCGGTAGGTCATTGTTTGTTCGCCGGTGGTCGGGTATATTGATTAAACATGCAGGATGTTTTGTACTTCCTCTATTCATTACGCCGGCTTCTGCGCCAATATCCCCATGCATGTGCCAGTGTCGGTCTTGCACCGCACATCTGCTCGGAAGCTTGGGGTGGGCATGGCTGGATTCACAAGGTTGGATGGCTTACGGACGCAGCTATCTCGATGAGTGGTTTTGGTGGTTCGTGCAGGTCTGGTGGAGATTGCGGACATTGGATTTACAGACATCTTGCAGCCAATCCATCCCTTGTTGGGCTTTTCCCATCCCACCATGGTCTAGTCCAAATTCACAAGTTGCCTGCGCCACATACGATCTTACCTGCCAGCGATAAGTACTCGACATTGCGAGGGTTGTCTTCCTCTGCAGGAGCAAATGCTGGGAGTGGAGAAAATAACCTTGCGTTCAGGTGCACGCGGAAACGACTTATCCTCGAAACGATTCACCTGGATGTGGAGGGGGGGGTCACAGAGAGGCGTACCACCCTGTCTACCAATACGACCAGTCTGGATACGGGTCTTATAAACGAAGTGATTGATGAACACACAAGCAACAAGGGTCGTTCACGCGCGGCACTGGAGGTGGAGTTCGAAAAGGCTGTTTCGGTGACAGCTGACCCACTGGGCTCTCAACCTCTGGCATCGTCCCAATCAGCAGCCCTTGATGCTACGACTACTACCCCAAAGGTGAAAAAGCCCAAGAAGAAAGTTGCCTTTCACTCCGATAGACCGGATCTGTACGATTTTTAGCTATGGGGTATATAGAGCAGGGTCATGGGGTCCCTTCGGGTCAATGACAGGTGACAGCATATAGGTGCTTCCGTCCGTTGCGGCTTCTCGCGAAACCTCACGGCCGGGACGATGTTTTCCTCGCAGTGTCTAGAGTGTCAAGGTGGAGTGAGTGCTCCGAGGATCATTCCAAGGGACGAGCCTGGACGTACATATTAATAGTCTTGCAGAAAAGCTGCGACAAGGTACGGAGATACGTTGACAGGGTGGGAAAGGGGTCTTTAACCAGAGGAATATTGTGTACCGATGATTTAAGATTCTGATGAAACGTCATGACGATGTGGACTCGCGTGCTGCGCTGTGCAATTTTTTTACTGTGACACATCAGAGATTATCTGGGCAGGATACAATTTTTATGTAAAGAGCTGACAGTTGTTCTGGGAATAAAACGACTGACTGCATCAGCGTGCTCTCCGACTTCAAGTGGTTCGTTCAAGCTGTCAAGTACTGCTGTACTGTTGTACTGCAGAGACCTAGTCAATTTGACGCGGTATTCGCAAGATCCAGACGGACAACATATCAGGCCAGGCACCGGGCTGTTCTTTTCCTTTTCTTCTCCCGATGATGGCAACGTATGTCAGGCTGTATCGTATTAAGCTGTCTTCGATGATGACATCCGACATTTGTGACGCAGGCATAAACTCCCAGCAGCACTCCTGCCCGCAAGTCCTCGCCAGTCTTCGTCGGTCCCAAGCTCGCCTCCCGCCGCGTACACAAGTGCCCGTGAGAAGCCGCTCCCGCCAATGCCACCCCTCGGGCCGAGCCCTTCACTCGGCACGACCGACATGGACATACACCTGGGCAGAAGTTGGGTGGGTGCAGTGGGTGCAGGAACGGACCGACCTGGTAAGAGTCACGCTATAGTTTCGTGTCCGTTGCACATGAGCGGGAAATGTCGCAGAGATGGAGATGGGAGATATGAGAGCCTTGATTGTTTTGCCACAATCAGCTTTTGGGTCCGGTTGCGGTTGCGACAGCTGCTGCCTTGTTTTGTCGGACAGTCTTGTCCCTTGACTACACGCTAGTTTTTCCTTGACTACCCCTACTACTCCCCGCCCATCTTACAACCAGGACCTGACTCGTCCCTCACCGTCGTTTTCAGATTTTCAGGCTGCTCTTCCGTTACCGCCGTCTCCCTTCTCAGGTCCCAATTCGGCAGAATCACGCTCACGTGCCCCGACACCCACCACCACCGGTGCCGTCGACCACCTTCAAGTAGGCTCGTCCCCAGACCACATGCCGCAGAGCTTCGGTGCCATGGCAAGTTTGCCTTTTGATGGTGACAGCAGTCCAACAACGCTGCCACATGTGGTTCATGCCTTCACTCGGTCCGCTCTGGTTAGGTCTGTCTCCGAGAGCGAGGCTTCTTCTCACTACGATTCTTCTCCACCACGGTCTTTCGCACGCCCTCCAAAAGTCCCCTTAGTCGATCCTTCCCAGTTTCCAGACCCTTACCCACAGCGTTTGCCATACAACCGCACTTCCGACAGAATATCCTCATCTATCCCCGGTCTTTCGTCTGCAGGCTCATCATCCGCCTCTACGCGTTCATCAGCTTACGCAAGCTCAGGAAGTGCCCTGGCCGCCAGCGATTACGGCCACGTCCACATTGTCTCCGGTGACGAGGAGGAAATTGGCATCGCCGTCGAAGTTACTTCGGATGACGTTGCAAGGGCCCTCGCAGTCGAAAGTAACACATCATCATCCGCTGGAAGGACACCCATAGATCAGACGCGTTGGTCGGAATACTCAGCGAGTATCAGATCAAGATCCTCTTCAATTGGGCACATTAATGTTCAGCCTCTCCACGAGAGTATTGCACCCAAGCTGCGCGAAAATCCAAGTTTCGACATGGGCTGGCAGACAGTGGATGAGAGAGACGAAGCTGGTCTTACTAGCGGTGACGAAACTGATGATTTGTGCGAAGAGGAAGTGCCGACCGATGAGAAGGGCGAGGAGCGTACGTCTGCGATCGTGGTGGCAGAAGAAGGCCGAGCCCTCATTGTAAGGGGAGACCGAAGGTCGATCTCTCAGTTAAACGTCCACGCAGGTGTGTAATACAGGATCTATCACATCTGTTGTTCCTGAGCCAAGGGACATTGTAGATACTACCCACCTCCTTATTGGCTCTTCTAGTACCCCAAACTCGGTGCCCTCTTTTCTCGCAAGCGTTTTACCTAGGATATGGCATACTCTGCTCGCGCTGGACATTTCAGCCAACTTCCTCGTCGCTCTACCTCCGGCTCTCGCTTCCTGCGAAAATATGGAGGAATTGAACATCGCTTCAAATCCGCTGCGCGTCTTACCGGTCTTCCTTTCACACCTAGTATCTTTGCGAGTGCTCATCGCGGATGCGACGGGAATCAGTACCCTCCCAGACTCGTTATGTGGGCTTGACAGGCTACACACGCTCAGCATCCGGCGAAATAGGATGCATTCCCTGCCTAGTTGGCTATGTCTCTTACCATCCCTCCAGGAGCTATATCTTGACGGCAATCCGTTCCAAGGTCCGTGGCAAGCCCTGGTGGAACCACTCCTTTCCAAGGTTCCTGCGACCCCTCTTTGTCCCCCTGTTTCTGCAGCCCCTTCGACTTCTACTCCACCTTCGCCTGTCGAAGCGGAGACGGACACCGACGATTCTGAGGTTGCTGATGCCAGTGTGGGAACAAACTTTTTACAATTAAATGAAGATGAAACTATCACGCCCTCTCGAGCACCTCCCCTCGAGCGATCGGTGACGTCTCCTGGCATTATTCCTATTCCCCCTGTCCCCCCAGTTTCCGACCGAGGCCTCACGCGTACGAGGACCACTCCCAATAACCGGGCGTACAGTTCCAAAACCCGTCCGCAAATGGCGATCGCTGATAAGGATTTTGGGTCGGCTAATGCACCCGTGCGTGGGAATGACTCGGATCATCTCGCCGACCGCGAACTTCGGAAGATGAAGAGTGCAGGGGAGCTTAGGACAAGTTTTGAGCGGCCTCGCGAGGCTATACAGCCGCCTCTATTAGCGACGCCTATCCGACCCGCTATCTCCGCGTCGGCGTCTAGTTCCAATTTGTTGAATATGTCCTCGGGGTCTACTGAAACTGACCGAGTCGTGGGGCCAAAACGTTATGCGAGTCTGGGTGTCTCTGTGCTCACCCCTGTCCGTAGCTCATCTAGGCCGATGTTGACACAGAGTCTTTTCGACAATAAAGCCGAGGGTTCCGAGGCCGTCAGCAGGTTTGGCCAATCACCAGTGGTCTCACCCCCTACTTCGCCCCCGCGTTCGTCTACCATTCAAGATATCGGCTATGCAACACCCAGCCCCATGGAGCGACATAGCAATTTGCGTCACGCGCAAACTAGAGACAACAAGGAGAAGGAGCGAAGCAGCCGATGGGGATTTTTTAAGAAGATGTCGATGGGAAAGATGAGACCTGATCCGCCTGTAAATCTGCGACCAAGCACCACCTATGCTCGCCTATCTCGCCCTGATGGCTCAGGCAGTCCAAATACAACGTCAAGCTCTTCGCCTCAAATTGATGTGCGGTTCTCGACGACGGGTTCATTGGGTCCAATGCCAAATTCGACGCCAATAGTTGCACTGTCGACACCAACGAAGGAAGAAGTGCCTGCTCCAGTCTCAAACACAACCCCGCCTCCGTCTTCTGCATCTGGCAGCCTCCTTGCCCCACCTATGTCCCCTGCTCCGCGGGCCGCCAAACGCAGGAGTTTCTTGCCTATAGATGGGAGTACGGTATCAAGCTTGATGATTCCTTCTCCCACTTCGTTTATTTCCGGGACAACACTTGTTGGTGAAGCAGAGAAAATTACAGAGCCGAATACCACACCCTCTCTAGCCGCTACACCTATTGGTGTGAGCCAGTTTGCCATACGCCGAGAGGAAGAGAGGGCGAAAGAAGCGTACACGCGGGCTTTACGTTCAGTTATGGCTTACCTGCGTGACATGAATGACTTATGTCTCTCTCAGGCTAATCCTCTCAGCGTGTACGGGCATGTAGGGGACGAGCCGCCACCGGTAATTCGTTCTCGCAGGCCAACAGTGATCGATAGGACGCAATCTGAGCCGTCTCCTGCCATCTCACGGGCCGCCTCCATTTCTGGTCAGCTGCGCTCTCCCGAAAGCATTGCGGGCCTTCGAAGTGGTACGGCCTCCCAAACGATGAGCATTGCGACCACGGATAGTAGCGGGTCCTGTGAGGAGAGGAAATACAAGGATGACAAGGGCAAGCGAGCACTTATTGTTCGTGAGATTGTTGAGTAAGTGCATACTACACCATTGCATTCTGACTGCATGCTAACTCTACGGTTAGGACGGAGAGGACTTACGCTAAGGGGCTGCAAGAACTGGTTGATATCTACATCAAACCAAGTGCTGCACCGGTTAATCTTATTAGTGGCGTGGGCTCTAGGGAGACCGTCATCCCACAACCAGAGAGGAAAATTGTCTTCAGCGGAGTTGAAGCACTATTCTCTTTCCACAAAGAGAGTTTCCTTCCGGCACTCGAGATGGCTGCAGCACCATTGATGAAGAACCCTGCACCTGGCGAAGAACTTGACCCAGATGGCCAATTGTCCGTGGAAGTGACAAAAGCGATGGCAGACACCTTCCTGAAGCATGCTGCATTCATGAAGATGTACTCATCATACATCAAGTAAGTAAAAACCTGAGCTCACGCATCATATAGATATTCACTAAATTGGGGAACTATTAGCAATTTTGACAATTCCGTTCAGCGCATAAAATGCTGGTCGACTGACCGCTCTCAAACGGCAGCATCCAGTCCGTCTCCAACTGGTGCTGCACACGGTCTTGCTGCGGTCTCCGTCTCTGGAGCTGGCAACATAGTTGATCCATCAGCGACAGGGAGTGTAGCCACCCTCACGTCAGGGCAGAAAAGGCGTATAAAAACGTTCTTGAAACGGTGCCGTATGAATCCACGGCATTCACAACTGAATTTGGAAGGATATCTGCTTTTACCTGTGCAACGGATACCCCGTTACCGCCTGCTTGTGAGTCTGATTCCGTTCAGGAACTTTGCCCCACGTTGATCGCTGTTCTTCAGCTTGAGGAACTGCTTCGAAGTACCCCCCCTACCTGCTTCACCGACGATGCACTTGATAGGGCTCTCTCCGAGATATCGTCATTGGCAACTAATATGAATGAGGGAAAGCGTCAATCGGAGTGGCGGCGAAAACTGGTGCAATGGCAAGCTAGGATCCGTGGCAAGTTCCCCAGCCCGCTTGTGCAACCCCACAGGTACGGCTCTTGTTGATCTCAGTGGTGACATTCAGTAACTCTCGTAAAGGCGGCTCATTATGGACGGCCCACTCATGCTGACTCGGGTCGTCCGCAAAACTGTTGTCTCCTTTGAAATTTTCAATGCTCAAGGAGACGCTTCTGCCGTGCAAGTAGAGTGTCTGGCACCCGAGTTGACACCTCGACCCTTAATTGGTATTCTATGCAACGACCTTCTCGTACTCTGCCGCGACCCAAGCGACGGGAAGGATCCCATGTCGCCCGTTGACCTCTGGGCAGTCTTGCGCATGCAAACGCTTCCCCAACCGGCTAGTATCGTCCATGGAAATGGTAAGTCGCGACTGCAATGAATGCCACTCAACAGATGACCGACAGGTATGCATTACAGCGTTGCGTATTGTCGATAATAAAGCCATATTATACTTCGATGCACCTTCGCCTTCTGACGCCTTGAAATGGTTTAGAGGTATGTAACCACTGTTCTAACATTGTCTCTACGAAGAGATCTGAGCGTCTTACAGCTATTAACCTTCATATCCCCGCATCCAAAGCATAGAAAACACTCATTACCGTTCTCCCTTCGAGTGCATTTGCGTCCCATCCCATCCAACTCTGGCGTATTTCCGTAGCTCGCTGGAAGGGCTAACTTTGTGGTACCCGTATATATCGATCATTAAATTTTTAGTACCCTCTTCTGCACTCGCATCTGCCTCTTTGGCTTTCATCCTCATCTGTACTTCACTGTATCAGCTACAATCGATTTCGATTGCCCTCTTCCCCTCGCTGGTCAGAATCAGAGCCTCAGACAGCTTTCCCAGAGATTTTGTAAATCACTGGCCTAAACCAAGGCGAGGTACCTTCACACATGATGTCAGTGACACGAGGACGGCTTAGTGGGAAGAGCGCATGATGCTTTGTGCTCAGGTGCATACATACATAAAGGCACACGATAACATGAAATACTATTCAAACAAGTACTATCGAGGAATACCGGATGTACAAGTGGAAGAAAACATGCGAGTGATAAAGGTTGTAGAGGCCACTGTACACGCCGTAACCATTGTACTACATGTACTGTGATCCGTGGATAGTAAGTACTGAGTATGAAAAATAAATGACCGTACAACGAACAACTACATCTGTCCCGGACATTAACTTTCTGGAATGCAGTTTGACTAGAAATTACAATGCTTACCAGCCATCGCCAAAAGGCTTCCATTTTGTTCTTTGGTGGTGGGTCCTCAACCTCATCGGCTGCTATTTGAGCAAGGCCGCTCACGAAGTCCATCTCAGACGCCTTCACAGGAGGCGTCCGGTAGTAAAAATACGCGCCAGCATAAAGCACAGGGAACAGAGCGAGAAGAATGTAGTTGGTGACAAACGTAGCGACATCCCAATGACCCTTGAGGAAAACACTCCATCCACTGAACTGTTAGAGAATTATCAGTGTTCTGTGCGCAAACTGACGAGAGTAACATACGAAGCAGATGATAAAGGTGCCAAAACACCCGTACCAAGCTGCGAAAGGCTGGAATCTTGTATAATAAGGCAGCGAAGTGCGGTCGATACCCTGGGCCTGAAGACCCTTGTAGAAGCGGAGATATGTTACGGAGATACCGAACCAAGTGGTAAGGCCAGCCACAGAAGTCATGCTAGAAAACCAATCGAACACAGAACCGGCGCCAGATGATACTGCCATGAAGGCAAGCAGAGTGAACGAAGCACAGAAGAGAACAGATACATAAGGCAAGCCGGATTTGGAAGTTTTCAGGAAGACCCTAGGCGCATTCCCAGAGACCGCTAGGCCGTCTAGACGGAACCAAATCAGTAGACGCTTATTTCTCCAATGGTGAACCACTCACAAAGCGCCCGAGACGATGTATACAAGTCACTGGAGGCAGCAGACCAAGCAGAGCTGAGTAAGCAGGCGTTGATAATCTGAAAATTGGTTACATGCTCCACCACGGTCCCTTGCGGCTACTCACAGAAGGGAGCACTTTGATGCCAGCGTTCTGCATGGCAATGACAAACGGTGATGCGGCAGTGCCACTGTTCAACACCAAGGACGAGTTGTTCGAAGGAACAAGGAGACCGATTACAAAAGTACCTCCAATGTAGAAGAGCAGGATACGAATGTAGACACGGCGAATAGCTTTGGGAAGGTTACGTCTGGGATTCTTCGCCTCTCCTGCGGCGATCTATGATGGATAGGCCAGATGAACATGCGAATTAACAAAGTGGAGCACGACCTACCGCAACAATTTCGGTACCGATGAAAGAGAATGCAGCCTGGCTAAGGACTGCCCAGTAGCCAAGGAATCGTCCCTTTGCACCAGAAATTCCATCGTACTGGACGAAAGGGCCTGGATTTTTCCAGTACCGGAAACCAATACGGTCGTGATCTGGGCCACCTCCAAGATCAATAACGATGCCAAGGATAATGAGACCCGTAATCGTGAGAACTTTGATCGAACTAAGATGTAAGGGTTAGAAGGGGAATGGAGCAGGATGGGAGCTCGGATGCATTGCAGCTTACGCGAATATAAACTCTGCTTCTCCATAAGCTCCAGCACCTAGCATATTAATGGTGAGGACGACGACGATACAAATGGCAACCCAAACAGCATTATTAACGTTCGGATGCCAGTAATCCACCAAAATGGCTGCCGCTGACAATTCGGCTAAACAAAACAGGCAGTGAGAATTTGGCACCACGGATGTGACGTCGAGTAAATGTATGTACCGGGAGCTGGTTGGATTCAACGATGAGATCGTGAGGTGGAGAATGTGGAGCAAACGAACCGACGATAGTCCAGTTATACCAGTAATTCCAACCCATTGCAAATGAAAATGCAGGGTTGACAAAACGTTCGGCCAGCTTGATGTGGCCACCAGGAATGGGGAGGAAGGCCACCATCTCACCCAAGGAAATCTGGGGGGAATTTGAGTAACACAGAAACAACGTGAAGCACAGGCAATGTACCATAACTGCAAAAACAATCGTCCCCATCGTGACAAAACCCAGAAAAAGGCCAACGGGACCACCATTGGCGAGGGACTGGCCCGTGCCAACGAAGAGACCTGTACCGATGACACCACCAATACTGGGGGTGGGTTAGTGTGCAAGTACCGGAGACGGACGGAGGTTGACCTTATCATGGCAATATGACGATTCTTAAGCTGCCTATGTAACCCTCCCTCTGGCGCAGGGATTGGGGCGAATGACTCCGTATCTTGCACATAGACATCCTTGTTCTTTTCTGATGCCTCGCCCGACATGGTGAGAGGAAGGGGCAAAGAGAGAGGGAAGGGAATCAAGTATCATTTGGAAGGTGGAAAGCGGGGAGATTTATGGGGTGGGTTTGGCCGTGGCAGTGTGGGGATGGATCGCAGAGGGGTAGTAACCGATAGAAGAGATACGTAAATGGCAAGCTACAGTATCTCGGGAAGTGCCAGAACTGTGAAACGCGCGCGCATTGTACGGACTTCGTATTATAAGGGGGAAAAACCAGCTCAGGAGATGCGAACGAGGCAGAGATCCCCGTAAACTGAAGGGCGCAGTTGTAACTGCAGGTCCGATGGGATGATTGAGGACATTACTCCTGGACTTCATCACCAAAAGGTTAGCTCCTAACTTGTCAATTCATCATTGGCTCTTCGCCCAGAAACCATACTGCGACCTAGCCGACGTTGACCTATGCTCGCGTTGCATGGATCCATCTTCCAGTAGAAACCTTGTTAACAAACGTGGTAATTGGAATTCAACGTGGAAGAGCAAATCTACCGGTCAAGACAAGTACTATGAAAGATACCGAACAGCCAATGTCACGTTGTTGGTTTCCTAAAATGCATCTCTCCCCCGCTGCTCGCGCAAATACTTTTTAGCTTTTCCATCAGAAGACTACAAATCACGAGATGAGATATCAGCACACATGATGATTTTCCGATCCGATCCTCCACTCCTGTTGGTTATACAACGACTACAGCGTGTAACGTTCCTGAGAGACATCGCTTTCCAAGCAAAGCTTCAGTCGTTTTGACCAACGCGTGACCTCCTGGGATGTATCAGTCTTCTTCGAGCTTATCTGGTGCGTGTCCGGCGGCGCTCGCCACTCCGATCGGCGCACAGACTGCTGTGACTGCTGTGTCCTTGGTTCCCGAGATGCATAGAAACGGGTGAACTGCGGGACCAGACGGGGTCAACCCGATGGCCGCGAAGAAAGCCGTACGCACATCAATATGCCTTGCTACGGTTTAAGCCATGATTCCATTTTAAATGTCAATTATTGGGTGACTTACCGTGAGTTTCTAATCCAAGATTAGTATTTTGGAGTGGGGAAAGGCTAGGACTCGTCCTGTTTTGGAACCCACACACCAGCAACCTTCCATCTTGAGAGAGGCGTAACGTATACCGACAGACTTACCACAGCAATCCCAACGTAATAGGTCTGAGCCTTGATGGAATATTTTGGATAAATATTATCAGCTCCATAACGCCTGTCAACCCGCGGAACGTGGTGCGATGTCACTGCGTGGATTCCTGTGTATATAGATTCAAACCCAATACTTGTACTACTTGTATTATGTACCGCATTGGCGGCCAGCGCTGCGGCTCCCCTCAACGGCGTTCTTCCAGAGCCGACCCAATAGACAAACTTGGAAGTTGGGTGGCGGAGCGCATGTGGTTATATTCCTTGTGTCAGGGTCGGGTGCACTAAGTACCGCCGGATCATACCGGAACGCTCCGAAACTGGCATTAAACGTCACAAGTCCCCACAATCATCGTCTCGTCATACACCATGAACACGCCAAGCGGCTTGTCATGTTATGGCGGACAAGGTAATACATGCCAGTGCCAAGCATTCCTTCAGAGCAGGTTTGGGGCTTTGCGCTGTGGTGTTGCGATCAAGTAATAATTCAGGTGGATACCCCGGCCAAAACAGTAGTACTAATGAATACAGGAATTAATTGCGCAGTTCGAGTCCAGGGACAAACGAAAATAGAGCTAGGATAAATAACCAATGCATTCAGCGCCTCCATGGAATTAAAGACGTGACGAATGTCGAAAATATCCTCCAAGCAGGAAGCACGAAAGCGAAAGGATCTGGTGCCACCAAGTTAATCGCTGACCCGGGACGTCTGCGACGGCGTCGAGGTCCCACTCTCCTGGCATGCGGAGTGGACAGCGATGGGTTTGAGGTGCGGGGTTTTTTGAGGACGACAGTGTCGTCGGTGTCTCTGATTGTGCTACTTGGCTCGGCATCTGACTGCCCACCCCCCTGCCGCTCCTCTAAGTCTTCGACTCTTTTTCTCTTCAGGATGCTACGAGGGGGTATCGCAGAGATCACGGTGAAGCTGGGGGATCCATGTTGTGGTCCCGCTGGGACTTCGGGACCCTGAATACTCGACGAGGAAGGGGTCCGAGAAAGTGCCCTTCTACATCTCGTTCTAAAGCACTTCGGGTGAGAACATTGGCGAATTATCTTCACCCTCTCTCCGCATCGGACAACCCGACCGGTCAACGCGTCTATATGTCTGTGGCTCTCGCCTCCGAAAGTAACGCGTTTCATTCGGCGGCTGTTGTTGTTGCCCGGATCGCCATCAATGGACTGACCGTCTAGAATGGTGGCACGTAAGAAATTGGTGGACTGTGGATCAAGGCGACACTTACGACGTTGTCCTGCATGGGGTTCTGGTGACTCAGAGCGCGGGCGTTTTGCGGGGAAAGGCCACGTCGAAGGTAGTTCAAACGCTTCATCGAATCTCCGTTTTGAGCGTAAAAACGCACTTGTAAGAGAGGAGGTAAGGGTGTCGTGATCTCTAGGAGTTTCATGTGCCATGTGGCCGACGACGTCAATGAAGTTTTGCACGGCACTAGCGACGTCAACTTCCGTCTGTCCGGGGACAACTACGCGGTGTGGTGTGTCGTCGGCTGCCTTCATCCAGTCCTCCCGGAAGTCTTGGTGGTGTACCGGGGGTTCTGACACCTCATCCTCAGGCTCGGGCTCATAAGGTGAGATGTACCCAGTCTTATCTCCGTTTTTCCGGCGTTCCCATTTTCTTCTTCTCATTTCGTTCCTCCTCACTCGGTTCAGGTAAGCCTGAACCTTATCCGCTTCCCTTTTCCTCGCGCCCCGATAGTCAAGCTTGAACTTGACCTTGCGCATTTCCAATAAAAATTCTTCCGGCTCTGCGTGTTCGAGCTCGACCGAGTCGTCTGCCGTGATCGCGCGGCTCATCCCGAAATCGATAATGGTCACTCGGCCATCTGCACCAATCAACATATGGCGCAGCTCAGGGTCGCCATGGAGGACTCCACGTGTGTGAATCTTCTCGAATGCAGCGATGACGCGCTCTTTGAGGACGTCAGGCATTGTCGGTGAAGACTCGATCCAAAAGGAGTCGTGTGGAAGTTCCATGGTGACGCTAATAGCTTCGGGCATGATATGCACACCAATGATAGTAGGAACAACGTCCCCCTGAAGAGGCTTGAGATACTGTTCTGACGTGTAGAGAGCGAGCTATTGGGATAAGCGGTTAACAGGCATGGATTGTCTAGGTTCGGTCAAGACGCACCTCGGAGTGAAAACCGATCCATTCCTTCTCTCTGCTGGTGTTCCATCTAGACAAGTACATGAAGTCATGCATTGTTAACGAGGGATTATAGACACCCACTTCCTGCAAATATACTTGATCTGTTTTCCGGCGATAAAACCAGTGTCGATCGAGGCAGCACACATTAAACCCGCTACCGTGGTCATCGACATCAGAAACAAATGAACTTTCGAGAAGGAATGACTCACTTCGAAGTGGTAGCAAAGATCTAGGGTTCTCTATTGGAAAACCCGTCGACCACTCCCACCGACCGTGCTGGTCTGTATAGCAGCTGGTCAGGCGGAGTTGCTTGAGATGCACTCGTGTTGTCTTCGTTAGACATATCTTCGTCCACGAGCGGGGGAGCAAAGTGGACCATAGCCTTGCATTTATCTCGGTGCTCTTGGGGAGGTACCCACCGACGCCGGGTAGGCATCGGCGCCGGTGGTCTGTACACCGCTGCGAGAACCTGGAAAAACACAGAGGTGCGCTCGAAACGGGATGGAATTGTGAAGTCGGGAGGGAGGATGGTCGGCTCGCTGTTGTATGAAGGCAGGCCGTCCCATGACGGCTGGGCCTGCGGGGACTCGTGTGGTTGGCCAAGGCTGCTGGGACCTGCTTCTGGTTCCGCAGAGTATGACCTAGGAATCGTGGCGGGCATGCTTCCGTGCGCAGATAGTGTGAAGGGAATTCGCTGGTGATAGCTGCGCGAGATATCTCAGGGATAAATACTGTGCAATGATGGACATGACCTCCTGTTCTTGTCCTTTTGAAATGCGACCAAAGCGTGTCAAGGCAGCTCAGACATGGCTTTGACACGGGCTTCCGTCGCTTTGATTGGAGAGCGCATCTACAACAACTGCCTTTTTCGGACAATGGGCACAGCAACACGCTTTGTTCTCCCGTGCAACGTTGTCTTCAGTTCTCTGCCCCGTGTCTTGCACGCAGTGTAGTACACACACAACCCAAATACACTACATTACACATTGCTGCAAATAGTGAATAATACAATATATGCGATGGCGTTCCGATAATAATAAAATGTGTCTACGTGTAGGTCCGAGCGGCCTCAATGTTACAATTAGCAAAAGGTCCATCCACCTGGCATGCTGAACTCCCGTGACTTCTTCCCTGGCAGACAGCGCTCTGCGTCTGTCGTCCCATGCGTGTTTCCTGCATAGCGAGATATCGGAGTCATGTCAAACGACTGAGATGGCAAACGAGGCAGTGAGCAAAACCGAGAGGGCACGACAAACGACTCGGCCGACAGTATCGCGAGTGAAGTAATCGGTTGTGTGACCGTTCTGCAGAGATCAACACCGTTGAAGGGCATCACTGCACGGAAAACGTTCATGTGCCCGCACATCGCGTTAGGAGATCCATCTGGCAGATGCATATCACACCCTTGGAAGCCACAAACCCATTCGTGTTCGCCTTCACGAAGGTCAAGCCAGCTGCCAATCAATTCGTATTCTTCTATTGTCATCCCTCGGGGCGTGTCGCGGCACGGAACTCCGGCCGGTGCACCGCATCGCTCCGCCAGCCAGGTAGCAAGAGCAACAGAATCCGACGAAGGGAACGACGCCAAGGAAGCACGAGAAAGTGGGTCATCGCCTTCAAAGCAGTCAGGTTTGGGCATCGGGGTGCTCTTTGGGGCGCCGGAAGAGGGTATGGTGTATTGAGTCCCGGACGATTCCTTCGTAGGCTTTTTAGCCATTCCTAGACACGCAGCAACTTTCTTGATCCTATTCTTAATGTTATTTCTCATGTTCATCCAGGATTTGGCAACCCGGGTGGTCCTGGGAACTTCTTTGGACCTGTCCGAAAACGTAGATGATGCCCAAGGTTCTGGCGCAATAGCACCACTCCGAGGACAGCAAGATTCAACAGCGGACGATATGGATGTAGGAGATGGCAGCGGAAGAATGCGTTCACGGACGGATGGCGTCCAGGGCACATAAGGACTGTTTGGGTGATGAAAAGCAGGGATCCAATGGGGGCCAATAGTTACCTCCTTCTTGCTCTTCCTCGCTAATCGCTTCCGAGATGATGTAGGAGTCGGAGGGACACGGAAGAGAACGGCAGTGGGTGCCGAAGATGCTGGACCGTGGAACTGCGTTTGAATGGAAGGAGTGGAAGGGGACGTTGGGAGATCAAGAAACGACGGGAACTGTAGTGGGGAGGCAGAAGGCAGAGGCGGAAGTGGCCGATAAGGGTTGTCATCGAGAGCGGCCTTCATACTTAGAGATTTGTCAAGTTTGGGGAGTTTGCAGCAGGGCACGACGAGTAGGGTGGGATCTTCGAGTCTCCCTTGTGGGGTAGTATTGGTTGGCTACGCAGCGTCAAGTCAGATCTCGGAAGGCATTGCTGGAAGACTCAACATACGACGCTGTTCGAATTGGTTTTATCTCCCAAGGCGACCCGGGCCACTACCCGGGATTTACGCCTTGGAGTCTTTTCGACTTCAAGATAGCGTTCATGGCTGATGGGGCAATTAGGTATTACTGACGGTACTTTGGAAGGAAGGGAGATCTTCAGGATGATGTTGTCGAGACCAGCAAGACGATCTTTGGAGAAGTGGAACATTGAAGGAACGACAGAGATATTAGCGAACGACTAGCGAGAGTGAGGGAGGAGGGACAGACGAGGCGTGTTGTCGATGGCGGACAGGCTGGCTGCTTGTATACATACACCCAGCTCACAAACGATAACAATGGTCCATTACGTCACAGTACTACGCAAACTATAGGCTTCGCTTAGTTTGAAGACAAAGTATGCCAAAAGCGGAAAAATTTGCAGCCTCGAGGCTTTCCATGCCAATTGTGATGCGACGGCAAAGCCAGTCACCCGTGTACACGCTGCTCTACGTGTCCTTCCACTCACGTTCCCAAACCTTGAACAGATGGTTCAGACAGGACGATCGACGCACATGGGGATATATACCTCAAAGAATCTGCGTCGATCTGCGATCTTGATACCTCGACAGCTGGTGAGGTCAAGTTGCTCGAGTTTCGGGCATGCATCGATTATAGGAAAGAGCCCAGCACCTGTGGGACACAGGTTTATCAACAGAGAGTGTACACGCGAGGCAAGGAGCTGACTAGTTATCTTGGTCCCCGCTAGTTCAAGGGAAACAAGCGAAGAGCAACTTGATAGATATGGCGCTGCCTCGTCATCGACACCAGTGTGATTCAAATTGAGTTCTCGTAATCGCGGTGGGTCTTCTTCGTTCGTCTCAGCTACTAACCCACACAGATCCCTTGATCTCAGATACTGCAATCCGGAAAAATTTAGTTGCTATCCCAATATGTTTCAGATGAAGGATAAACTTAGGCGAGCGGGTGGAGTTCGTTACCTTGAGTCTCCTTCCCACTTTCTGAACGAATTCTGTGAGCGCTCCGTTCCCTCTGAATGTCACTCCCAACTTCGAATTGCCCACGAGACTGACTCTTTCTAGGTCCCTGAGCGTTACAAGTTTATCTGTGAGGAACGCCAGTGACTCGTCGGTCATGCTCATTGCGGAGGGGTTCCCCACGGAAACAAATGAACCTTGTCCACCACCACCAAGGGCTCCCAAAGCGAGTGTTTGTAGATGAGGCAATCCCGCGATCAAAGCTATGACATCCGTGGGCGGCACATTTGTAGAGGTGAAGGTCAGCTTCTCCAATGCGGGAATGGAATTTGTGTCAAATGGCGAGCGGCGAATGTGTGTGAAAGAAACATCTAGGCGCTTCAGGTTGGGACAACGAGCCAAAAAGGGCTGTATAGATACATCGGACAGCGAAAGTTGCCTCAACTTCAGATTTTGTAGATTTGCGAAGACGGTGTTCGTCTCCGAAAGACGATCGAACAACTTCGCAAATGTTGCGTCTGACTGCGAGAGGGTGCCATCTTGAGTCACCGCAATACACTCCACTCCGACAATGAAAACCAGTACTTACCCAACTAGATATTCCGGCTACTTTTATGACTTGCAACGACGTGCAGGAATTGAGAATACTGCCAAGGGATGCTGGAGTGACCCCAGTATAGTTGAAGTTGACTTTAGTCAGGAAATGACATGAAGCCGCAGCCTCTGCGGTCTTTACACTAACTTGGGTACACCCGCTGGACCAGTGTCAGCCAGCCTTTGTACTTGGTCGTTGCACCTCACCGAAGCACGAGAACGCGCAATTGCGGCAGGTGAGACACCAATGATGCAAAGAGCGAGTCCGAGTACTTGTCAAATCCAATCAAGTGGAGCTCGCGAAGGGAGTCGTTCCTCGCGACAGAGACGATAGTCTGCTTTAGCACACCTGGCAGGGCACTGGATAGTACGAGTGAAGGGCCACGGAGAAAATACTGCCCAACCACGCCTCAGACGAATTTATGCGTCAAAATAACCATGTGCGTACCAACGCGATGAAACCATGCGAGAGGAGGTTTGGACAAAACCGTTGCAGCATATTGAATAGTTTTGGTACCATAACGTCTGGCAGGCGCTTTAACCACACTCTGACGTACCGCCAAAGCCGTTCATTTGATGATAGCACTTGGATGTTTTCCACAAAACAACGGGCAGCCAATGTTGTCAACGTTGAAATAGGTCCACCTGAGGTCAGAGTACGAACGGACAGTGCAGAAGCAGACGGTATCTGCCTTGGCTCTCCTGTCAGAAGGTCATCCTCAGTTGTTGCTCCAAAAGCCTGACGCCCTTTGGGAAGGGCCGTGCGTGAGCGTGATTTATTCCTTGACATGGCATACCATGGCAGTCCTTATGGCCTGCGGTTATGTTGCACTGTCCAGAGCCTGCGATGGAGGGTGGTGATTAGGATTGAGTTACCGTCTCGTGTCTAAACCACGCAAGGCTATTGCCACCACCTTATTTGGCTTGATCGATACCAGGACCCTCATAATCATATGACGTCAATTCAATTACATTCTCTACGGTTACGGACTGCGATACTCTGGAGTGTATCAAGTGCTTCAGAACATGAGGCTTAGACCGAGCCCCAAAGCCAGATGCTTGCGACCACAGCGCCAAGTAACCCTACACTCACCCTCCATATGATTATCTCCACCTTCTTGACTCTTGGCGCTTGTGGATATCCGAACATAGAGCGAACAAAGGTTAGAATAATCAAAGGCAGCGGTAGGAGATTGAAGGGAGGAAAGAAGACATGTCCGGTATAGCGGACGACGGTACAGTAGAATCGTTTCCGAGCTAATTTGCCAACCGCAGGTGTATATCGATCCCAAGGTTCGCCCATGGTAACAACGGACATCTCCGCGGCAGAGAAGCTCATGAAACTTGCAAAAAGAAATAGCCCAATGACAAGAAGAAAAAGCAGGGAAAACGAAGCCCGTGTGTCCATGGGAGCCGGATTTAAGTTAGAAGGGTGGAATGTGGAGTCGGCAAGGGAGGCGGACACAAGGTATGAAGCGAGGAGAAGGGCAGGCAAAATAAATACAGTGGTAGGTAACAAGATTCGGAGAGTACCTTGTATCAGCAACGTGGAAAGTGGAGCGAAGGTACTCGGATACAGGAGATAGACGATACCGGGTGGATAGGGGAAGTGAAGGGAAACAACGTGGACCATGAGGGCCATATGCAGGAAGGCTGAATGCCAAGCTTCCGGGGAGAGGTGCTGAGGGTAGCGTGAGGAGGAAGCCAAGAAAGGCTAGGAGATATGATAACGAATATATTGACCAAGGGGCAACGAGGGAGGAAGCTGCGATAACCAAGATGAAAGTTTCGCGTGCACCGTACCAGCGGTAGCTGAAAGACGTAATGAATGAGGGGGGGTACAGCAAGTAATGGGCTAGAGTGCCAACGAAGATAAGGTGACCTAAGAGATGAAGAAAATGAATTGCCCTTTTACTTTCGTGAGATGGCTGGCACCCATATGAGTGAATAGCCTCACCTGGGTGAGGTCAGAGTATCGAAGCGTTGCCAACCGTGATGCCTCGAGTCATCGCTGCAACGCAGGCCCATTCTCCAGGTAGCCATCATAGTGGCTTGAATGATAGGTTGAGTCAAGAACGCTGGTGGTACATGGTCGGCGAGGAAGGAATCCACCACTTGAAATGCGTAGTGCTCAGAACAAACACAAGGGTTGTTACCTGATAGCATAGCCCTGCTCACCTCTCAGGATCTGCACAGATTCAGGCTGCGAGGGGAACTCGGACCACAAAACAGATTGAATTTCTTGAAGTGATGGATTCGTGTCCAGGTACTCCGACCATAGGACAAGTAGCCGATTCTCAGTGTCATTTGCCAAGGATGCAATGTCCTTCGCTGAGGTCCAAAGGGATGTGAGGTCCTTAGATCTATCTGTCGGGGGAAAGCAAGATCGGTACAGGTGTATGTGCACGAGTGTCAGGAAGGCCATCCGTTCGTCGGGATGGACGTCGAACTCCAGGATATCGCGATTTGCAGCAACGGCATCCCTCAAGCGGCCGACGGCAGGAAATACAGCAGGCCGTCGTCTCCGTAGTGAACGTTGGGGTAGCAGCGGGCACCCTTCATCCTGCTGATCAGGAGGTGGTGCACTCATCATGCGTCATGTATCATCCACGGGGTGTTGGTGCTTGAACTTCTTGCTGAGACCCATCCACGTGACATGTCCAACGACTCTTTCTCCTGCACGATATGAGCACTCAGGCAGTACCACTGCTACAGACCATTGAACCGGACGACCCGTCCGCAGAGAACGTGCACAAGCCAAATGCTGCTCCTCAACAGAGGCAGGAATCTCGCTGCCAGCTCAACGATGGCGTTAAACCATGACGACGCGGAATCAGGTCCGAAGCCTCGCCCGTCCATCCTGATTTCGTTGTTACTGACGCGTTCTGTCCAGCCCTTTCTGGCATTCTGAAACAAGCTGAGAATAATCCATGGATCGTTGTAGCCCTCACCCCCCTGATACGCGCCACAGTCTGCACACCCAGCGGTGCTGCTCTGCCTGTACTTCTTCCGAGTATCAGCCATTTCGGTCTACGTCCTCTGTGGCCTCTTCACTGATAACTACGTACTCTCTGTAAGTGGTGGCCTGATGCCATCAGTTTATTGGACATCACTTACACGTCCACAGACTGTCGTAGTCGTCGTGCTCCTTGCAATGGATTTTTGGAATTGTAGGGTAGGTATAAGCATCGTCGCACCGTTCTTCATTCCAATATGTTTTTTAAAAGAATGTTGCCGGCCGTAGACTGGTCGGGCTGCGGTTCTGGAATCAGGTATGCTCTGGACATTGGCATTCCAGGCCTTTCATATAATCTCAAATGAAACTCAAGATTGATGAAGATGGCGAGAGCTACTGGGTCTTTGAAAGCAGAGATGTGGGTCTTCTCCTTTTCTTTCTCGCGGCGTTCTCGGAATATTCACCGCCTTGTTGGCATTCCATTCTTCCACCCCATGCAGCCGTCCCGTCCCGCAAACCCCGTTGATTCAAGGCAGGTGTTCCATTCCTCACAAAGAACACGCATTCCGATCTGGAGCCTGACACTCGTTTCCCATCTAGGATGTTTTGGGTGGGTGATTACAATGCTAAAATCAACGCCCATTGAATTGTCACCCCATGCGTTCGCAACGTGCTTTAGATCGCCATTTACGTCTTCCCTGTGTGCTGGCTGCTGCTATTCGTGATATCTATCGTGAGATTCAATCTTTCGTAAGTTTCCTGCGTACGATCAATACGCCGTGATCATTCACATTGTGTAGCTTCATACCGATCGTGGTACTTGCGCTAGTGTTTAATATCACGAATGCAGTAGGTTTTACCTATGCGTAAGTGAAATAATGGGTATCAAGCTTTTACTCACAATCTGTAGTGATAGAGATGCCAAACAGCGGGGCATTGCTAGTTCAGCCTGGAATGTGGGTATCGGTGGGCAGATCATGTCCGGTGTTGTTAGGAATAGCATCGGCAAGATTTTTGGATAGATGGCCACATGCTAGCTTCCATCTTCAAAGACGAGTATGTTCATTACCCAGAATTGCAAGTAGTTGCTCCAACAGACCTCACACTATCTTTGCGTCCTGTGAATCGAAGCCGACGTGACATAGGTAACCATAGCAAAGTGCAGGTACTAATTTTACACAAATGCAAATGTGCAACGAGATGCAACAAAATCGCGAGTGAATAACAAGTCTGGAACATGGACATGGCATAGGAGCACGAAGACTAGTGTGCATACAATGGTGGCCGCGGTCGTCCACTTTGCTATATTGTTCGAGCCTATTCCAACCCTACCCAGCCTCTGGCATCGACGCGTGAGTGCGCCGTGGTAGGGGCCGCGGACGAGCCAACTCCGATGAACGATATCGTACGACCTCTGGAGGAGGCCATTGCCACACGCGGTGTGACCTGCGACGGGAAGGGGTACGCGTTGGGTTGCACGCTAGACGTAACAGTCATGGTAGCTGGCGTACGCGTCGCTGTGGTGACGGTGGGCGATGGAGGAAAAACGAAGAGAGTTTGTGTCGCAGATAACAAGGTTCGAGGGGTTGTTTTAGAAGGGAAAGTTACCTGATTAGAGGTATCCGGAAGCTTGAGCGAAGGTGGCACATGTTTTCGAGAACTTCGTTTCCGGCGAGGCCGAGATGGCGGATCTCCGACGGGCGCAAGGACTGGAGTAACCGGGGAGGGAGGAACCGGGGGTAATACTCCAAGGGTGAGTGGCCGGCGCCTTGCTCTGCTTGGAGCAATGTTGGCTGACGCTCGGACTACAGATTGCCGCGTAACGTGGAATGTGAGCTTTGTGGGAGATGCCGACGGTGCAGACATCAGATGTCTACGGACAGGTAATGGGCGAGCTGGGAAATTGTTGAATGTTAGAGGAAGTCGAGAATCGGACTCGCTCGGAGAACCAGGAGATTCACTCGACAAAGATGGACTCCGCCTCGGCTCCGTTGTGTCGTCAAAGCCACCGCCGACGCCCAACAGTTCGGCCTCTTCGTCAGCTTCTACCAAGTTCTCGCTGAGTACACTCCCGCAACTAGTGCGAATGCTTGCGACAGATCCTGCTCGCTTTCGCTCGTTTAGGCTTTTTTGGGTAGAACTCAAACCAATTTCGGAACGCGTCGAAGCTGCTGACGGCCTAGCGTGCAATGATACGTTCTTCCATCGCACGGTCGAGATCCTTGGCCTCCTGTTGAATGGCATCGTTATCCCGATCTTCGTAGCCCTCGGCTGCGAATGCATCGCGGCGGCGTCCCCATTCTTTCTCCTCGTCGGACGTCGACTGAGTATTTGTCTGATCGGGTAGGGGAAGCATTCCCACCTTGTAAAACCTTCTCATAATCGAGCAGTTGGTAAATGAGGCTGTGGAGCGAGGATTAATTAAAGACAGGTTGCAGGGGCACGCATACTTACGACATGTTGGGACCCACATGCTTACTCTTCTCTTTCACAAAAGAGTAAGCTGCTTGCATGCCCCTGAGTTCCCATACTTCTGGGGGAACAAAAGAGCAACGTGTTGCAGCAGCGCGCATGACAATAGCGATCATCAGGGTGGCTGAGCGAGAGACTCCACATTGACAACTAGAATCGGACATGAGAGAAGGAGACACGGACTGAACACTTTACCCACTGTATGAGAACGCCCTCATTGCGAGCAAGAGCGGCATCTACGAAAGCCATGGCAGCGGGGAAGCCTTCACTGACGAGATGCCTTTCGCCATGAGACCACTGCAGTTTGAGGTAATGGATTCCCGGACGACCTGTGGGTGAGTGAGGTGGATAATAGGTCGACTCTGGTTCTCTTGCTCTAGCACTGAGGTTTGGAGTGGAGGCTGACTGGCGAAGGGGTTGAGGATGGGATGCGTCGAAGGGAGAATTGACTTCCTTGGCGACGTTGAGGATGGCCTTGATACGGCGCTGGATGAGGGCCGGCCAATCACGGGCGTTGTCTTCGGAACCGAGCCATATGCCAGGAAGGACCTGAATTGGGCCATCGAGATAGGGCACGGTCGGAGAACCGTCTTCGTCTTTTCTATGAAGGGCAGGGGCGACGGTAGTATTAGGGAGGGACAAGATGGAAGGACGCCGGAGAGCTGGAGTGGGAAAGGGGTGGAGGTCGAGGGCACTTTGGGGAGGTGAGAGGAGTGAATTCGTGGACGAATCTGCGGAAGGCAGGTTTATAGATAGTTTTTTCATGTTTCTAGAAGAGCGAGGTTTCTGGAGGGGACACTTGAGATGCTCAGAGGTTGGGGAGGACAGGGTTGAGTGGGAAGAGGTGTCGTCTGTGGAAAGCACTATAAGGGGGTTATGCTGAGGAGTGTTAATGCGGAGGGCTGTGGGAGGACATCTTTTGCGTGGCACTGGGACCTGGGCCTCATCCTGACTTGTCGAAGGCATGATAACGAGATATATGAACACTCCACGTCCAGCGTGAATTTCAATCGATAAAACAGACAAGCCAATCCTGGCTCTTTGCACACTCGAACGAAGAATATAACAGAGAAATAACCGAAGAAGAAAAAATAAGGGAAAGAAGAAAGGAAAAGAGGTATACAGAAGAGGGTTGCCCTCGACAATGCAGGATGATGGTTCGAATCTGTACTTATGTGTTGCCGGTGGGGCCCCTGCGACGACGACGGGGGGCGTGTTTGTGTGTGTTTGTTTCACGCCATGGCGACGACAACACAGGCGGTGCGCTGGCTGTCGGATGAGGCTGCCTCGTTGAAGTCCAGCGGTCCGACACGTTGTTGATCTGAACAAGCTGAGCGGAAATGGCCTGGGGCTGGGACCGCAGTGTCCATGAGGATGGTCACGCCGGACATTGGACACTCCGTGCGATAAGCAATGTATATGTAGCATCAAATGTTGGGCGCTTGTTTCGTAATGCTCGCCTAAGGCGCGCTTCGACATGAACAACCACGCACTCTTCATTGGCTCGTTCTTCCTCACCTTCACGACCCTCTTCGTAGGCTCGCGCTTTCTCAACGCCAGGCTCGAAGAAGCGGGCTACGACACCTCCAGATTGATTCTCATCGGTCTTGAGCCAAAAGGTCACACCACCCCGGCAGGCAGCAACATGGCGTTCTCCTCCACCACAACCGGATACACCCACTTTGTGGCTTTGGCACTCGCTCTTGCTAGCAGCGCTTTCATCTACCTCAAATTTGCGTCGCCGAGTGCGTTCATCACCATTTCACCCTTCCACCCCCTTCATTGACGCCACCTGCTGACTTCATAGAACGAAAGCCAGTTCTTGACCCCAAAGTTTGGCAAGAATTCACTTTGAAGGAGAAAATTATCGTGTCGCCGAATACCGCCGTGTAGCTGCCGCATCTTCCCACTTCTTCTGCGTGTAATGACTGACGTGGACACTTAGTTACCGCTTCGCCCTCCCTCGCCCCGAAGACGTCCTTGGTTTACCCATTGGGCAGCACATATCCATTTCTGCGGAAATTAATGGCAAGGAAATCGTACGCAGCTATACCCCCACCAGCAGCGACGACGACCTAGGCCATTTTGACCTTTTGATCAAGGCAAGTGGGATTTGCCTCTTTATCGTTTACCAACGCCGAACGTATTGCCCAGACCTACGAGAAGGGCAACATCTCCCGCCATGTGTCTCTCCTTAAAATTGGCGACAAGGCACGAATCCGTGGTCCCAAGGGCTTTTTCAAGTATATCCCGACCCTGGCGCGCGAGATTGGCATGATTGCCGGTGGTACTGGCATCACACCCATGCTGCAAATCATCCGCGCGGCATTGAAGAACCCTGCAGACAGGACTCGCTTGAGTCTTATCTACGCCAATGTTAACGCTGAGGACATTCTTCTCAAGAAAGAACTCGATGACCTCGTTATTGCGCATCCCGATCGGTTCTCGGTATACTACGTCCTCAACAATCCGCCAGAAGGGTGGACCGGAGGCGTCGGCTTCGTCACGAAAGAACAGATTGAAAAATACTTGCCCCCCACCGCCGAGGACATCAAGCTTCTCATGTGTGGTAAGTTTTCTCTGAGCCGTAGATTGAGCCTATCTACGAATGTCATAAATCCCTACCAGGTCCTCCACCAATGATGACAGCGATGAAGTGCGTTTGATGTACTTAAAACATATTACATTGTTCATTCCACACAGGAAGCACCTTGCTGAATTGAACTACACTGCACCCCGCACCGTCAGCAAACTCGAAGATCAGGTTGCCGCACCATTTTTTTTGTTGCAATGCACTCGCACTGACGGACATTTGCCCAGGTCTTTGTGTTCTAACATCGGACGGCTGATTGTTGGATTAGAACTTCGATGAAATAGACCCGAGATGACCAATAGAAATTTGTTCGTCTTGACTTGCTCTCTTGATGCTGCAGACCATGCAAATAGAGATCACGTTATGAGGCACGGTAAATGGACAGCATCACTAGTGTCAAGACTGCGCCATCAACTCGTCAGCCACTAGTCACTGGCCAGGAACTGCATTGGTTTGATCTCATTTCAAATTGCACTACCATCTGCCAACAGAGATCTGGCTGATCTGGAAAGCTTCGCTCAGCATAGATCAAAGTACGCCTTGTCTCGTTGGAACAAGCCCAGGAATGTCAATCCCCGCACAGGATATGTACTATGATATTTGGATATCCCACATGCCTCTTGCCATAAGGTTGCGCCGTGTCGCCCTAATAACAAATCGGAGGCACGCCTTCAGGCAGATGCTGCGTCTTCGCGAACGTATCTTGTTGAATGCCACCCTGTCTCTCATCAAGCAATTGCTGTGGCACTAGCAACGAGCTGACTTGAAACGGATGGCGAGTCAAGGTGTGTTCGTTCACTACCGCAAAGGTAGTGAACCCCCGTTCATGGTGCTGCACCTCGTCCGATGCATATTAGGCGCGGGCCTTCTGTTATCTACAGTACTGAAGAACGTGTATGCCTTCGAGGCTAATACAGACCCCGACGTGTCAGCCCCCCCCAAGGTATTCCACATGTTAGAATAATAGAGTAAGTGGGAGAGAAACTTATTAGTTAAGAACACATCGCATATTACAATACTGTACGATGGTTTCATGCCTCACCAATCCAATGATCAGGCCATTGGAGAAGTCAGCCGAACGCTTGAATCCTCCAGCATCTCGACTCGACACTCATTTAATCTAACGAAGGTGTGGGAAGCTCTCGTAAGACAATGAGAACGATAAGCGGACAATGCCTACATTTTTCCTATTTCGTTTGCGGCTAGCATACCGATCAGGAATTCTTCTTCAGTGGGCTCCCTATGGGACGTCCGCGCCAGCTGTATTGCGGAGTCATAGTAATGAAGGGATGTGAATCCATCCCCGTCTTTTGGTAATAAGAGAAGGATGAATCGAAAATGGTGCAGCATGCGAGCATGAGGTTTCAGTCGTGGATGGCTGGGAATAACCAAGTGTGCCTTGGCATCTTCAGTGAACGGTGAGATTCCCCCGATCCCAACGCAACGGCAGCTCAGGAGACACACCAATGTCAGCGATGGTATCCAGCAATGCACGCCGGAAGCGAATTCCAGAGTACTCGGTACCTGAAACCCCACTGGTGATGAGCTCACGGCGAGCAAGAGAACAACATCAATACTTACCTGGTCTACCCCAGCCCGGGTGAATGATATGTCGAGGTTGACACTCGTACGACACTAGGCAAGCCCGAGAAAACTCTTGGGAAATGTACTCGCGGACTTGCTACTGCAGGCATGAATGCGACTCCTCAGCACCTACGTCACGACAAACTCGCCTTGGGGGCTTGGGTCCGGTTAACTGTAGTGTAGACCTTCGATATCCGCTGCAGCCTTCTCCTGACCGCCACTCGACGCCTTACACACAATGTTATGGAGACCAGGAACTGGACAGCGCAGAGACATTCGACTTAGTCTTGGGGGAAAAGAGGAGAATAATACTAACCACTAAGAGATAGGTGGCGGCTATGCAAACTGCGTTCCAGTTATTCCTCCACGACCTAGTCGGTGCGGTCCTGACTGCCTGTGAGAGTAAGGAAGCGAGGGAACCTGCAAAGAAACATCCCGTGATGAGTGCCAAAGCAACATAGCTTGCCTCCGAGATCCAGAACAGCGCGCGGGGCGACAGCGTCCGCATCAAAATAACACGATGAATCTTACATAACTAAAGAATGCCATGCGGAGTGACTCCAATTCTAATAGGCTTGTTTCATTACCAAGGTCTACCCAAGCTACCTATACGGCTTTGACATCATGCACCTCCATGCAATCATTGACTGGTTATAACAAGCCCTTGTATATCTCATTTTTGAGTCACGGTCTGGTTGCAGAAAGGGACGACTGTTCGCTCGCAGTTCTGAGAACGAGGATCAACCGCATGGCATCCCGATATTCACAAAGAACTGCTTGGTAGTTTAAATTCGATTGCGTCTTCACCGCTGGGTCATGTGTTTCTTGCAGTTCCACGTTGCTGAGGAGCTTATGTATCGGATAAGGAAGAATAATCCAGCACACAGAAGATTGCAAACTCACTGTCAGTAGGGTGTTCGCACTTTGTGACATTCTATGTCTCGATAGTTCGCCGGACTCAGAGGTTGCCAAGTGCTCTAGTGTCTCGCACAACGTTACGGTCTTCGGGCTTGCTCTTACATAACTTTCTGAGAAGTCGTCAACGAATATTACAATCTACACCAACAGCCCGCTCACTAGTATCATTATCAATATGATTCACCAGAAATAAAAGGGCATCACATATCGTAGGACCGACAGCGAGAGCCAATGGTTCATCCTCGGATTGGTAGGGATGTGCTTTCATCAGCATCAAGGTGTCGGATAGGTACTCCCATGTGCCCAGGTACCAGCACGGCTCAAGTAATGGTGCAGACATGATATAGGCGGAGACCGCCGCTGAGTTGGGTCAGTGTTTCACGGCGACCACTCTACCGTCATCGGTGCTTACAAGCAACGACCAGACTTCTTGTCTCTGAACTTATGTGCCTCATCATCTCCACGTCCAAGACTTGAGACGATTGGCTGTTGTTGTAGCCGGGACAGCGTTGACGGATGATTGTTGCAAAGGTCAAAAACGTTTCATGAAGGAGCGTCGTCTCCCCTGACGAGGTGTCGAGTAAGAACTTGCCGACACTCTCGGCAACACGAACGGAGGATTGGTCGTCGAGAGCATCGACATCTTTTGAGATGATGATCGAAAGAAACTGCATCAGCTGTTGCACCTGAAGCAGTCGGTTTTGCTCAACGGGTATCTGGGTCAGAGATCTATAACAATTTGCATGGCCGTAGTATTGGTAAGATTCTACTCACACACCCACTGCCGCATTAGCTAATGGACAGTAAGCACTTATGTCGACCCAAAGTGATAAGGCATACCTTCATCGATGATAGTCTGGAAAGGTATACTGGAGTCGCCGCGAATGAGTTTCCACACCTCGCAAACGCAAGAAGCATGCATAAAGGACAGGCTCTGAATAACGAGATTATTGACTTTGGGGTATCAGATCAGCTGGGTTGCTTTGAGGTTCTTTTTACTACTCACCTACACTGCCTTGTTCCATTCGACACAACTGTAAAGCAAGGACCAATAGGGCCTTGCAGTAACCAATTGAATGATGTGCACCACAGTTGCCAGTGACGATGGATTGTCTCGCGAGGAGACATGTTTCACGAAGAACATCCATCACTAGCGGTAGTGAACCCGCAGGAGACGAGCTTGCAGAAAGCATGATAGTACACCTTGTGAGTAGTTCCTATGCCAGGAACAATTAACATCCCCTGGAGGGCACGCCCACTTGGAGCCTCACCACCAGAACTGTCATCACAGCATGTTGGTAATGGCTGTGGGACCCGCTACCCTGGCTGGACAAAATGGTTCCAAATACGTTTGACTCCTCCACATGATGGCGTAGATAAGTCGTCGCCTTGCTTACGCAGTCAGACTTTTTTTTTTAAAAAAAAAGAAAAGAAAAGAAAAAGAAAAAGAGAAGACACACGAGATGAATGAATATGTCTGCGCGAGGACTTTGGCATTCTTCCCAAACACCTAAGCACCATAAAGGAACCGCCCCAAAACGGACGAGCATGCTTGAGGCGGCATTCAACTCTTCCAAGGGACAGAAAATTGTAGGGAGTGTGAACTCATCCTTGTCCATGACGAAGTTCAGTAAGCAGATAATCGCGCTGTTGGTTTGAGGGCGGAAAGGTGTTACGGAGTGCGTTTCAGTATCTGTTCGCAAGGACATGCTCGTAACCTGTATGGGAATGAGAGGCGAGTGATGGTCACCTAGAAGGTGGTAATATCGGACTCACGGCGAGTAAAGTAAGAACCATGGCATGTACGAGGCGCTCTTGCTCGACAAGGGACTGATAGCCTTGACCAGCGACTGCCATCGGTTCGAGCATTTGGCGGTCGATGGACAAGATATGTTCCGTCAACGCAGTGGGCAGTGATTGCGGGCTTCATTTGCACTTCCAATTTCGTGAATGAAAATTTTTCATTTCCACCACTTACAAGAAATCACGGCCCACGCTCGTCCCAGAGATGCGAGGATAGAGCACGTACGATCCGAACAACAGTTGTACCGCCAACCGTTTTGCCGCGGGCGACGTGCGATCAGATGTAAGTAGGGACGGCACCAGATCCCAATTATCTTGCTGTTGTATCAGAAAAAAAACTACATGCGTGAAGCAGTCGAGATACCAGCCAGCTGCATAGCAGCTTTCAGTCTGCCTTCCCGTTGACGAACCACAAGGACGTTGGCGAGGGTTTCTTCCGAAGAGAACACGCGGAAGTCCGTTGCAACCAGTGCAGAAAGGTCTCCCAACTTTGTCAGGATAATATCGACCCAGCAAACTGTGGTGGGAGCTGCAAACCCCAGCCTCAGGTCTTTGGCAGCTATGGTACGAAAGAGCCGACGGTACTGAAATAAAAGGTTGAGGAAAGAGGGAGGCACTGCATACTTTAGCAGGAAGCGGAAGCGGCTAACAAACGAGACTGTGACACCTACACAAGCACGATATATCCTTGAGGGCCATGGTCCGGTCTTGATCTGAGAGAGTTGACTGCGGCAACAGGAGCATATCTATGAAGCGCACTATGGCGGTGACGCATTCTTGAACGACCCCATGCAAAGAATCATCCTAAAAACCATTGAGGGAATTGCTAGAAGTAGTTATGCTAAAACATGCCTCTCGTAGCACGCCAAAGTCGAGTGTTGCCAGTGTGCTCGTGGCCCAATTTACAGATTTAGGAGCGACATTGGCCTGACAAGGTTTCGAACCACACGCCTGGGCAAATACAGTAGAAAAGCTGAAGGTATCAGTGAGGGATGGCTCTGGCTCGGATTCCGTGTCGCTGTCGGACATGCCGGATCTTGCTGGTCAGGTTGGCTTGATCAGAGCTTATATGCTCCTTATTTTGGCGCATACATTCACCACATCACAAGCCCCGAATTGATTTCAACAAAGTAGTAATGCTCGTCTTACACTCCAGTCGCTCCTCGTTGTCTGAAAATATAGACTGGAACACCTGGTTCGACTCCTCTGTCTATGTGAGAGAAAAAAAAAATTAGATACGCATGAGCACTCGCCAACCATACACGCACCTCTCCATCGCAGAATTCGACAGCCTGCCACGGCTCGTCCTCCACGGCCCGAATTGCCAGCAACATCTCACGTCGGATAGCAGACATTCCACCTTGCATATTGCTGTTCCTGTCCTCGACTAATTTACGGGCCGACACCTGCACTTCCTTTCCCTCAGCAAGCTTCTTCTCTTTCTTCGGGGCTGTCACTACAGGCGCCGGCTCATCTGGATCCGGAGGGTAGTCATCTGAATCCGAATCCGAGCCAGCCCCCCTTCTTGACCGCCCACTCTTACGTGAGGTGAGATCTAAGTACGTTAACGTTGGGCGAAACTGGTGGGTTTCGCTGACCGGAACAAGGTGCAAGCGATCTAAGAAACGGGATAAGCAATAAAGAAGAGCAATACGATCACACAGCCCTACCATTATGAATGACTCCTAGCATGTACACCTCCTGCTGGGGTATTTGTTCACTTTGCAGTCGAACTTCGGTTAGTCGTGGTTCCTCCCCTTCCCTCTGTTTAGTGCTACTGCTGTCTTGATTCTTCTCCCTGTCGTCCTCAGTGCGCGCAACTCCAAACTGCTTGCTCTTATCTTGATTCCAAATCTCCGGTCGCGTATCTACCGGAACGTGGATCTCTAGTTTGCGGGCCATAGGCTTGATACGTGCGCGGATCCGTTTTCCGCTGAGAGCTGCAGACGGCGGTGTCTGCAGCGGTCGAGTAAGTAGCGGAAACTGGTGAACGTGTACATCCGGACTCAAAATGTCCGAGTAGTGAATAGGGAAGACGCTAACAATCTCGTCCTCCTCCATGATGGAAACCTTCGAGATCGAAGAAAATGCACCCCGTGGGAATCTTATCTCTAGCACATACGCTGTGTGCATTGCGGTACCCAGTCAGTTTCGATAGCTACGCGCGTTACTACTGTACATTGCATTCTGATGTGGGTTGTGATCTGACTCTGTTGACGTCTGCTAGGATTCATGATGTGGACTTCCCGTTATCGCGTACATAGGAAGATCCTGGACTTGGGCTCTCTCGAATAAAATTCACCAGTTCCCATTATTACTTTTCATTCCAAACACTGCATCAACACGATGGCTGCCAGTCGCTCTTACCCCAACATTATTATCACTGGAACGCCGGGAACGGGTAAATCGACGCATGCACAATTGCTTGCACAGGAATCACCGATCCCCCTGAAGCACATCAATGTCGGGGAAATGGTGAAGGACCGAGGATTGCATGAAAGCTTTGACGAAGAATGGCAATCATATACCGTGGACGAAGACAAAGCAAGTCTAACATGATGCCATCGACATTTTTGTTGACACATTTCCGCAGCTCCTTGACGAGTTAGAACCGCTCGCCGATCGAGGCGGATTAATTCTCGATTGGCACACTTGCGACATATTCCCAGAACGGTGGATCGACCTCGTTATCGTGCTCCGTTGTAAACATACTCTCGTCTGGGAAAGACTAGAAAAGCGGCATGTTTTGTCATTCATCCTCGTTGACCAGTCTGTCTCATGTTTGTTAGAGATTATCCGTTGAAAAAAATCCAAGAAAATAACGAAGCAGAGATTATGGGTGTCGTATCCGACGAGGCCAGAGAATCTTATCAGTCAGAGATTGTCGTGGAACTCACAAGTGAATCTATGGAAGATCTTCAAGAGAATGTCTCGCGGATGGTGGAATGGATTAGCAATTGGCTTGACAATAACGCCAAGCAACACAACGGGACCCAAAGCTAGGTCGCGTCGGGACGCATGCACAAGGCCATTCTAGTATTCCTTCGGCCCAAATGCGAGTATTTGACCCGAATTCCCAGTGGTTATCGTCGCTAGGGGTGTAGGGTTGGAATTTAAAAAAAACGTCGCTCGTTACATTATTGGGCTCGCGAGCACTTCCAACATTATGTAGCAAACTAGTTGACTTGGAAATAGGAGTGGCTGGAGACAAAGCACTTGACCTCGATGTTTTGACGCTCACTGCCAAGCACTACCGCCTAGCGGGCTTTGCCTGTGGCATTAATGACGACTGAGCCCTCCGAGACACGCAGCAACTCACCCCCTGGAAAGGTGCCTCTTTACGAGGCCAGTACGCAATTTCAAAAGCTGGAGGTACTCTCCAAAGCGACTTCGACACGTCCGACAGACGCTTAATGCCGCTGCAGTCGCAGCAATCCGCAAAACCCTGGAGGCTGACGAGGTGCGTTGTCTTCAGAGTTTCTTGAGGAAAGGCATATGTTTGCTAAACTATCTCAGCCAGGATCGTCAACCTCTGTCTCGTTCTTGCGGCCCGACGATGAGTTGCTGCTCGTAAAGCTCTACACTACTAAGATCCCTCAGTTATGTGGCCACTTCCGCTTCCCTGAAGAGGTGGAAGCCACTGCCATAAGTTACTTGAAACGATTCTACCTCAAGAACACAGTTATGGACTGGCATCCAAAGAACGTCATGTAGGTCCGCATCGCCGGTCTCGTGGAAACTCTAATGCATCTGCACGAACAGGCTCACGGCACTCTTCCTAGCTACGAAAACGACAAACAATCCAATATCTTTGGACTCTTATACTTCCAATATCCCGAAAGCTTCCCAGTCCGATGTTCTGGATTTGGAGTTTTTGGTTGCGCAGAGCCTCAACTTCGAGTTTGCGGTGTGGCACGCTCACCGAGCACTTTGGGGTCTGTGGCTTGATCTCCAGGTACTTTTTCGATCGTTTTCTAACTTGGTTCGCCGCCTCACTCTTCGCAGAGCCTTCCTGATGTTACCGAGAGCCTCCGCTCCCTGGAGGTGTATGAGACCGCTCTCAAACATGTCCGCGTGTCACGTTTTACGGATGCGGAGCTTATCTATGCCCCATCACAGATAGCTCTTGCTGCTCTATCACTCGTCTCCCCATTTTTGTGTCAAAAGTGGTTGGATTCGAAAATGCCCTCAGATCCTACCGCTGCAGAAGCGCACCGGCAGATCTTAGAGCAGACCAACAACGAAATTGAGAACATGATAATGCAGCATGGACAACCGCCCGACGTAGAAGCCGCTCGCGAGGTTGATCGTCGCCTTAAGCTGTGCAAGAATCCTGAAAAGGTGGTTGGAAGCAAGGCGTTCCTTACTCGGCGAGCGGAGGAAGAGCGTCGCGCAGAGGAGAAACGGAATAAAAAAGCACAGGACATACGTAAAACTTCTGAGGGAGAGGATCCTTTTGGAAGTCGACTCACCGGGTCACGGGAGTCCCCAAGCGTGGATGACGACGACGACGATTGAAATCCGTTTATATTTCTGTTTAGATCACACTTCTCTACAGGAGCTACATAGACACAGGGCTTGTAGATATGTCGTCCATAAGATTGATAGATAAATTCTCAAACGACACAAGGGCTCGATGAGAAGTGTATATTTATACAAAGGACATCGTTGTTGGCTGCACATTGACCTCACCGACCGTGGCTTCAGAAGTGGGCCGGTGAGGCTTCGATAGAGCCAGATTACAGATAGGCTCATCTGGGGAGATCGCACCGCACTGGAGACATTCACCGACGGATCTGTCTTTCCTGGAAACTCGTAATACAAGGATCACTATCAGAAGCCTGTGACTGGTGAATAGTTGTCTGGCTGGCGAGAGAAACGGAACGTACAGCAATTACAGTCGAAGGGACACAGCGGTGCGTCTTTGGAGGTGTAATTAGACGGCTCGCAGAAAATTGAATGGACGCACCTCCACCCTCGTTGCCGATGCCGAGTTCGTCTTCCTTGTAAATGTTGTACCCTTCTTCGGTTTTCTGACCTGAGGGTGGCAGGTTGGTTATCGTTAGATATGTGCGCTGAGCAAACTACCCACGAGAACCAGTCCCTCTTGAGTCCTTGAAGCGATCGTCGTCATGTTGGGGTCGTTGGGTAGACGAGCTTTTTTTGGATTGCCCGTCGATTTTTTGGCGTTTTTTTGGGTGATGGCGAGAAGAAGACGAGTCAACGACAGTCTCGGGGTTAGAGCGTTTGCTCGAGGACTGCTTGGCTTTTTTCTTTGTTTTGGAGGCCGTTCCCTGTGGCTTGGCTGCAAAAATCTCGTCTATTTCTGAGGAGGCAGGCATGGAGAGTGAGTGTGACAGGGTGTAACGGCGTGACACCTGGCATCGACGGTCAGCTTGTCCCCCCAGAGTGGCCCTCCTCGACGAGAGTGCCGATGTTGTAAGTACACTCGCTTGACTGGCTGGCCTGTCTGCCTGACCCAACCCGTTGCCCCCTGCCAGACCCCAGTCTCCCCACCAGCTGCGGCCCCACAACCCACAGATCCCGCTCCCACCCACAGCCACCCCATTCCTGCCCCAGAACCCCTCTTTCGATCCATCATCCCTATTCAATCTCGACCAGACGTCCGTCAACCTCCGCGATCATCAGATTAATAATAATAATGTAACACCCAATGGGCGCCAGCTACCTCCATCATCCTCGGCTTCATTCCGCCCAGGAATGCCGTTCACCCCCACAGTCTCGCTTCCTGGCCATTCAGCTATGCAACCATCCGGTTACCCTTCTTACCCCAACCCTTCCCTCCAGTCTGCGCCCTCGTTCGACCCTGCTGCACAGCTAAACCTGCCTTCCCGTCAACCTCCAAATCCAGCGCATGTCAAGCCCAAACAGCGCTTCCTCACCGGCCTAGCCAACTTTCACATCTCCCGTGGTCATCCCCTCCCCCCTGCATTGACCGGTTGCCCTTACCCACCCAATTACGACCCCGCCAGTTCGCCCTGGAAAAACCTTGACTGTCCTTCAGGAGAGATCGGCATCTTTCGATTGGGTGGTAAGGATGTCGACTTGTTGAAGCTATGGAACGTCGTCCTGCAAGGTGGTGGTTTTGCCAAGGTATGTGCTCCGTTTAGTCCTTCGTTGTATCGTAAGATGATCCCAAAAAACTAGGTCACGCAACAAAACGGCTGGCCTCAAATCAGTCGCCATTTCGATCTGCTTGACAGTCCTCCCGGGATGCCCTCCGCCAATCAGCATCCTCCCGCGGTAGTCCTTGCTCGTTATTATCAAATCCTCCTCCTACCCTTCGAAGAGGTTTTGACGCGGAGCGCTCAAGAGGGCAATAGAAAGCCGATGACCGCTCCAGGTCGGCCAGCCGGTGAAATGCCAGACAGCGTCTCCAATATCCCTCCCCCTCCAGGAACGGCTTCGCAAATCGGAAGTATTACCCCTTCTCACAGCATCACCGTCCCCATAGACCAACCTACTATCTCCGGCATCCAAACCCGTCCCAGCGGAAGCCCACCAGGTCCTCCATCCCAACCGCTGCCACAGAGCCCGTGCCCTCCTCAAGCGCCACCCGGATCAAATTCTTCAGGGTCGTTTGGGTTATCAGAAGCTTTAGCTGGCAATTCGTTGTCCCAACCTTTGGGTGGCACAACCCTCGCCCAATTACCTACCGGTACGGCAAATGATCACCAAGATCAAGATCTTTCGGGTTTGAAGCGGAAGCTGGAAACGGACGAGGTTGACGGTAAGCGAGCAAAGTTAAAAACAGGTGAGACTGGCCCATTGACGTGGTTCGCGTACGTAATAACCTTGGAACAACGATAAGGAGGGACAGAAATGGCGGACCCAGTGAGCGCTTATTCTCTCTTTTCCATCCAACGCATTCACCGCTCGTGTAGCTACCTTCGTCAACTCCCTCGATGGACCGACCATCAACTTCTTCTGCCCCGCCAACGACCTCAAGTGCACCGCGTTCACGCTCACAGTTGATGAGAACCAAAGTTGAATATATACCTCTGGCTCGTGAGGTGGACACCTATGGAGGCCGAGATCTCAATCTACTAGATGAGGAGTACCACAGAGCGCAGCGGCGGGCAATAAGGGACATCAATGAATGGGGAACTGTGGACATCGAGGCACTCACGATGTCTATCCGGTCACGCCTGACGGTCGAGTTGTCATATGCTTTAACGACCCTGACGCTTCTGTCGACAATGAAGGGGCCTACGCCTGGGTCTGGTTTCCCGATCGCCCAATGCACTGATTTGCTGGAGGAAGTGCTGGATCTTTTAGAAGATGAAGCGTTTGACGGCGTTACTGATGTGCAACAGCATCTACTAGCTGACGATACCCGTATACCACGTCATCGTGAATTGGTGACATTGGTGCACGACGCAGAGTCACTGCCCTTTGCTGGGCTCAAGGGTGGACAGATATTGGGCAAAAAAGAACAAGACCCGCGACATCGTCCGGGAACTATCGTGCTAACCGTCACCAATATTATCCGGAATTTATCCGTTATCCCGGACAATGTGCAATTTCTCGCGAAGCACGAGCGCATGCTAGAGCTTGTGTTACGAGTCAGCGGTATCGTCGTTCCTGGGGACGGTGGACTACCACGGTCAGCCTCACCATTCCTCACGCTCTCAGAGGTGCTTCAAGTTCGCAAGGATGCCATCCACATTCTCAGTAATGTGGCCCCCATGATTGTCTTCCCCTTGGACTCCCCGCCGTCTGATTCCACAGCCCGGACTGTTGCTCGAGTATTCGAGCTGGTGGCATCTATCATCGTGGAACCTATAGATGCAGTGCCCCCTACGCAGACACTCAAGCTAAGCGGCATTCCGTTTCCGAACTGCCGTCCTCCATCCCTTCCTGATCTCACTCTCGACGTTTTTACTCGCATCGCCCATCTAGACCAAAACCGCCAAGTATTCTCTAGAGTCATACCCCAGGAGTGGATATGGCGTTTATTGGAAAGCTTGGTCCGCCGTCTTCCAGTTTCCGATTCCGATTTTGCCTTCCTCTCGCGGGAACCATGGTTATCATACCTAGAGAAGGCCACAATGGCAATTTATGCCATTTCTTTCCTATCTCCACCGGAATTGAAGAAGCGAATCAAATGCGATAGGTCGCTGCGATTCTCACAAGTTATGATCCGAATGGTCCAGCGACTCCTTACGACCAGTTCTGTGCCCGAAGCTCGCACCTGGTTCATGGTCACTGCACGAAGAGCCATTGAGGCGATGAAAGTTGTCGACGATGGGGAGGACGCGTTTGACACGTCGCAATCTACTCAACCAACCTTGGCGTTTGGGATGGGTTTCGGGGAAACGGGCGAGATGGTAGTGGAGAAGGGAACCGGGATGTTGGCTGGTCGACGTGACGTTGCATGGGACCTGCTTATGCAGCGAGATTTGGATCCGGTGTTGTTTGGGGAGCTGGAGAGCCTGATGAGAGTAGACTGAGTCCATGATCGCGAGCTTCGGTCCCATCATTTGCTCATACCTTATGCACGGGATATCTGGTGCCCCGCATGAAAACCTTGGCTTCTTATTACCTTTGTACCTACGTTAAATGATTTACGCTAAGATAATCCGGTGTCCACTGCTGCGTTCACTTGCGTCGGAAATGGCGATCACCATCAGCATTAATATTCACGCGTTTCCACCGCAGTTTGCACTTCGAACCCCTCAGCAGCCTGCGTGCCATGCCAGTCGAGCTTGCGCCTCCTCCCCTGTACTCCCAGTTGCAGGAAGAGCCTTCAGATGGCAGACGTGATACGGAGACGCCAGGCGTGCAGATTCTCATTGTACCCGCTGCAGACGGCACAACTTTCCAGAAGGGCTGTCTTGGTGCGGAGGGAGAGCATGCGGCCATAGAGGGTGAGGTCCATCTCAAGGGTGCTCGACCAGGATTATGGAAGAAAGTGTCAGTCGCCCCTCTTTCCTGTCTCCTCAGCCTATTGTGCTCATGAGATCTTTGACTGGTGAAGGTCCATCACTTTGTGCACGACGGAGTCCGCCTGTGGACGACAGATCGAGCTAGGATCGTCCGAGGTCGACCTGTTATCACAGATGCCAATCTCTGAAACCATCCCAACCTCGTTACCCTTTGCCATACCGCTGATGCCTGATGTGCCTCAGTGCATACACACTACACAATCCGCCTTGACACATGTCCTCACAGCAACGTTGCACCCTATCGATTCTACAGCTTCCGATCGTATCGAAGGACGCTGTTGTCCATGTCAGACGCTATACCTCCCACACGCACACTGTACAGACATTGCCCGAGACTCATGTCTTGACTGCACCCATGCGGGTCGAGGTCGAGATACCTCGATCCACTTTCGTGGTTGGCGAACCTATCCCGGTGTACATCACAGTGCCACCTCCAGACTGGGAACGTATTTTAGATGGTGGTCTCAGGCTCCGCAATGTCAAAGCGGAACTCGTAAAAATTGTCGAGACGAACAATGGGGATGGCAGTCATGACACTTCAATTCCGGTCTTTGTAGACCCGACAGGCGAAGTTACCTCTTCCCCACAGGATCTGTCGGAGGGACCGTCGTCTGCGGCGTGTCCACCACCAGAGAAGCTAAGCAATGCTTCATTACTTGCTCCCCCAATCTCCGAAAGCTCTGCCTCGTGTCACACCACTGTACTTTCCCGTTCCGGGGCGTCTTGCAGGTTTCACAATACGAAAGCCGTTCGATTACGCTTGATTCTGTATCAACCGTTACCCCCATCGTCCCCATCGGACCAGCCGCCACCGTCCGTACCTTCGGGCTATGGATGTTTGGAGTCCGATGTCCAGTGTGTCTCAATCACTCAAGCTACCCTCTTGCATAATGTCTCGTTTCGGCTCAAGGTACTGGTGTCGGTCGTTGACATCAATAATAGGACCGAACGGTCCTTCGTACTGTCCATTCCCATTGTCATTATCCCTTCACCAGCTCCACTTCCCGAGGTTGAAGAGTGGGTAGACATCGCGTATCAGAAGAAACACGACCGCCCACCAGTCAGGACGGTGCGGCAAGAAGACACCGAGTTGTCTGTGCCAGTGTATCAGGAAGGGACGGCCGGGCCCAGCTATTTGCAAAGCGGAGAGCCTCCGCCGTTCGAAGATCGAGACGTTCCCCCTCCTCCGTTCTTTGCTTCTGTGCCCTCCACTTCAACCCATCTACCTACGTTCCAAGAGTCGGAAAACGAAGCGTTCATTCCCACGGATACAGAGGAGCATTTCACCCACGCACCTGAGCCGAGGATTATCATTGGAGAGGGCGTTCTCTTTGGGTTTTCAGCTTCTCAGCAATTCGATGGACACTCCGACGTGATCCATCCAACATCGACACCGCCGCCTACAGTTGAGGAGGCAGCGCAAGACCCAGACGTTACTAGTCTCATTGACATGGTTCAGCCTCGCCGAGCGTTAGGTTTAATGCTTGAACAACCAGATGACTCGGCTAGGGATTGTGGTTTAACCCCGCCGCCACCACCACCATTGATGGATGATCCGTCTGATCCCCCTCCGTCCATTGACTCTGAGTTCAGGTCCCTTACGACTCACGGAACCATTCAGGTGCATTCATCAACTTCAATTGCTCATCATCCATTCTCCCAGTTGCACGGACATGATGATTCATTATCACAATCACGAGAACTCTTGCACCAGACATCACCGGACACGCACGCGCCGCCTCCTTACCTTACGGCGAATGATCACGAACAAGCTGCAACTCCTCCACCTTATATGGACTTCGTGCTTCCACGTATCCGTTGAATGGGCGTAGTTAGACTCCAATATTACTGTACTGGTATACGTATAAGTGCATGGACAATTTCTAGCTCACCTCCGAGGGGAGGAGTGACAGTTCGATTTGCAAAGTTTCTATAGTCCGACAATCCATTAGAAAAGGGTAGAAAATTACAAGTGAAGCTAGCAATCGCGAACATATAGATCAAAACGGTTACTTAAAAAACAGGATGAGACGGTTGTGAATGTGGTTCGCATAACAACTAGGGAATAACCGCTAGCAATTGCAGCCATCTCTGCCCTTCGTCTGGTTCTCTTCCAAATTCACATTACCCTCTTGTCGCGACGCTCCAGGTCGGCTAACCTGAGTGCCATTTCTGCCAGCCCCACGGGTGGAAGCTAATATATGTTCGATGGGTATCTTCTTGGCTGTGTCACCTATCCGTCAGACCAGGCGGCTAATTCAGTGGAAATATACGTACCGATTTCTGTAAATATTTCGATAATGCCCTGACCGGTCTTGGCGCTGGTCTCAAAGAATAGCAGCCCTGCTTCAGTGGCATAAGCTTGTGCCTCTTCGCGAGGCACCTGTCTTAAGGACTCGGGTTCTCCCGCTGAGCCGGGTGTCTCTCCAGGGGTCGCAGTTGCGTCGTCGGCTTCATCTTCGGAGTCGGAGGCGGGGGCTGCGGTGGAAGGTGAACTGGATGACTGTACTAAATCTATCTTATTGCCTGCGAGTGCAATGACGATATTGGGATTGGCCTGTCTCTGTAGTTCTTTTACCCATGACTTGGCCTTCTCAAGACTGCTGGCTTTCGTGACATCATAAACGACCACGGCCGCCTGGGCGTTGCGATAGTACATGGGCTACAGTATGTTGTCGGTGGCGGAAATAGATGTCCCGAGGTATTTACTTACTGCCAGAGAGTGAAAGCGTTCTTGGCCAGCGGTATCCCAGATTTCATAACGTAAAACACGATCCTCCAGACGACACTTTTGTGTCAAGAAGGCAGCACCTATGGTGGGTTCCTTGTTGGGCTGAAACTCGTTGTTGACCTAGACGGAGGACGGCGTCCATAAGCCGATTCCCTATGACACATCATCTTTTACTCACGAATCGGAGAACTAGAGATGATTTGCCCACAGCTGCCTCGCCTACGGTACAATAAGTCAGTAGTCTGTAAGTGCCAGAAGGTTTATCTGGGTTTGGAAATGCCAACGAGGGAGAACGCCGGAGGTGACGAGAGAGACAGACGGGAGACGAGACGTACCCAGAAGGACCAGTTTGACTTGGACAGATCTGTCGACAGCTCCTGAGGCGGCGTCAGTCATCGTTTAAGTCGAGACGTCCTTGAGACCAGAAGGGGGGGCTTGTCACTGGCGGTGAATGGGAGAGCCAGGAAGGTGTAATGGCTGGCAGCTATGTGGCTGCGTGCTGGAGCAGTTTGTTTGCCTTTGTGTTCGCCAGCAGCTACGCATCGCAGCAAACTTAGGAATGGTCGAAACATCAGATCCATGGGAGATCAGAAACTTAGTAAAGGTTCTCCTCGTGCAAGGACTTAGCTTGCAGGGAATGTAGACAATTGCTGTACAACAACAGTGGATAATAATATATTTTCGGACATGTGACCCACAGACGGGAGTATCGAGCGATGTTGCGCGTACTCTAGCCTCGACACGCCACTATTGTGCCAATGGGTGTGCCATCCGTCTTGGGCCCGTCTATCCGTTGTGTGGACTTACTGTCAGTTGTAGACCCATCCTCTTTCCGCCCAACCTCAGACAGTGTTCCTCCGCCCAATGTCAGCTACCAGCAGAAGCAGCTCCAAGGCGTACCTGTGAACTACCATCCACTCGTACGTGCATCTGCTCGCCTTCATCCTTGGTTTCCGTTCACCCCTGGACATGTCAGAACCCCTTCACGTTCATTTTGCGTGCAGCCCTCATATACCCGGATAAACTCGCGCTTGCCCACCCAGATAGCAGGGAGCCCGCCTTCTATACATATCGCGTATGGTAGGCGCCGTTCCGTGATACTCATTGTTGCGCGTTCTTATCCGCTCCCCAGGGCCCAGCGTATTCAGAACTTGGCCTATGCGTTAATACAGGCAGGGATACGCCCAGGGGACCGCGTCGCTGTGCTGTCCCCTAACACGTCAGTCCTTAGCTCTTCGTGCTCTTATTTCGTTAGACTGACTGATCCCCCAGGCCCATGATTGCAGGTCAACACTATCCCATTGTCTGCTTCCGTTCTCTGGTCATCACTCAACCCAATTACAGACGCCCACTTCGGAGTCATTGCTGCTCGCGCGGTACTAACCCCAATCAATACCCGCCTGACCTCTCACGAAATTGCCTACATCATTGACCACAGTGGTGCTAAACTGATATTGGTCGACCATGAGTGTTCTCATCTGTTGCCCACTTCCAGAGTTAGAACCATCGTCTGCCACGATACTGGGCGCGAAGGCGATCCTTATGAAGGGTTTCTCAGTTCAGGTCGAAAGTTCAGTCAGGAAAGAGGTTGGGCTGGACTGGACGTAGAAACAAATGAAGATACTGGTGCAGTCTTGTGCTATACGTGTGTTCAAGACTCTACACTGTTACCTGTTTTGACTAAATTGTTCTCCGATCTTTAGTTCTGGTACTACCGGCAGAGTGAGACGCTTTTTTTGACGTTTCCTTAGACTGGTTGCCTCTTACCGCCTCCGCAGCCCAAGGGCGTACTCACTACTCTACGAGGTCAATGGCCGGTGCAACTGTATAGGTTCAGTGGATTGATTCCCAAACAGGTTCTTACCTTGCTGCTATAGCCAATGCTGTCGAGGGACAGTGAGTGATCACTATAAATTGTGCATAAATACTCATGGTTTGCAAGGATCAATCGACAATCCACGTACTTGTGGTATGAACTCCTATATATTGGATGGATAATGTCAAGGAGGTGCTAAGTCGTAGATTCAGGGTGCTCCCGATGTTCCATGCGGCAGGGTGGACCTTCCCCTGGGCAAATGTCTTCGGATGCGCTACCCAGGTGTGTTCCTGTGCTTATTGCTAGTCTAGGCTCATTCGAAATGGGTTCCGTGGAGATCATTCTAAGATCAGTTAATTATCCTCTCATCTGGAAGCATCTGCTCCACTCAAACGCAACCCATTACTGTGGGGCACCGACTGTCCAGGTTGGTTTGCATGACTCCTAGTGAAATGTTGCCTGTAGCGTTACTGGTTGTTTCAGATTGGAATTGTAAATGATCCTGCCGCACGATCATTGTCTCGACCCGTCACCGCTATTATCGCTGGTTCAGCACCCACTCCACAAGTCATAGGGCAACTTGAGCAAATTGGCATCACACCCGTTCATGTTTATGGTTTAACGTATGTTGGCGACGTTTCCGGATTCATGGCATGAATACTAACTCGTCGTGGTTAACAGCGAGGTGCGTTAACAACCTTTTGCCATGATCACATCGCTTGATGTGCAACGTAAAGACCTATGGGCCCTTCACACGGTGCTATGACCATCCTTTCTGGTCTAACCTCCCGCTTGTTGAGCGAGCGAGGCTAATGGCTCGCCAGGGCCAGAGTTTTGCCACAGCCCAGGACGTTAGAGTCGTCTACCCCCCGAAACATGAGGACGACCAAGATATAGTGGATGTGCCAAAGGACGGAAAGACTATAGGAGAAGTCGTCACCCGCGGTAACATCGTGATGAAGGAGGTTAGTTTGCAGGACTCGTCATTATGAAAATAGCCAGGCTCACAGAAACGCCACTGCAGTACTTCAGGGACCCCGAAGCGACTCGTAAAGCATTTAGAGGTGGTCACTTCAACTCCGGAGATCTTGCTGTGATGCATCCGGATGGTGTCATCGCAATAATGGATAGGAGCAAAGACATTATCATCTCTGGAGGGGAGGTGAAAAATCATATTTGCCATCCCAAAGACGTACAAAGCTCATTACCGCCTGCTCTAGAATGCGTCGAGTCTGGCAATCGAACAAGGTCAGGGGCACTTCGTCTTTTCTCGTTACAAGGTTCTGATAATTTCTACGTCGCGAAGAGCTCGCCAATCACCCTCATGTACTGGAGGTCTCCGTAGTTGCCCGGCCTCATGTAATATGGGGCGAGAGACCAATGGCCTTCGTGATCCTTCGTCCGGAGTTTGTCTCGAAGTGGGCGACAGACAATGCGGGCTTTGAGGTGGAGCTCAAACGTCACGCACGTGAACGTCTTCCAGGTTTTGCTTGCCCGGAGTGGGTCCAGGTGGTCGAGGAGCTACCCGTGAGTCTGCTCGCCGCAGACGTAACAGAAGTCTCACTATTTACCGTAGAAAACGTCCACTGGTAAGATTTTGAAGAGCAGTTTGCGCAAGATGGTAGCAAAATTATGACAAATCCATATACTGGTGAGGTATCCTGACCATCGGCTAGGTATCTACATGTGTCTGACTCTAATAAATATGATGCAGATAGTGGTGTTAATGCAGTAGTCAGGGAAGGAGGGTAGGTTGCACATGGATGTGAACGGTCATGAAGACTCCGGACGGAGTCTCAGTATCCTAAATGTACCTGCATTGCGCTCGCAAAGATAGAGATCGTCTCCCGTCCGTCCGAGGAACAAGATTTCCTCCGTTACGTCGGGGTCACCATCGCCAGAGCCTGCAAACTCATTTTTGCCGGAAGATTTACCTGCGGAATAGCTACTTTTCTTGCTGAGGTGACCGGACTTGCTCTTAGTTGACGGCGCAGGAACTTCAGCGTTGCCTGGAGCAATAGGCATGCCAATCCTCCAAACGAAAGGCAAACGTCTATTGGTATTTGAGGGCGGAGGACTAAAATTCGGCAGTACGCTGCGCGACCTGTCTGCTGGTGTGAGTAGGGCATCTCCAAAATCCATAGCTTCCAAGCCTCCCTGCCGCATGGCGACAATGATAGAGCGATCCTTGATATCGAAGGTCTCCAGGCGTTTCACATCACCCATACGCTGTGGGAACGGTCTTGAGCCATTGTTTTCGTCAGGACTCCAGAAAAACCGTCCTTTCAACACAGCTCGTCCACGAATATCAACGATAGATGTGCTGTGTCCTCCCCGTGACGAATAGAATAATGCGGGGGGACCAAAGTGACGCGACTGGAGGAGAAGTGATATCGGGGAAAGCAGTGGCTTCGAAGAGTCTGGGAACGGTCGGCTGGCCGATACCGTGGGCGGGGGCGGAACGGAACGGAATGGATAAGCAGGGTCGACACAATGTTGTCTGAGGTCTCTGAGAAGAATGAATTCCTCATCTTCCTCCTTTCGAACAGGCAAGTCAGGCGGGAGTAGGCCATCCTTATACCATGCTTGCATCAAGGTTTCTTTCCAAGGTCCTGAGCAGTGCGTATAAGTAACTGGTGCGACTGATGTGACATATCGGCACTCACCGTGAATTTTGCCCCTTGGGTCGCGGTATAACCACCTTGATGGAGGAGCTGGAGCTGGCATAGGTAGGCCAGGGGGGTTAAACTGGATGTTCGCGAGATCAACATCCCCATTGCAAGATTCGGGCTCGTGCTCGGCTCGGTATTCAAGGAAATCAGCATATGTAGGCGGGATAATATAATCATCAGCAACGGTTGCAAGCGGAAAATTGGGTGCAAAGGATAGTTGCTGAAACGTCGTGTATGGGCCTATTTGTGTGGAGGCAAGTGCTACCAACTCCTCTGCGTGTGCCAAGGCAGCTTCGTGCGTGATCCCACTGGAAGCATGAGCTGAACCGTGGAGTTGTGCCATGGAAGTGCTCCGCGCCAATGACCCCTGGGCCTGCACCGACAGGCTGATGCTGACATTGACGTTCGTCTCTTCATCCTCCATATTTGGTGGGTCAGTGTCGAAAATGTCATTATGACCCGATCGTATTTCCCGGACTCTGCGGCGAGCAGCTCTCCGTTCGGCCCGCCCAATCCGAACCTCACGCACCCTAACTGTGGCGGGTTCCAGACCGAAGACATTTTGCGAAAACATTAAGAAGACTTCCACTAAATCATCGCCTTGCAGCTGCAGTTCAAGGGATTTCGGAGAATCCGGGAGAATAAAGGTTCGTGATAACCCAAGGGCTGTTCTGTACGTGCCAGCAAACAACTCTACTTTTTCACCATTCTCCCCACACAAGATGGCCAAAAAACTACCAGAAGATTGAGAAAATTTAATCAGAACAGCAGACTCGGACAAACCTCTTTTTCGGCGTTTCAACGGCTTTAATCATCAGAGCGCCTTTGGTTCCAGGAAGTTTGACGTATTCTAATTTCGGTGGGGGCGCGTGGGGAGCTACCGGGGTCTGGGCATTGCTCCGTCTCGTGTCTGCGTCCAAACTCTTTAGTGTGAACGTGGGGGGTCGCTCTCCAGTTCTTCGAACGTTGAATGCGTTGCTGAATATCCGAGGGAAAATGCGGGAGTGGTGTGAAGTTGCCGGAAGAGAAGGTGTGGTTGGTACAAGGGGTGCCACATTACTAACAAACGAAGTTCTATTGCCATCTGATGTGGAGGGACGAGGAGAAATGGACGTCGGCGCTGTAGAGGGTCGTAGACGTGTAAAAGGATGCTCCGTGGACATGCTACCCTCCTGAGGTATACTAGGCGTCGGGGATGCGGCTGATAGGCCCGATAAATTATCTACTGGTGGGTTGGGAGCAGCATCCTGAAGTCCGTTACCTGCAAAGATCCCTCCCAGAGTAGACCATCGCCGCCGCCGATCCGCTCGACTTGCTATATTGCGGGTATTGGAACATGGATAAGCACTATCACCACTCGTTGCAGTAGGCGAGTTCGCGATGAGAATTGGTTCTTGAGGATGGAGAGTCCCCGCCGGTGGTAAGCCTGGAATTCTACTTTCCAATAGTGCCTGAGCGAGCGTGATGCGTTCGCCAGGGACGGAGCCTGCGTCGTCGTCGTCGTCCTCATCAGCCTCTGCATCTGGAGTACCATTCCGTGCCCCACTATCTATTGCAGCATCTGCAAAGGGAAGGCGAACAGATGGAGAATTCTGCAAAGATGGTCGTCGATTGGGATGAATAGGGTGGGTTCGGACGGGTAAGGCACTACCAATAATATTGTTGTTTTGGTCCTGGTTCCTATGCGGAATGGAACTCGTCCTCTCATCCAGAGCTTGGCTGCCACTCGCCCCTGCAGTCAACATATCTATGGCTTCATCGTCACTGGCGCCTTGCCAGTCTGAAGACTTTGCTTCAACACAAGGGGACCGCGCAGGGCGTAGTGCAGGAACTGGTGGGGGTACCACAGGAACCACAACCAACGACAGCGAAGATCTCCTCGATCGGGGGACGCTAGCAGACACAGCAGACCTCTGGTTTCCTATTGTTAGCCGACCATCTGGGGCACTGGTATAAGGAGGAGGTTGCCCAGCTGGGCGGAGCGACGGCGGCTGTGAAGTGGGAGGTCTAGGTTTCTTCGGCATTCCCGTGTGTGGACGCTTCGGTGCAGAGTCATCCTTCCGCTGCACGTGGTTCATGGGGGTTGACAAAGACAGTTTCCCCTTCTTCTCGGATGACTCTCGTCGCTCCAAGTTCAAACCACGGGTACCCGTCTTTTTAATTTCCTCTCGTCGGGTGCGCTCACGCTCGCGTCGAATCTCCAGTTCGATCCGCCATTCAATCGCCTTCTTTACCTCTTCTAACGCATACACCCGTACGCCATCCCTCCGTCCGGCTATCGCGACCAAAACACCGCGATGCTCCATGACGAGCACACTCTTGAAAGGTACTCTTCGGACGAGAGCGTAAGGTTGCAGGGCCGGGGGTGAGACGAGGGGAAGAACGTCCAGGCCTTGAGCATGACAGAGTAAAAGATAATGTGGCGCCAGGAAGGTGCCATTCGTGGGTGGTGTGCTGAAATGAGAAGGTGATAAGGTAGCCGTTATGGCCATCAGTGAAAGTCCTAATTCCTGTAGAGTGGGAGGCGGCAGTGGAGGTGGTGGAGTGATTGGTCTTGCTGGGGTGGCAGGAGAAGATGCTCTTGAGTTTGAGGGAGACTGTGAGTAAACCGGTGTAGAGGACCGTTGGTCATGAAGGGAGCGAGGGGTGGCTGGTACTGCGTTGTCACGGCGATGAATAAGATTTGAAAGGAATCCAGAAAAGCGGTTGGTCGGACGAGTCTGATCAACCAACAGTAAGCATCCATGACGAGGCAGGAACGGCCCGAACTTACCTCGTTGAGTGAGCGACGCCTATGTAGCCTATCCCTCGCAAATGGAGCTGTGGGAGGGGCCTGGACAACTACTTCTGAATGAGCGGAGGCAGATTGGGGAGGATGCGGGGAGGTGGTAGATGGCTGCGACAAGTTAGCGGCGGAGACGGAGACGTGCATGCTGGTAGATTCGTTCTGCATGCTGACTGAATCGGAGTGGCCATGGTCTGTCCTGCACATGAGGCAGGTCCACCGGGGGATTATCGTCCTTTTTCGGGTTAGTTGTTACCTTAACGCCTCCGGCGGCGGTCAACTCCTCAGAGTCAGCATCCCGTAGACATTCGGTGACTTCTTCGACTGAGCGCGGGGCCTCCAGAGTTACTAGGGAGTCGCTCCACTGGTCAACAGCTGGGCCGTCAACTTCGTCAAGCATAATTGATCCTGGATGGATGACGTGCTCCTAGGATACGGACTAGCTCGAGCCTGGCTCCAGAAATCAGGATCAGGAGACGGAGACGTCGTAGGACATGTGTGGGCTGGAGTGCCAGGAAGGGGCAAAAAGGAAGATTGTTCCCACGCCACCCTCCGGGGCCTTTGTCGGTGATCGCTCGGCTTAAGCTTCCACAGAGTCAATCATGTTGGCTCTGGGCACAGGTTGGTCGAAGAGTTTGGTCGGCGCGCGTTTCTCGGTCGTTCTCGCATCTCAACACCGTGACAGAGCAGGACTTGGCATATTTCTCCAAGGTCCTGCCTCCCTCCAATATCCTGTCTACACTCCCTCCAACCTGCACCCCTCATGATGACATGACACCTTACAACGTGGACTGGATGGGTAAATACCACGGGAAAGCAAATACCGTACTGCGGCCTCGCACCACACACGAGGTCAGCGAAATAGTCAAATATTGTGCAAGTCGGCGGATCGGCATAGTACCGCAGGGCGGTAACACTGGTCTGGTGGGCGGAAGCATTTCCCTTCATAAAGAAGTCGTCCTCAACCTTGGCGCGATGTCGAACGTGCGGAAATTCGATCCGGTCTCTGGTATTTGTCTCAGTAGCACCGTATATTTCCACACGTAGTGAATCCAAACCGCTTCTTCTCCTCAGGTATACTAGTGGCAGATGCAGGTTGCATCCTCCAGTCACTGAGTGATCACATCGCACCCGACAGTCACATCATGCCGCTCGATCTGGGGGCAAAGGGAAGGTTCGCTTCACCCCACTATTGTCCATGTTCAATACTTTGAACACCCGCCCCAAGTTGTCAGATAGGCGGAAATATTTCAACGAATGCTGGAGGTTTACGGCTTCTGCGATATGGGTCTCTACATGGCAGCGTCCTTGGACTCGAGGTCGTGCTTCCAGATGGTACTATACTGGATCAGCTTTCTACTCTCCGCAAGGACAACACAGGTAGGTTGATCTAGTCCATTGAGAAGACACCTCTAATCCCCCGCAGGATACGATCTCAAACAACTTTTCATCGGCGCCGAGGGCACACTTGGCATAGTTACCGGCGTCTCCATCCTCACCCCACCCGCACCACAGGCAACTAACAACGTCTTCCTTGCGTTGCCTCATTTCGACAACGTGCTCCCCTTGTACCAAACAGTGAAGAGACAGCTCGGTGAAATCATGTCAGCGTTTGAATACATCGATCGAACTGCGTACGACATGGCACTGTCACACGGTCTTGGACCTGTGTTGGATGCCAAGGAGGTGGGTGACGCACGATGCTTTGTGCTGATCGAGACAAGTGGAAGTAACGAAGACCATGATATGGAGGTGAGTAGACGAGTGACGGCCAAGGCTGTGTGTACTGAGAGAAGTTGATTACAGAAACTGAATGTGCTCCTAGAATCATTGATGACAGCGGATGAACCCCTGATACTTACAGGAACTCTCTCACAGTCACCTGGCCAATTTGAGTCTCTCTGGGCAGTCAGGGAGGGCCTGCCCGAATGCGTGCAGAAGGAAGGGAAACCGTACAAGTATGATGTTTCCGTCCCTCTCGCCGACTTTCAAAAGGTCGTGGATTCTGTCCTTGGGCGGATGATATCCATGGGCTTACACGGGGACCATGCGGTCTCGAAGGTCGTGGGCTTCGGCCATATTGGTGACGGTAAGTCCGATAATGGGGCAAGATAGTTTTGATCGAGCCTCACCCACAAACTACAGGAAATCTGCACCTGAACGTCATTGCTAAACGTGGGTACAGCCCCGAAATTGAGGCTGCTCTTGAGCCTTTCATATACGAACTTGTTGGTACGTTGCGCCTGATCATCATGCACTAGATGTCGCCGTGCCGACAAAATTACCTGTAGCATCCCGCAGAGGCTCTGTTTCGGCAGAACATGGAATTGGGTCGATGAAAACACATGCTCTCCACTACTCAAAGGACAGCGTGAGCATCGAGTGGATGCGGAAGATTAAGCAAGTATTCGATCCGCTCAATATCATGAATCCAGGCAAGGTTCTCCCGTAGAGCAAGTCGTCTATTACAACTCGTGTATCTACTCATGGTTTTGGCGAGGAGGCTAAGCGCTGAACAATCCTCCAGCGAGCATTCAACGCTCATAGTCGTCCGATGGCATAGGTAGCAAATGTGACGTAAGCATCACCTCTCGACTCTACTTCGGACAACGCGAACGGCAATGCCATGTCTGTAGTGAGTACATGAGACTGGATCTCGTTAGTAGACTACTCTGTGCTGGTCTGTATCATAGGCTGCTGAGGGAAATTGCATACGAATCGTACTGCATACTTGAACCCGAAAAAATGGGTGAGATACTATGCAGTCATTGGATCTCGCTGGACTTGGTCCGTCATTGAACGGGCACATTTTTCAGCCCCGAGTATCGTCCCCTACCTACAAAACTTCAGCCCAACGCAGGCAGACACTACACGAGACAAAACTACGTCATAAGCTGCAGTCTGTTCTAAGGAACACTGATTGTCGTTACTGGCGATGTGAAACTCGATACCATGTGATTTCAAATGACTTCATAGTGATCGCAGGATTACTTATCACGTACACCCAATTACTTCAGGGGAGCGTCATGTTGACCTACAAGTGGATCTTCCAGTCGATCGACTGACGCAGTGGTCGGAATTAAAAACTATAAAAAGGCGAAAAAGGCGCTTCCCTTTCATCGCACGATGGCTGACCCTGGAAATGTGAGTCCTGCGCCTCGTTAAGCTGCGTCGTGCTAATGCTCAAACCGTAGATTATACGTGGCCACAGTATGTCCTTTGCGGTTGTACAGGAGTGTGGGCTAATCGTTTACAGAGGCTAACCTTGCGAACCCCCATACTTCCGAAGAGTCGAAAGAACGTTCCAGACAGGTCCTTGAAGAGTTGGAAGCTGGAGAGAGTGGCATGGGGGAGCCTACCTTCCAAAGGTCCCCCACGGAGAAGGATCCTGAAAATGTTGCTCGCGGTCTGAAGGTGAGGTCGAGGCGGTGATCATGCTACGCGCTGAGATACTTAATACTTGAACCAGGCTGCTGTGAGCAACCCCCGCGTTTCTCAAGAAGCCAAGGAGCGTGACAAGCAGAGGCTCCAGGAACTCGAAGAAGACTAGGTCATCCCTGCGAACTTTGTGTGCTATGACATTTCCGTGATTGTCAGGTTATTGTGTCTTGTATGATACTCGATGATTATCGATACATGAATGTTCGAGCCCATTGCGCCGCGATGTGTCTCCCATCCGGCGAGCGATCACATCACTTTATTTTCTAAGTAAAATGAAAATTGGGTCGTTCAATACGATGTTTGCCATGTGGCGGAAGGACCCCGTTAGCGATAGCAGTAGTCCTCCAAATGATGCATACACCGTCCTAGGCGTTTGTTAACTTTCGCAGAGAGGATACAAGTCACGACGAAACGCACACTGTCTCGGCATTTCCTCCATCGAATCTGTAGACCTAAACCATGGCCTGTCTGCCTTGCACTGATTGACGACTGATAAACACTTACCCTTCCGTACATCACGTAGTCGTAATCTTCCTCGAGGCCCCTTCTACCCTTGCCATCGGGACGCCAAACATCCCTATCCTTGTCCTCCACATCAGCCCCTTCGCCAGCACCTGCTTGGGCACTGTCACGCGACAAGGACGATGCGAGAGCCATAGCAACAGTTTGGTCATTTGATACAGGGAATAGTTCTACGTCATAGTCCAGTGTCATGTCCATGTCGTAGTTTCTCGACCGCGCGTACAACCGAGACACTGTGTGGAGATAGATCCCAGCCACGGGTGACCAACGACAAACGACAAACCTCTGTCAAATTTTCTCCCTTCTTTGTCGATAGCATAGATGGTGAAGATATCGTCGAAGACGACGTTTGATGATGTCGACGACATGATACGGTTAAAGCACAAACTGTCGTGCGTGTGAAATACCAGTGTATGTAGTAGTACTTCTATGAGTCGATTACAGCAAGTACCTGCGGCAACTACTTGTAGTGCTCTACAGCGAAGGAACAACGCCGGAAAAACTTGGACCGGGTATGATCAGGAAGATCGAAGAGAATTCGATTCCTGTGAGGCTCCCGACGTACTCCTTCAACGTCCGCAGCGAAAGAATCTATCTACCATGCTCACTTGATCCTTCACTGGTACTTTCAAACACCGGCTTCCTGTGCGGGTAAGATGTGGTTTTGTGGCATGTTTCGTCTGAACCGCTCGTCATGACGAAAACAGTGAATCTAAACCTATCAATGGTACCAGCATCATGCAGGAGTCTCAACCGTCGCGTTATTGTGTATTGCAGCCTTGATCTCGGACACACTCGCAAGGCCAGGCAAACCGACCTTCCAAGTCCCCTTCGCGGCGAGTACTCGGCGAACTTGGCACTCAATTAAGTCATGGAGCTTGGGCACGTCTTTGAGCATAGCACGGCTACCCATCAGTGACGTAGTCTTCAACCTGAGTGTAAAGTCTGGAGGTAATGAGACAGATAAAACAGGCGGAGCATCTCCAGGTGATGGGGCGGAGAGGACAATCTGTTACAACGTCAGTGCGAGAAAGACATCACCCTCGCAGGCGTTACTTACAGAAGATTCAAATCGGGAAAGAGAGATTGTGAGCGAAACTGGGAGCCGGGCAAAAGACGACATTGGATAGTTGAAAAGATACGTGGTAGAAAGTGAAACAGAGATAGTATCGGAATAGGACATATCAAACTTGACATACTGCATCGAGTAAGTACGCACTCGGAAAGCAAATACGAAGTGGACTAACCGGCAGTGCGTCATGGGCTTCGCTGGCATCTACCATTTGGGCATTAAACAGCTGGGGTGCAGAGTTCCCGAGGTCAACGGCATGCACAGTGATGTGATCCTAGGATAGGCGAGTCAACGCGCAGATACAGAGCACAGTCTGATATTAACCCACTAAGAAGTTACGAGGTCGTATGGTGTTGGCGTAAGCTTCTACTCGCTGTCTGGCGACTTCAATCCCTTCGAGTCCAGTTAGCTCATTTTGTAACTTGGCACGATAGACGTCAATGACCTGGAAAGCGTCGGGAAAAATTCAATACATAAACGGGTGATCTACCTGACGCGCGAGCAAGTTGAACCAGGCAGTGGACTCAAGGCTCGCTTCGGGGGTACCGTCCTCCTCGACTTTGGGTGTGCGGCTCCACGACGGGTGGTCAGGTACTGTACGAGGATGGAAATTCTGTATATTGGGCTGTTCGATCGGTGAAATGAAAAAAAGGTACTTGAGCACAAGTGCAAGGAGGACCAGTATTGACAGTTGACCGAGAACGAGGCCTTGCGTGAAGGTCGGCGTCAGTGAGAATATGTAGTTGCTGCCCATGACGACGACGAGGACGACGACCGCACGACGAGACTTGTCCTGAGTTGAGGACTCTCAGCTCATACAAGATGTGTTTCTAACGGAGGTCGTTGCCGGCCTCACGTAGCGCGTCTGACCACAGCCAGCCTGGCTTGTCAACACACAGCAACTTCATTCCCGCGTCCTGCCGAGACCTTCTGGTGAGGTCGGCCCTGCTATGTCCACGAAGGAGCGTAGTGACTGCTCAGAAAGTCACCCAGGTATGTGTTTCACTGCTAATACCAATGCTATAGCTCCATGTCCATACGTTACCACAGCAAACTGCGAAGATGCCCTATCGCAAAGACTGGTCGCCTTGGTTTCGTGGCCAGCTGCACCTCGCACCGATTCATTGGTTCGTACAGCATTAACAAACATCGGACAAGTCGAACTATTGCAGAGCCTACCTATCGCTCTGCTACCTCCCAAATTACTGCAGTGGGCTGCATATGATAGCATTGATCACTCTCTAACAGCCACGGAGCCCAGCCGTGTACTTTCATCCGCATATACCATTCGCAAAGCGCTCATTCGGAAACATTTCCTCGCGAGATGCATCCGGTCCTACGTACTCAAGCACCACCAATCAGTTCTGGCTACATCCGTTCCGCGGACCTGGGATATCGAATTATCTTTTGCCCACGAGCTCGATGAATTGTGGCACGACGAATTATGGGATCTTGGAGAGGAATTAGAAACCTCTCCCGGCAGGTGGTACATCCTCAAGCCAGGTATGGCAGACGCTGGAATGGGTATTCGACTCTTCAGCAGCAAAGATACCCTGCGTGAAATATTCGAAGAATTCGAAGGTCGCTCTGATGACGAAGAAGCTGAGAGCGGCGATACCTCCGTGATAACATCTCAACTCAGACACTTCGTCATCCAGGTATTCACAAGTCTGTGTTGATCACTCCCTCGTTCAATATGTAAATGCAGGAATATATTGCTACTCCGCTCCTCCTTGATCCTCAGTGAATCCTTGCCTTCAGGTCACGTAAACGCAGCAGAACGGTTCAGGGGTCACAAGGTACTCGCATTAAATCCCCTTTAACCGTCGTTGACGTTCTATAGTTCCACCTCCGGACGTACGTCGTTGCATCAGGTGCTTTGAGAGTATACATGTACTAGACGGATGCTCGCCTTATTCTCTTGCGAGCCATACGACCTCCCAAGGCGCGGCAACGATAAATACCTTCTCCCACATCTCACTAACACGTCGCTACAAATTCACCGGGGAGAAGAAGGGGTGCGCCTATTCGACGAACTGATAGGTTGTCATATCCTCTCCGGAAGCAGAGGGGATCTCCTCCTATCCGAATTAGATATTGCCGATATTAAAGAGCAGATGGCATGGATACTTGCTGATGTATTCAAAGCAGCCGTAGAGCAACCAGTTCACTTCCAGGCAAGTTGTTTACATGCTTTTGACTCTGATTTCCCAATACTCGCCTGAATGTAGGTTTTACCCAATGCTTTCGAACTTTACGGGGTGGATTTCTTAGTATCTCACGTGCAGAGTGGGTCACATGGAGCTCATTTTCAACTCAACATCTTGGAGGTTAATGCCGAGCCTGCAATTGAGCTCACTGGTCGTAGGCTGACTTGGATACTGGAAGACCTCTTCAAGTCTATCCAAGTTGTTTGTATAGCACCATTTGTGGGCGGAGTAAGTGACCAGCTAAACTCCTGGAAGGTAGGGGAAGTTCGTTATAATATGCAAAAATGCCTTGATATGCAAGTACGTGGTGGAATGGGGTGGTAATGGGGATAATGACACAGACAAGGTTAATACAACGTGCTTTTTGATGCTTTATTGCTTTCAGAGAATTTCCTGATACTTGCTGTAGTCTGTAGATGATGGGCGTGACATTATTGTGACGTGCCGTGGTATCACTACTAGGATGGATGAAACCAGGTAATTTCATTCTGGGCGCCAGTCGCACACCTCAACAGTGCAGGCCAATGTCCACAGTCGCGGAGGGTAATTCTGCGCCTTCAAGGAAGCGAACAAAATGGGACGAGGAAGATCACGAGAATGAAGCGATACGTCGGCGTCAGCAAGCCCTCAGTCGTCAACTCCGATCATTGCGAAAACCTCGAATGACGGATGTCACGTCTGTGCCAAAGGGCACGTCGTTATCTCGTAGTCCTATTCGCGACGCGTACAGCATTTTTGTCCCTCCAAGAGCACATCATCCACCTATCCAACCCTCACGATCGGTATACTGTTATGAGAGGCTCAACCAAATTGAAGAAGGTTCATACGGTGTAGTATTCCGTGCAAGGGACAAGGAAACTGGCGATATAGTTGCTTTGAAGAAATTAAAGCTGGAGGAGGAGAAACATGGGTTCCCCATTACAGCGTTGCGAGAAATCAACGCTCTAATGTCGTGCCGCCACGAAAACGTAGTGCACATACGAGAAGTCGTTGTTGGCGATACCTTAACTCAGTAAGTTCAATCAGTTATGAGGCCGAAGTTAGCCCAAAAAATCGCCTTCAAAGGGTTTTCGTTGTGATGGATTTCATCGAACATGATCTCAAGACACTGTTAACGCTGATGCCAGCCCCATTTTTGCAATCAGAAATTAAAACCTTGATGTTGCAACTCTTATCCGCCGTTGCTCATTGTCATGCAAACTGGATACTTCACCGAGACCTGAAGACTAGCAATTTATTGATGAACAATCGGGGCACCATCAAGGTAGCAGATTTTGGCTTGGCCCGACGCTATGGCGATCCCATCGGGGTCGGAGGTCTCACACAACTTGTTGTAACTTTGTGGTACCGGTATGACCAGTTTCAAGAATGTTTTGTACTCTAGCTCATTATTCCGTGGAAGTGCGCCAGAAATCCTTCTTGGAGCAACAAATTACTCCACCGCAGTAGACATGTGGTCCGTTGGATGCATCTTCGCAGAGTTGCTCCTGAAGGAGCCATTGTTCCAAGCCAAGGGAGAGATTGAGCTCCTTTCGATGATTTTTAAGCTACTCGGACCTCCTACAAGTGCGACTTGGCCAGACTACTGCACCCTTCCCCTTGCAAAAACCATCGCCATTTCCTTCACCCCATGCTCACCAATTTCAGGCAGCGCTTCCCGCACATGACAGCATTGGGATTAGACCTTTTGACGTCTCTATTGACATATGATCCGCAACAACGCATCAGTGCGGAGGAAGCACTTCACCATCCGTACTTTAGGTTAGCCTTGTTGTACTATATTTCACGGAACCTGACTGTGCTTTAAAAGTGAATCACCCCTCCCCAAACATCCGGATCTGTTCGCCTCATTTCCCTCAGCTGCTGCCGGAGAAAAGTTCGTTCAATTATTTCTGGTTAAAGCAATTGTGTTGATTTATCAATTCTAGACGAAAGAAACCGTTTGATAGCCCCTCAGCACCTCTTAGGGCGGCAGATAGGATATTTGCAGAAACTGAGCTGCCGTGACGCTTGTCAGGGACAGCTCGGAAACTTATTCAAGACTCGGGTTATAAGTTTGTACGGATCACTTTATCACTACGATACATTACCCTCGTCACCTAGGCCTTCAGAGATAGTCGACAGTAGCTCTCGCATTTTACGGAACCGAGCCCGCGTACGTTCCATTTCGCCACATTTGTCGTAGAACTCTTTCACTTCTTCAACAGTAAATCTATATTCGTGCGCAATGTCACATATTGCTTGGTCAATGATATGTAAGTTGACGTGTGCCACTGCGTCGCTGCTCGTTTGTGGTAGGGGAGGTGGATGTGGTTCATCGCCCAAGATGGAGGTTGGGTAATTGCTACGAAGAATTTTCAGTTTAATCAGCCGTACCGACTGTTCGAGGAGCGTACATCGACCTAGCTCTTTTCGCATTGGGAAACTCTTCGCTGTCCAGGGTATCGGCATTGCGCTTCCCCCAGGCAGGCAAGGGTTCGTTCCCAATCCGAATCTGCCATTCTTCAATGTCTTCACCATCTTCCATCTCTTCCTCGTCTGGACTTACTCTAGGTATTGTGGATGTCGAAGGTTGCGATCCAGCCGGAAGTTGTTGCGTCGGCACGGAAGGAAATATGATGATTGGGGGTGTGCCCGGCATATTCCCGATGTCGCCAATAAGTTTCTCCGTTTGGAAAGTTTCCTCTGCAGACTTTCCGCGCCTTTTCCTTGCGCGTCTGGTCCTCTCCTCTGCTTTCCGAACATAGCCATACTGTCCCTTTTCACCATGGACAGGCTTCTTCTGTTCCACGATAGCCGCAATTAAGTTATCTAAGCGAACTGAGTTCTTCTTGTACCGTTCGCGCCAGGATTGCCAAGTGTGGCGAGTCACCCATGCATACTCAGGGTCTACAGTCTTCCACAACGTCACGAGACTCAACGCTTCATGAGTTGGTATGCTTACCATCTCGCAAAGTTGCTGGTACAATCTGTTCCCGGTTCTGCCCCCAGTTTCCTTGTAAGGAATTTTGGTCGCTATCCACTGGCAAAGGCGCTCCTCGTCCTCCTCCGTAAACGACGTGCGTCTAACAAACAGTCAGGAAGGATCACCAGAGACGAATTGCGCATATACAAACTCTTCTCCTGGGCGACGACCACCAGGGTTTTTGTAAACCAGTGGCGTGTACAGTAATGCACCCTTCTCTACACACTTCTTGACCCAGAGGTATGATTCGATGTACTTGTCCGGAACACCTTGGTAAGACTTGACCAAATGTTGGAATACTTCGGTGTTAGGGTCGGCAAGGATTACCCGAGCAGACTGTGGAGACGCAGTAGGATCACCACCGGAGTGCTTGAAGCACGAGTGAGGCACACATCAAGAGTACTTCGTCCACTCACCATGATCCGTTGACTCAGAGCCGCACGAGCGTTAACATTCGCGATGCTGTGGTGTATATGCATTTTGATAGGTGCTCCACTGTCGACAAATATCTGCTTCAGCAGCATCCCGGCGATCTTACAAGCTTCTACATAAGTGTAGGGCACGAAGTAACGCTCGGGGCGATCTGGGCTAGCCCAACACAGTCGGAGACGTTCCGCTTCGGCAGTGCCAGGTTGAACAAGAATATATCCTTGTCTAGGGACCTTCGGTTCAACTCGCCCACCAAGGGACTATACTGACATAAGAGTCAGTCGCACAGTAGATAGCACTCATCACTCACAGTGATGGTTTCACACAACTCTGCCTGAATTTCTTGACTAATGTCTTTCTGTACGAAAAACTTGACAGCCAGGCCGTTTGCGTCCTGGAAGATAGGCTAGGAGAATGTGCGTGTTATGCGCCAAGCAAGTACTATGTAAAGCTCTCACCATCGCTTCCCACAAGTAGATATATGAGTTTCAATGTGGATGGAGGTTACCAAGGGAGAACCCATGTCTCGGGTTAGGGTTATTGTTTGGTCCACGCAAACAAGTGCCACCCACAGGTTAAGGGGTAATACCAGGGTCACTCATCGGTATGTAGGGTATAGAGGTGCGTATGTACATATATCAACAAGGAAATTATGAATGTATGCAATAATGGCATGGATTACGGTACATGTGGAGTAGGATTGTGCGAATGTCATTAATAGGCTGATCTTGGGATGCCGCAGCTCACGGTGGAGGTTCCCTCATTAAGGACCAAAGTCGTCGGCGGAGCGTGGATGGCGTGACAATTTTCCTAACAGACCAACAAGACGCAAATCAGATGGCAACCGTACCAAGGAGACCCGCTTGGCTGCCCGAGTTTTGTCCCAGTCTTCCGGCTCTTCTCGAGACTCAGATGAAAAGGATAGTTTCTCCTGTATTGAAGTCTGCGACAGTAGCTGGTTCAGCGCTGAGGCCGACGAGTGTGAATCCTCATCTAGGAGGGGATGACTTGATGGAGTTCCATGGATGTCAGCCGATTCCCCCATGAAGGAAGCTGCTCGGAAGGCAGAGATGGCAAAGGCTTCGCCTGAAGATGGCCAGTCGGGACCGAGATCAAGTACAGTACGGAATGACGGCCCGGAAGAGGAATCAAAGGAATGAGAAACAGAACGGCAGCCATCCTCCAGTTGAAAACTATTTTCACCTATATCCAGGGAAGTGGCTGGGGAAAGCATGGATTCAAAAACGTCATTATGCAATATCTCCGTAGCCGGCTGTAGAGTCAATGTCGTTTGCTCAAAGGTCCGTATTTCTGCTGCGAGATCGTTAAGGAGGATATTACGGTGGCATACAAGTTTGGTGACATCCAGACGTAAAGTCTGCAGCCGTCTTGACAGCGTCTGGACAGCCTCTTGCAAACGATCACGGGTTGACTTTTGAAACGGTGCCAAAACGGCGATATTACGGGCGACGCGAAGGTCAACGCCTATCTCTGAGTTCGTAGCGCATATTCGATCTTCCAGGTCGCGTACCGTGGAATGGATTATCTGCGCTCTAGAACGGAGGCCGAAAGGTTTTTCCATAGAAGAATAGGGTGACCCCAGGCCGCCAGAAGGGACCGAAAAGTCCTCCAAGCCAACTGTAACTTTATCAGTACCAGAGCGCATGCCTGCCGGTCTGGCTTCAACAGCATTGCATCTCTCTCTGCATTGCAATGCCTCATCAATATTGGGGCCAGCCGGCGAGTCCGAAGCTCTAGGCTGCCCTGCGCTGGTAAACTGTAGATCCTGAAGATGGGATGCGGCAGCCGTAGTCCCAGCAAGGTCAACGTCTTCTCCCGGTATCCCTAATGACCGCATGTGTATCCCCGTTGACATAAAGGCACTCGCGTAGTTAATGCGCGATATCCACTCGTTCATCTCTCCTTCATCTTGTGTTTGTAAAAGGATGTGGCGGCCGTCGGAAATGACGAGACGGAAGGTATGCGTATGCTAAACAACATAAAAATGAGAGACAGACTCGTGACAGAAGACAGGCGTACCCTGGTATATAACCTATCAAAAACTGCTAGCGCATCTTTAATGGGTATGACTTCATCCGGTTTAAACTGCATTGCCTGAAGTGGGGGTGGTTTAGGGGTGTCGTTCCAGGAGAGAAGGATTGGAGTCCATGATACATCGCGAAAAAGGAGCAATTGTGACCAAGTTAGGGCAACGCTGTATGGTCGCCACTTGCGGGAAATGGATCGCTTTCCTCCCTCAACTACATCATCTTTGAGATTGAGGGTGGCTACTTTGACAAGTCTCAGGCTCCAAATCCCAGGAGATGTGGGGTGTAGACTGCTGATTCCGCCACTTTCGGCCAGTGGGTGACTGGGGAAGCCTCCGATGCTCGACCCAAAGAAGGCTACGGGTAGCCGAGTACCATCCGAGGAAGATATCACGACGACAAGACTTCTAGCAAAGGCTAGGAGAATCTCGTCGTAGTCCCAGGAAACCCCAGTTCCTTCCCAACTAAAGGGGTTCTCTGTAGGAACGTATTCCTCGACCTTGACACGCAATTGATCCAGCAAATTCTGGAGAATAGATCATTGAGTGGTCAGGGAGGATTGTCATCAAAACTAACATGCATAATGAGGTAGTAGGGGTCAATTTTCGGCTTGCTGAGTAGGGGGGTTCCGACCGCGGTCAGTGGACTAGGAAGGGTGGCAGGAGTGGAGGGCCGGGTATTTCCCCCCTCGGAAAATCTATTGCCATTAGTTCCACTGTCCAGGGGATCCTCGATAAATACGAAAGGCGCAAAAACTACGTTGTCATAGAAGCACTGCAAGCACCAGCTGTAAAGAGTGATGAATGCCCTAAGGAAATCGACATACATCAAGAATCTCGGTCATCAATCCTGGAAGAGACGTGTTCTTCACATAATCGGCTTTGGACATTTTGCGTCGGTTAGACTTGTTGAATGCGTCGGTATGTAACATAATTAGGCTGAAAGCCAGGATATATGGATGGTCTGGAAAGACTGTTACTATCATTGGCGAAGAAAATGATGAGGGAACGTGCCTGAGGAAGAAAAAAGGTCAGGGTTACATGACATATACCTGCTGGCAAAAGCTTCTATAACTCTGTCGATCTGTTGAGTCTCTCGGGGAAGACCGACATTCATTAACAACCTGCGCAATGCAACATCAAGGGGATCGCCGAAGAAGGCAAAATAATTGATGTATGATTTCAACGAGTCCGCATAAATGCTTTCAGCACTGATTGATATAAGCGGAGGCATCTCGTGGTGATTATCCAAACCATACCTTGATGCCAGAATGCCTGCTATGTCAGCCTTGGAAACGAATGACATCAATCGTTGTAAGAAAGCATCAGGGGGTTCACCCGCTTGGGGTTTCAGAGCTTCCGGCGGTAAGTGAGATACGGAAGGTCGAGGCGACCTTACTGTTGGGGATGAGGAGCCGTTTCCAGTCCCGCTAGAGGAGAATAAATTAACAGAGAGTCGGTGTAAAAAGGGAGGGTTGGTAGCGGAGCGGGGGCGCGGGAGAGTATTTGATGAGTTGCCCTTGGGAGATTGAGGTATCGGCTTACTCAGACCCTTGGTAGCAGAATCTTTGGAAGTGTTTGCGGGTCGAAACGACAGAGGAAAAAAGGACTGGGAACGGATACGTGCAGGCGTTTCTGCTGTAGCAGGTCGCCGCGTCACGGCCGGTGACGATAGGAAAGGATTAGCAATGGACGAGGAATCAGATGTTCTTGATTGATTGTGAGGAAGCACAGGTACGTCGCCATTACCGGTCGAGGGGCGCTTAGAAAACTTCTCTGAATGACGTCGTGTCAGTGTAAACAATGGAACTGCGGCTCCATGGCTTTGCCGTGTAGCAGCGTTAGGTGCAGGGTGTAAACCGAACAGAGAGGGAGACATGGGGTGTCCAACTGGAAGAGAAGGTGACTCCGAAAGACCGAGACGCTGTATCGGGCTAGTGGTTTTGCGTGACAAGAACGAGGGCTTGCGAGTTAAACGGGAGGACGGATATTCGCGTTCCGTGGCATTGGGGGTTGCTTTCTTGCTCTGGGGGAACGGTGCCATCGAGACGACCCGGTTGCGAGTATCGTTAGGTGTCAGAAACCCAGTGAATGCAGCCTCCGAGGACCGGAGAGCGTGTGCACTTCTGCTCGGTCGCAAGTAACCCGGGAGCTGGTACGTTGCGTCAATACCATTCGGATCAGCCGAGGATTTAACATCGATGTTGATATGGATTTCAGGTTGTTTTGATGATGTTTTAGAGGGAGCGACCTGAGCAGCAGTAGAATCATTATGCAGAAACCGGTGGCTAGGCTTCATGACCTTCCGGTCAGATAAAGATGACATTCCTGGTGCATCGTCATTGGAACGTGACCCAGTATCGTGGTCTGGTAGAGGGCTTGGAGGTAAATCCTTGTCCCTGTTGAAGGCCAAGTTGGAAATGGGCATACTACGTGGAATTGTGCCGTGTTCGTTTCCGGATGGACTGGCACTGGCAGGGTTCTGGCGCGATGGCGCTGGGCGTCCGCGACGTCTCCAGACAGGGAGCGAAAAGGAGTACGGCTGCCTTCCTGAGGTTTCAGAAATATGACCAGGCGTGTCCCAAGGTGCCACATCTTTGGGAGGAAGGGAGGGGGGATCTGGCTTGCAGGATGCCGCGTTTAGTGACACCCCAGAGCGACGCGCTTCCGACGACGAGGAACCTCGACTCCCAAGACCAAGAATGCCCACCATGTTCAAATATGGAGATGCTGTGGAGGAACAAGAAGCGCGTTCCAACCTCCACGGAATATGGTGACACAAGTCAGCCTATTATGTAGCCAGGTGATTTGAATCCGCAGTGATGGCGGAAGTCAGAAGCCATCATGGCGCCAAAATTTTGGCAGCATCGAGGCCGTATTAGACCCTCCATCACAATTAGTAATCCATTTTCGAACATCGTATACTACACCTAACGATGTATGTATGTACGCATTTGCAACCTGTGTAAGTCACGACTCCGAGTTTAGTAGACCAGAGCAGACACTGGCTATCATCGGGCAGACTGTCGATTTTGTCTGTCGATTTTTTTGCGCTTTTCCCTCAGTGCATCGTGCTGTCGAAGCATGAACAACGCAGTCAGCGTCGAAAAGACTATATCACGAACCTCGGCTGCCTGCTTCCTCTGGCTGTGCTTCATCCTCTCGTACAACTTGCGCTTCTTGTTACTCAACAACACCTTACTCATATCCTCCTCGTCGCATCGCTTGGCAGTTTTGCCCCCCACTCCACGGCGCGTGGTCTGTAGCTTCTTTACTCCTGTCTGGAATTCATCGTACTCGACTCCCGCAACTTCTGCAGCCAACTCTGCGGCGCGCAGAGATTCTGCATCGACGTGCACAGGTACAGCTTTCTTCGTCCCACCTTTCACTTCTTCGCTGTCACTTTCGGCTCCCCCTACTTCCTCATTCTCTTCATGAATGGAAGCTCCTGATTCGTCCTCGGACAAAGGTGCAGTCGGGTCATAAGCGCCGGGTTTGGCATCGAATGGTGACAAGTGAGGTGGAAGAGTCGCGCCTTGACGATAGAGATCTTCAAGGAGTATCCGCCCGGCGTTAATGCAGTCTACAACCCATTGTGGCTGCACGTATTTTCGCTTTCCTTTTTGCTCACTTCCTTCGCAAGACTCGTTATTTCTGGTAACTGCGGGTCTATCGATGACGACATGAGTGATGCTCTCATCGGATTCAGTGAAAGGCGATCCGCTCCCAGAAGACACGGGCCACCCCACGCGACCTCCAAAAGAACGAATTAAAAATTCGAACACAGGTCGTGAAACCTCACGTGACAGGAAAAATGTATATGGCGAGAAGAGAGATGAGGAATTCGACCTAGGAACTGAAGATATCGATTGCAAAGTAGGAAGCGATGCTGTCGGGCTGGAATCATTGGCGGATGGATGAGGGACGAATTCCTCGTCTACCTCCGTTGCCTTGGGTGGGTCATCGACAACGTCCATGGACTCAACACGACCAGTTGGTGATTTCCCTGTAGCGATGCTCTTGATCGCTCGGCGGACTTCCTTTGATGAGGCCTTTTTCGCAGTATTGTTTGGTTCAAGAGCCACGACTTTGCGGTCGGCTACTTGGAGACTAAATGCGCCGATGCCCGCCCCAGCTTCATCTCGAGTTGTATCCAGGGGAGGAGGATAAATTAGCCCGGCGTCTGTGTAAAGCTTGAAGAACACGAAACCCAGCAGCGTCTGATAGAGCTCCAAGAAAGTAAGCATCACCCGGACGTCCTACGTCAGAAGGGACCTGGTAGAATGCTCTGTAAGGGTGAAAAGCATCACAACCGAATACTTACATTCTGAGTGAACTGATAGGGTACAAGCCATGTTACATTCTGATCCATGACGTCTGCCTGATAATAGATCCCCTTGATCGACAAGAAGACCTTCTTGAGCGACCGTGAATGCATTATATATAACTGCCATTCGGCAGCGAGACGGGAACAATTAGCTACCAGCGCAGCGGAAACGCGGTCGTTCGCTGGAAGCGAGGCAAAAAGGAATATCATGCATAATGCATCGTCGATGTCCCTCACAGCGTCAATAAATGTGGGGTATCTGCAAAGTGCGTCAGCGTGTCCGAAATTGTGCCTTCCACTGGTCACTATCAAACCTCTCTTTTATGATATGATCCAGCTTATACGAAGGTTTTTGCTCCTCCAGATGTTTCGCGATACTCCACTCACCCCTTCCGAGTGCACGGGAGATTTTCTTTGCGAATGCTTTATGGTCTCGCAATTTGTTCAGGACAGGCTCGTGCAGAAGATACGCAATATCTTTCGCATAATAGAAGGATGTCGGTGCAGTCGACCCCTTGTTGGCCTTCTTCTTGTTTCGCGGCTCGCGAGGAAATATGCCTATCGATAGGCCATGTGAGGTCAAGCCCAACGAATACTGAGACCCAACCTTTTAAAATGCACAACCGTCTGAAATCAGCCAGTGAGCATTGCAACTTTTTCACCGCGGTAGAACGCGTCATATAAGCCTTGGCTGCGCCTGCCTTCCCCTTCTTCCTTAAGCGTCCCATGGTGTTGTCTTGGGCCTGAACGATGCAAGGCAAGAAGGTTATGCATAATTCATCGCAGAATATTTGTTTGTCCAAACCAAACAAAGTCGCCCTTCTCATCATACCCCGATCATGAGGTGAGGAATACACAAACGTAGGAGCGTCCCAACTCATCCGCTTCTAGTCAATACGTTCACGTCCCAAAATCAGAAGCTAGACGAAGCTCAGCTCCGTCAACTGGAGGAACACGAGATCAGCCAAGGTCCACTGTCAGTCCTACAGCAAGCCGTACGCAACAATGCGCAGGTACTCATCTCCTTGAGGAATAACAAGAAATTGCTAGCGCGCGTGAAGGCGTTTGACAGACATAGCAACATGGTAAGTTGAGATTTCTTCCGTATTTCATCGTTGTTCGTATTTTGCAGGTTTTGGAGAATGTCAAGGAGGTAATCTTCTCGGTCACGTCTCCACTTCCAAGACTAATGATTGACCGCACAGATGTGGACAGAGACACCAAAGGGGAAGAACAAGCAGCCCCTGAACAAAGATCGCTTTATCAGCAAGATGTTTCTGCGGTTAGTGTTCCGTTCGGCTGGGGTACTGTTTGTCTGATACCCTTCGCAGCGGTGATTCCGTCATCTTAAGTGCAATGCTATTTCTTTCACCTCGTTTGTCACCTGACCCTTTACAGTTCTTCGAAACCAGGCTTGAAATGGCCGCGTCTGGCAATTCACACCAAGTCTCGCAAATCTATCGATCATCGTGTGTGCATTGTTACACTTGCACGACTGGACCGAGAGATCCCAAAAAATTCACTGCGTATGAATGGTACAAGAGTAGCCTGTGCAAAATACGGAGCAAGTTCGCATGTAGATCGTCCACGAAATGCAAAGTCGTAATTGTCAAGAATAGTTCCTAGATTTTTGAGTGAGAAACAGCACTCGAGTCATGATCCACACCGAAGTAGTAGATTCCTGTATGCCATGCGGTTGTGGAGTTTTGAACCGAAGTATACTCGTTCGAAGTACAGGACTCAAGTCACAAGTGTCAAGAGACCCGCAGGACTTGACTGTAACTCGCGGAGGGTAGTATTTATTTTGCTTTCTATGACGCCCTAACCAGAGACATGAGGTTCGGAGAGGCGATGGAAAAGTCTAAGCTACTCACGACATCTGTCAAGTGTTTATTGCGCTCGATTTCACCTCGAAACCATGCTACTGTCTCCGAACGAGCAGCTGAATCTGGTATGGCTAGAAGAAATGGTGGCCATCTGAGCGGAGAAAAAGTTAACGACCATACATCGTGAAGCCCTTATAACCTGACGGTACAGATTTAAAACTTCTTTTTGTAAAACGAAATGCCTTGAGAGTGAGTATGCACATGGCTGGGTCTTCGCTGGCGGTGTCTTATGTGGCCAGGTTTGGTCAGCGTGAGGAGTGGTCACAACAGTCTCAGAGCCGTCCCAGCAAGCGAAGTCCTTACAGTGCTACTGCGAGGGCGAAGACCAAGTTGCAAGCGGTCAAGTTCACACAAACCTGTTCCTTTTTTCTTTTTTCTTTCTTTTTTTTTCTCTCCATAGATTTGCCATCTCTTCAGAGTTCAGACCATGTCGCTACTAGCAGAGAACGGCGCAACTGCTGTCGGCCCTTCTCAACCATCAGGTGCTGCTGTGGAATGCTTTATCGGACGGTCTCTCCAATGTCTCCCTTCAAAGTGTCGATACACCCGACCCCAAAGATCTTCCTAGTTCTGTTCTCCCCGTGCCGCGAGGCGACTCGGTACCTCGACCATTCGTCATGTATTCTCGTTTTCAGCTTCTCTCCCTCCACAAATCTCCCTTGGTAAAGATTCCAGATGGCATGCCCCTACTGAAGGACTGGTTTGGGTATACGTCACCCCTCTTTCAATAATTCATATGCTCAGTACACGTTTACAAGGATCGACAACGAGCAAAGTATCTCTAAAAAGGATTCTGAGATATCGATGGGCTCTGGTAACGCTCGAGATAGGCGGTGAGTGTGATGTTCACTCTTACTTCTGGATCTTTCCACTCACTCACGATGCTAACTGCATAGATTCCGTCGTGATGCAGACGACGGCGGTATGCGCTTACCCTGTTAATTAATTGACTGCCTGACCATTCCCAGGTCAAAATAGACCATCATTTCGGGGAACCACCGTCACACAACCATCTCAAATGGGCAACTTCAAACACCAGTCTATCCGTACTGCAGAACGCGAGCGAGAAAGAGAAGTCGACAGGGAACAAGACCGAGATTCGAAAGTTAAAGAGGGACATGAACGGCTGCGCAATGTGGGTGTTAATGCAGCAACTTTTTCTCGACTGCATTAACATCTTCCCTCTGCAGTTGTCTGACAAGTATGACCGCGACCGGCGTGCAATCTCCTCACTCTCTCAGCTACGGTCCAAAGATCGTGAAGTTACCCCTCACCTTGCCAACTCTGGGTCGCGTATCGCTGCGCAAGGCCAGCAAGTGCTGAGCGCACGTACCACTGATGGCCGAGAGTCCTCCAAAAAGAAAGATGGAGAATCCACGGAAGATTGGCGAAGAGGTTTGTCGTTTCTGTGGTGTCCTACTTTAGTATGCTGATTCACTCATCCCCTTAGGTACGGAATCGTCTCGTCCTGCAAGGGAACGTAAGTACTTTGATTTGCACCACTGGATTATTAGTGAACTTCAACAGGACCCGAGAGCGGCCGTAGGGAACGAGAAGATCGTGAGCGTGATCGCGAAAGTCCCCGCTCTAGAGTACGGGATTCCTCCAGAATGCGAAGAGATGGCGACCGGGAGAGTGATAAGCGGACTGATCGCGAGGATCGGCTTGGAGATGTAGGTTACCGGAGGGATCTGGACGACCGTGACAAGGGTTACGATCGGGAATCCGAAGCGGACGATCCCAGGAGGTGGAGGGACGATGGCAAGAGAGAGGAGCGACTGGCTGCCAGGCGTGAACGGGAATACCGCGAAAGAGAGCGCGAGAGGTCGGCTTGGGACGGGAAATGGGTAGCTGATGACCGTGATAATCGGGGCAAAAGGGCAAACGGTCGGGAGCGAAGGGTCGGCGACGACACCAAAGATCGAGACGAGCGCAAAGACCGTGAACGGGAGAAAGAACCTGCGTGGATGGATACGTATATTCCAAGTAGCAGTGGGAGTGGTTTCACTATGCAGCGCCCCGACGGTGAACTTGACGGCATCCAAGCCTTCAAGAAGGAGCTCCGAGAGAAAGAACAGAAAAATCAAGTTCCATCGAGCGACGGCGAGCCTCTTCCCGACTCCTCCCCCAAAACTGAGTTGCCGGTCCCGGAACCCGAAACCCAACTAGACGAAATCCAGCTTTTCAAGTTAATGATGAGACGAGAAGAAGAAAAGAGAAATACAGACATTCCTGTAGCATCATCGCCCCGTCCCCCTGAGACTATCGCGGAGAATGCATCATTGTCCAACAAGGATAGCAATTTTGAAGGTGTGCCCCTTCGCTTGAGGTATCTTAGCCAGACTAAGCCGGTGCCCCAGTAGCTCAAGAATCCAAGAGCGACTTTGCTACGTATCTCTCCACCTCGTCGAAAAGAGGTACACCTTTACTGAGCGTTACATCAACCGACGAAGCTGCCAGTACTGTGTCCAGGCCGCTGCTTGTCCCTGACTCTGTTTCTTCTTCACCTTCCGTTATCACAAGTGGCAACAGGCAAGAACCCCTTGAGAACCCGTCTTCTGTAAATTCTAGGCTTTTCCAAGCCCATGCAAATTCCGAGTTGGCATCTCTTCATGACAATGTGAAGCTGGCCACGGATGTTTCTACAGTTGCAAGTCAAGATGTCCCATCCAACAATGCAGTGGGATCTAGATTACTTGCTCTGGCATCCCGGTCTTTACAGAACCCCATTGGGCCGCCACGGTCTGCTGCTATGCAAAGCCCGGTATCGTTTTCACAGAAGAATAACCTCGTTCGGATGAATATGCCTGCAGGCGCCGCAGCAAATCACATACACGCTCTCGGTGACATCCCAGCACAAAATCCACCTCAGTCAGAGGTCTTATCATCTCTCAGCGGGTTTTATCCTTTCGATGAGCATCGAAACGGGACGCCCTCGTCAGATGCTATGTTCCGTCATCCGCTGGGACAGGCCATCACCGAACAGGTATCCGTGACGGAAACTGGAGCTGGTCTTCCTGGTAATACCTCAGGCCCGCCGTTAGATTGCGTTAACTTCGGACCTGCAGCGGCGAAAGGCAGTCGATTCGCCAAATTCTTCGACGGGAAGAGAGAGAATCAACCCCCGCCTCCGAAAGGGTTTGCGGGTAATTCAGGCCCTGCTTCCCAGAAGGCGGACATGGGTGTCCTACACCCGCCTAGCAACGCGGACGCCAAAGCAATGGAAGACATTTTTGCGATGCTGAACAATTCAGCCTATGTAGGTCAAAAATTCTTGCAGTTGCCGTTCGTCTCAACGTTTCCCTCGTAGGCTCAGAGGCTTAATTCTGTCCCCGAAATGCCAAACCTTGATCATCTAGGGTCGCAACCTACTAATCTTCACCCTCTACAACCTCCCCAACCCCAACCACCCACCCACGCGCGCCCAGACTCTCTATACGATAGCCTTTTAGATGACAGAAACTTTGTACCAGATGGGATGGTCCCTGGTCTCCGGTCTTTGCCACCTCCCCGTATCCGCCAGAACGCCGCAGTGTTCTCGGATGTCCAGGATGATCCTTCACAATTCAATGTTCAGCGAGGCTCCGCGCAGATGTATCAAGGTGCCATACCATCTATTCATCTACCCCATACCAATGTAGGGAGGAGCGGCACTCTCCCTGTGCAAAATACTCAGCACCGTGGCGGACCGTCACCTAACCCTCTCGCTCCCGCACAGCGCTTGCCCCCTGGCTTGGCTAACCTTGGTGGACGACCTCCCCACGATCCCAACCCGTTCGTCAACACTTCCATTGGTCTTGCAAACGGCAATATTCACGGTGGCCTGCATGGCAACGGGCCAGCTCAGCAGCCTTTCACTAACTATCAACAAGCTGCTAGCCTAGGCTTCAGTAGCGGTCCTCAAGTACGTATGCCCCACCCCGTGCACCAGTTGCAGGGTGCACTTGTGCACAACCCGTTGCAAGGACTCATTCATCCTGCCAACCTGGGGACAAGTCATGCACAGCTGCTTGGTCTCGGGGGAGCTGGTGGATATCCTGGCGGTTTGCGAGGGCCGAACGCCGGCTTTGGACAAGGGCCTCAAGGACAGCCAGCCACACATGTCATTAAGGCAACACCAGCAACCACAGCAGATTCCTCCACACATGTTACCTCTTCACTTCCAGCCGCAAGGTCTGGGCGCTGCTAACAACCAACCTGCTCACGATCTGATGTCACTTTTGATGAGTGGTGGCCGTAGGGTTGAGTAACGAACTTGTTGGCTCTTCTGCCATAGCTTCAGGACTACCGTAACCTCTGTTTCCATTTACCTGTCGTCGGATCACGCTGGACACGTTGACGTTCTTTATCGATATTGTGTTTCGACTGCTCGTTCCACTTTTCTGACTCACTCTCCAGTCGTACTTATATATGATCTAGTACAGTTTGTTACGCAGGAGTAACGTTTCTTTGTACATCCAAACTGCGAGCGATCTATAGTTCTACACGTTCTAAACCTCTCCAAATGGGGCGAAGTTCACTGTGCAGCCGTGCATCTCTCATGGTCAGATGCTGCAAGTGGTACGTACTGCATCGAAGGGTTCGCGGGTTACGTGGTTTCACATTGTCACGAGTGAAACTATGGAACTATCTTGGCTGGCGAATCCCAAGCGGTTCTAGTGGCTCCCGCGGCTTGAAACCGGTACTCTGCCCAGGTTAACTTGAGATCCTCCGCGGTTTGGGCTCGACTATCTACAGCCGCTGTAGTCCTTCGATGCGTATCCGTGCATAACGCAATCGCCCTGGGCATACCCATGTAGGGTATTTGCAACTACCGCTGCAAGGATTCTACTCGGTTGCAGCGCATGGCAGACACTGGAAGCTGTCACCGGAGATCAGGTCATCAATTCGTAATTTGGGAACCGGGTAGGTTCGATGGGCGAAGGGCGGATGATAGACGGGGGTGATAAGACGTGACTGATGGGAATGGACCCTGTGGGAGAAGTAGTTCCCAGAGACGTCACTAATTGTCGTGTGCAGTGTAATAGTTCAATTATATGTACAGACAGATAAGTATCAGTTAGCAAGATGGTACAGGGTTCGGTTGTGTTGTACGAGTGATCAGCGAGATGAGGACGTCGACGAAGACGTCGACGACGACGACGAGGGGCACCGCTCGAGGTAGCCACTGGGCGGCCGATGAGTTACTTACATAAAGCAGACGATAACAACCGCAGGATAAACCTGGCCTCGTTGCCTGCAGGCGTGCAACGTGGACTTCTTGTCACTACCAAATCAGATTAATCCCCCTCAATGAATGAATAATTTTCACCGAGAATCGACAAGGGACGGCTTGACCGCTAGAAAGAAACAAAGCACAAACCAAAACACGCCTTCCTTCCAACGCTCTCTCTCTCCCTTTCTCTCTTTGTGCGATTGCAAATTTCGCGCCCTCCTCACATTCACTCTTCAACCAAACCACTCACCCCGGTGACGCCCGTCTTGTTGACGAGTCGAAGCCACTGGAAGCGTGCCTTGGCAGCTCGTGGTGTACCACGCTCTCGATTTAAGTTCGAGTCCATCGTCTTATAGTTGTTGCGCTGTGTCCCACTTCCAAACACCCAACTCACCCGTCTCTCCTTTTAACTGTCTCTCCTTCTGCTATCCATTCGTAACCACTTGCATTGCAATAATCGTCACTCCCGTCTGTCTTTACCCTTCTCCAGAACTACATATACCACCGCAGCGCACCAAATCGATCGACTGTGAGTTGTTCGCACTAATGTATTGATCATGATCAGCTGAAGGGCCGCTACAGCAAACTCCTTTTTTCTTGAGTACGGCGGTCAATCCTCGCTTACTGGAACCCGAATTCTAGTTATCTGACTGACCTATAGACACAAGCACATTACACGAGATTCGTCTGCACTACTTAGGGTGAGTCGATTTTCCTGACACGACGTCATTTGTGAGCTCGCTGTAAAACGTGGACCGTGGGAAGCACCCGCCCAAGCGGGGGGTGCCTTGGCGGTTGATGGTCTCATGGGTGGGCGTAGAAGCGGCCATTGTTCCTTGCTGTCTTCCCTTTTGCTGGCAGAAGGCATACTCACGTTATTGGGCGCGTCCTATACGTTGGAAGGCCCACGGGCAAAGACATCCGAGGGATTTGTCTCAGGTTCCTCAATAATGACCGACTTGACAGCTTTGCGCTGTCGTTATGTATATCGAGTTTTTCCATGCAAGTTTTTATTATTTTATCCTTGACTTCTCGCTGCAATAATTTCGCCGAATTTTCCTTTTTCGATTTCTTCTTTTATAATAATACCTTCCGACTTTGACGCGGCCCTGCGTTCCAACACCAAGCACTGCTTCCAGCGGTTCTCTTCTATGTCTCTTTCCGTTCACTTTTCTGTTCACCAAACCCGAGGCCTGCCTTTCCTAGCCTTCACCCCTCCTTATACCCTGACTCCGGATCATCACGCTGACCACGACTTCATTATTACCAGTCCATTCGCTCGCGACTCGCCACTGCCACCCACTTCCGTTTGCTTTCTACTCGTCGTTCCCTCGGTGCGCGAAACTATATTGCATGACCATTATTCCCGTTGTAGTAAGTCGCCTATCACCCATCGTCTACCCTCCCACGTCAGACGGATCAAATTGGCACTATGAGTCTCTGAAACCTTTGTTGGGCATCCGGAGTGCCTCTGCGCGAGCTTCTGTTGCGCTCGTGCTAATGGCGCTTATGTGCTCGGCCACTTCGTATGTTGCTTGCTGACTACCCTTTCCTTCCTCAGTCGGATATTGGTCAAACGCGCCCAAAGCTTGATTCCGCTGCCACTCAGTCATGAAGGACATCTCCATATCGTCTTACCGAAGCTCTCGAAATGTGGCATATCCGAAGAGACGCCCATCGCCCTATGGTATCTCAAAGTCCCACAAAACTCCCATTCTCGGACCTCCACCTGCTTGTAGGCTGTCCACCTACTCTGCGAAGTCTACTTTCCTCCAGCAAAGACAACGCGAAGCGCAAATTACCGCTCTGAGGCGTCAGGGAGTACTTTTAGAAGAGGAGTATCGTGAGGACATCCGTCTCTACATGCACGAAATGGAGGTCAGTTAAGAGCAGAGTCTCCAACACAGTCGTTGATTTCAGCGGTAATCCCGCTATCAGAGATACACCATGTCATCTTCTCAATCTATGGATCAGCAACCTGAAATCCGATGGCACATGCGTCCATGTCTGGTCGATTTCCTCGTGGAGATTCACTTTGCGTTTCGCCTCCGACCGGAAACTTTATACCTTACCCTGAACATCGTGGATCGCTACGTGTCGCGCCGCATTGTGTATATCAAACACTACCAGCTTGTCGGCTGCGCCGCCCTTTGGATCGCTGCCAAGTTTGAAGATGCGAAGGAACGCGTTCCCACAGTCCAGGAATTAGCACAGATTTGTCGTGAAACATACGATGAGTCTGCCTTCATCCAAATGGAAGGGCATGTGCTTGCAACCATACAGTGGACACTCGGCCATCCAACCGCAGAAGCATGGCTTAGATTGATGTGCTGCGACCCTTTCATTGAAGAAGAAAAAGTGCAACACGTTGCCCGCTTTCTGATGGAGATAACGCTGTTTTACCGCGAATTCGTCAAGTACACGCCATCATCGATCGCGCTTGGTGCCCTTACCCTCGCCCGTTTCCTATGTGGCAAACCTCGTCGTATGTTTGAGGAGACGAACGAATGCAGGGAGATTGTAGAACTGCTCGATAATCGGCTAGCCAAACGTGTCAATGACCTCTCGGAGACTTTGGTGAAGAAATACTCATATGCATTCTATTCCAAGGCGGCAACGTTCGTTCTCCAGTTTTATCTCCAAGGCGGGCGTTTCTCGTGGCACCACTTGGTGCCATTCCCCGTTACTCCGACGCGTTCTTCTGTTTCTGGTACAAGCACGCCGATATCTGATACCTCCGACGAATTCCCCCTCACACCAACGAGCCCTGTCTTGTTTTCGTCAGACCCGTTCTCGAGTCCCCTTTCATCTGACGACGATAAGGAGAATTTGCCCTCTGCGTTTGAACCCGTCCTCAACAAACAACGTATGGAGGTCCCACCCGATCACTACCTTCCTCACGAATATCTCACGCTCAGTCGACCCGCCCTGCATAATTTGAACGGTTCTCCTCGGGTGACTACTGTATCGTAAGGGCTCTACATCTCCGACCCATCAAGAAGCTCTTCATTCTCAAAATGTAATACCACCATACACTGCCCAGTTCATCTGCGCACTTGTCTTTGCAACTCAATCATCCATGCATTACCCTTGCAATCGTCTCTTTCTTGTTATAATTCCCACCACCGTTAGCGCAGGACTTGAGCAACGACGAGGAGCAGAGCCGGAGCGAGCCTTTATTCAGTTTGCCAAACGCTGGATACTCCCTGTTTGTCACTTGTTCCATCCGTTTCTCGGACCCTGTGTATCCGACTATTGTCATAAGTCAAAGCACATTCATTTCTGTCCCTTCTATGCACACATCGTCTCTCGTCGTCCCTTTTATTTTTCGCTGCATTTCTCCTCGCAACGAGGCCGACAAACCTGTTATGGTGTTTATCGCATTTGTTCTATATTATTCTTCAATTTATCAAAGTCGGCCGTTTGGCTCGTCGCGAAGTCCTTTCTTCTACCTTCTTTACGCGGTCTCGCTCTGTAGCTCCGCCCGACCAACTTTTATTACTCTTAGTTGGTACTTTCTGCACCGTTGTTCCACACCCCAACTTGTCATTGTTGCAGCAAACCTCGCATCCCCAACCCGCAATCGAACTGTCCTTTACAATACCACTTGTAATCCCTGAGTCGTTTTCTCTGGCTGTTCCTGCATATGTGAATGTGATCAGTCATTTACCCTGCACAGCAACCGTGATCCTAAGGAACGCCGGATCAGTGTGGCTCCCCACGATCTGAGACCCGTGAGATACACTCGGGTACCCTTGTTCCGAACATACATATCATCTGATCGATTGACGTTTTACTTACCTTTACCCGTGTGCGATGTCCGCCCTTCAGTGAAGCCGACCCGAATGTCTTGTTACCTATAGTGGTTAAGATATTTATCACGCCTGCGCGCTTAAGGCCTCAATACTTGAGAGCGCGTTGCCATAAGAGTTTCTAAATGGATTACATCGATGTTCCGGGAATAGTTATACGTTTATTTACCGCATTGTAATGCCAGGCGGACAAAAGGCAGGGAAAAGCCAAAGACCAATTTCATGGCCTGATCGACCTCACCCAATGTTGTGACGTCGTCGGGACATGTAGCGCCCAAATATTCGTGCTACTAGCAAGGATAGAGACATCGGAACTCCAAAGATCTCACCCGCTATTGTTCGTAATAACGCACAGTGCAAGAGTAGTCTCAGGTTGTCTATAGTGACAGTTGACGGCGCACCTGACTGTATATATGGCCGGCAGACTCATCATCTAATCAGACATTAGACAGAATCGGACGCTGGGTCTCCCTACGATTGATATACTGGACCGTCTGGCGCCGGGCCGTTACTTGCCTTTTAAGAGGCACCACCATGTGACAACCACGTGTTCTAATTTGTGACGTCACCTACTGGTTGTGCGTGCCATCCACGCGCTTTAGCAAGAGATTTTGGGTGTTGCCAGTGAGGGAATGAGTGGTGCGTGGAGGCCGTGGCGCTAGTTGGCTCAGAAGCGGCCCACGTCGACTGCGTAGTCACAGCCAGCACATCGTGCCGGCCTGGTCAGCTCTCGCTACGACGTGGCGAGTTCCCCCCATCCACCGCGTAGCTAGTCAGGACCTGAGGTAACCGCCCACTTTACTTCGTGCAAAGCACGTTTTTTCGTAACAACACTCATCTCCCCATTGTACTTTTTGCCACCCGTTTACCTGACGTTTTCCAACCTGCTTGAGCTTTGTCAAGGGATATCCGTGCCAGTTGTCCTGGCGGTACTGCCACCCATCCTGGTCATCCATCACGTTCATCATGCAACCTGCGACGTCCGACTCAGGTTTCGTACCGAGGAAAGAGTTCATTCGTGACCAGCGTACCAGATCCGATTTCGCTCTCTTAGCCATTTCTGGCTCCAGCTTCATTAGGCTCTACTCCTTTTCCCCCGACGTCATCGTCGATCTTCGTCGTCTCTTCAACCATTTCTTTCTGAATGCCGCTTCCCGTGAGGACAGCTCCCAGAACCTTTTCGAATTCCAGCTTCATGGGAAACCATGGGCTTCTCCCAAGAGTGAACGCACGGAGCGCATTCTGCTAGACATACTCGTCGTAATTTACAAGCACGGATACACCATTCTCTCCACTATTAACTATGGTCGCGAACGTGACGACCGTTTAGCAATATCCTTTTCTAGGCTTTCAACTTCCCTGATAGTTCCACCTCATTCGCCCATCCCCGCTGGTTCCGGGAGCAACCTGTCACACACTACTCCGAGAAACGAACGCAAGATGCTCTTTGCAATCTCTTTCGTCTCCAGCACGGTCGTGCGGGTCATTTACCCACCACTAAATTCTACACCAGCTATATTACAAGCCGTGCGGGGGTCTTGGCCACGAGGCGTTGTATCGGAGAGGAAAGTTAGTGAAGCAGCATTTGAATTCAAGCTCAAGGGTTACAGCTGTGTGTATTTATTCTGTATCTTCCCGTTGATGGTTTACCAATGCTGTTTTTCCAGGGTTCAACGAAGACACGTTTGCAACGGATTCTTTACAGCAAATCCTTTCAATTTTGTCGTCCCTGGATGAGCATGCTTGCTCAATGATAACTTCTCTTTCCTTCAATAGCCACTCACGGGTGAAGGATTTGTGGGTTTTCACGGGCCCGGGATCTGCTGATTCATACGAGCAGTACTGGCCAGACTCGCCTGTTAGCCAGTCGGGTTCCATGTTAGACGTACGGCGTTCAAACCGTGCATCAACACCGGACCAAGCATTGAATCCAGACCCGGGTATCATACCATCTTCTTTACACAGACGAGCTGCTACTGTGTCACAGCACCCGGCACATGTATATCCGCACTCTCAGTCTACAGCGATGTCACATAACCGGGCGGCCACGGAAGCTAATATTACTCTACCTCCCTACTCACCGACTCTGCCGCTCGGCTCACCTCGCGCAGCTCCCGGGAATGGCATACGCAAGCCAGCACCTAGAGCGCAAGTACCAGTTTCCGTTGACTTAGACGCGCATGACGAGGATGAACACCTGCGCTATCGAACTTCGCTGGCTTCGGTTGTGCCGAGCAGCTGCGAGAACATGACTGGCATTGGAACCCTCCATCGGAATAGACTCAACCCCAACACCAGCCCGGCAGATGTGTCAGGTACAACGAAAATATCTGATGACGATGACGAGACTATCCATCTACACCAAGAAACTTCACAGTCAGCTGTACCCCCCCACCGTATGGCGAACGCCCTACGACCTCAGTCGACGCGTTCCAAGACCCCACCACTTTTTACATCACATGCACGTGATGCTCGCCCTTCTACTAGTGACACCGAGGGCATGTCTCAGGTCCAAGACCATGTGGTCACTGGCGAGAATGCACCGCTTCTTAGTCCAGGGATGTTCCGCATTCGGGATTCTGCGTTTTCAGCTAATTCTGTCGGCACATCGGGTTCGTGTGAAGTCCCCATCAAGTGGTCGGGCCTAAGTAGGCCTGAGGGCATCGGAGATATCGAGGAAGAGCCAGACCAATATTACGAAGATTCCGGTTCGCGGCACGTCTCGCCGCCTCCCACACTACCTGGTGCGTGGGGAATGACATCTGATCAGGAACAGCCCATGCCGGATGGCGAGGTATTTCACCCGCATAAACCTACCGTTCGTCAGCGCCGCAGGAGTCCAGATAGGTCTGTGCATGATGTCGATGCCCGAGTTGCGTCTCCAGAAGTGATTCGCGAGGATGCGGTACGCAAAAGCGAGACTGGACTAGTAGGGGTGATCTCCGCACAACCGCCGCAACCAGTTCCTTCACCGATCTCAATGCCATCGAAAGAGAGTCTCGGGAGGACTAAACGAGGTTCGGGTGGCCCCCCGGCGTCGCCTACTAAGACTGGCAGTCGAAGCGGAAGTACGGACCGTTGGGTGCTTGTTAACCTCGAAGGAAAAGATCACATGGGACATATGCCCTCGCCGCTAGCAAGTCCCACTATTCCGCAGGCAGCCGATCGGAGCCGCAAGCCGTCAGCGAACGTGGTGAGTCAAGTTCGCGGGTCATCACCAGCCAAAGCTGCTGTCGTCAGTGCCACGGACGGCAAGAGTGCGAGAGACAAAGGGTCGGGCTTAAGGCGCCTACTGTCACTTTCGCTCTCTGGGAAAGGAGCTGAACTCAACGACGACGCGCAGTTCACGGCCAATCGACCTCAAGATTCGACATCAAACGGTCCCCGCAAGGGGCCGGTACGCTCAGGGCGCTTCCGGAACAAGCTCTCTCGTTTCGGCACTGCGGAGACCCCCACGAAACCTCCAGACAGAGTACGCGTCAAACTCGACTGATGTCTCATTCATTCACGGCATCTCCTTATTACCCTTACTTGTGAATCGTAGTTTGATCTTTGATTGTAGTCACAGGGATACCTACTGTCGTTCATCTACTCCTCTACGTTTTTTTTAATTGCAGTTTCCGTGTTTGCAATTACAGGGTCGAAGCCAGGGGATTACGTAGTCATGCCTTCGCCACGTGGAGAGAGAGGTCACATGATACAAGGACGGGAATGCAACGCAGGGAAGAAGACATGCAACGAATGAAAAGTTTAGGCAGTTATATGAAGAAGTTTCAGTGCTTGCAGGGGTGTTCATGCAAATGACTGTAGAGGAAAATCAAGCCTGCGGAACAATAGGCATGGACGTAGCAGAAAACGGTGCGCAGTATGGAAGACGCACTATCTAGGTGCAATCGATAGACACAGACCATCCAAGGCATGCAATTGCCTATGACGAGGTTGTGAGCCTGACGACGGCAAAATGTAATGGGTCTGGAATCGATTTGGTTTGAGAGCGTGTGGTGATTCGCAACCGCCACGGGGTAGGCTAGCAGCGAGCGGCTCTGTCGCGATGTTGGGCAGCATTGTGGATCGGGGACGATGGAGAGTAGGCAGGATTTTGTTACATTGCCAGGGAATGGCATAGGCAAGGAGAAAGGAGGGCCGATGTGGCGCGTCTGCTGGTCGGAGGCAGAGGTTGCGAAAAAGTGCACAGGGACGGGTCTGTACAGAGGCGACACGTCTTCGTTTCCTCCCTATTAGCCACCCGCGCGGCCATTCCCCTCCTCCCCCCATCCTCTCTCCTCTCACTCGCCATTCCATCATGCCAACATGCAGGCGCAAGCGTGTCGTCCTCACAGAGCCATCCCAAGCCCTCCTGCAGGTGGCAGAAAACAACCCGGACAAGGATGTTTACTATCTCCAACAAACAGGAGAGATCTTTGAAACATACGAGTACGTCCCGCCCAGTTCCCTGTCATCCCCAACGGTCTCACCGTCCGCCAACTCCAACTCAGGGCCTATGCGGCGAGGATGTCATTCTACAGACTCAAGCAGTTCCAATGTGAAGTCACCGGCAAAAGTGGCCTCGACTACTTTCAGGCGCTCGAAAGTGAACAGCAAGAGGCGCAGACAATGCACTCCAGGTTCCCCGAGCCACTGAAAGCTGCAGTACTCAGGGCTGTCCAATGGCGTCCGTGGTCTCCCAGCCTACCTTGCCCGTTCCCCAACTCACTGTGTTTGGCCTGTCTACAGAAGTTGTCGGCCGTCTAGATCATCTCGTGGAAGCCGTTTTTGACCGGTTCAAGGACCGCTACTTTGCAGACGAAAGTGAGTCATGCATTCTGTGTTGGTTTGGCCGTACGCTCAATGCCATCCTCAACTCAGAGGTCTATGTCGACGTTCAGGGCGACAAGTGAGTACCACCTAACCATCTATGTCATCCTACCTGAGACCCTCTAGGTTCTACGCCAGGATCCTCCACGTTTATCCGCCAAAATCCGGGCCCAATAACATGGACACCGAGAAACAAGCTTCAACATCCACCTCCCCACCAGTCTGCACCCTTGAAGAAAGCACACAAATACATAAGATTGGCGGAGACCTCAAGATTCCTGCCAAGGAAGCATTGGCTCTAGACGACCCGCTCAAATACCTTTACAAGGTTCAAATTCTCGAAGAACAGCATGACAGGAGTCATGAGAAAGGCAAGCTTTCGTTAAAGGAGAAAGTGAAGTGGAGCGGCAGTGTGATGGACGTTCAGTGTACGGTTATGAGGTGAGCATGGCATCTTTCAAAGTCGCTTGCTTTGGCACTCGGCTCAACCTCCTATTGACAGTCGTGATCGCCTTGCATTCTCCAAGTCGATCCTCCGACGGTTTATCCGTGACTGTGTGGACCGTGATGCCGCAGTGGCCTCACCATGGACTGTGAAAGAAGCCGTTGCGAAGCATTATGGCGTCGATTCCGTGATGCCAGAAGAAACTCGAAAAGGAGTGGAAAATATCAAACGCGGCGAAATCGACAAGCGTAAAAAGGCCTGGGAGGACAAAGATGGTCCCCCGACCAAGAAGCAAAAGAAGATGACAGCAGCACAGGAAGAAAGAGGTGAGTTGTATTATCTATTGCTGTTACCTAGAAGTGTTAACGCCGTTTACTAGTGAAGGCTCTTGCTGCCGCTGCGGAAAAGCGGGAAAGGGAGGCGCGGGAGAAAGCAGAAAAACAGAAGGCGAAGGAGGAGGCTGAGCGACTCGCAGCCGAGAAAAAGAAGAAAAAACCTATTCGTTACCCAACCGAAGATTTGGACGTCCACATCTCCGAGAAAGACAAAAAATCCGGCGTGAGGGTGAAGAAGCCAACTCCTAGTCGAACCCTTCTGCCTTTCTCCGAGGATCCAGCCACATTTGAGTCTTTCCTCATGGCTTGGAATTTCCTCGTCGTCTATGGGTGAGATGGATTTCCTGTCCATTTACTCCAGTCCCAAGCTTATTGATCTATCACAGTCAACCCTTGCATCTCTCTGCACTTACCATGGATGAATTTGAACACGCGCTTCGGCATTCTGCCGCAGAAACCTCTTGCGTCATGCTTGGCGAGATTCATTCCACGCTGATTTACAACCTGCGTACCGTACCTTTCAACCGTCATAGTGCAGTCCTTTCATTGTTACGCATGAAAGATGTACTCGAAGAGAATCACAAAGTGTTCGGTGTCACCATCGAGCAACTTACAGCGGTCATGGCAGACGTCGGAAACAACTGGGAGCGTGTACCCCTTCGGCATGCAGACTTTAGGAATGGTTGGGAGGATGCACTACTTGGATGTCTTAAGGACGTAAGTCCGTGCCTTCCTCACTACTGCGACTTTTTTCATTTCTTCCCCAGCATGCCACGACCAACAATTTCCCGCGTCTCCGAGAAATTCTCACGAGATTACTTTTCGCCCCTGAGACCAACTCGGAGTCTTCAGCTTCTTCCTCCAGTTCCCGAGTATCAAGCGCAACCCCACAGGTCTTATCTATTGCATCATTACCCAGTGAGCGTTATCATAGCCTACCGCCCGCCGATCGTATTGCAATCTTGGCGTTCATGTGCAACCTCGCCGTTACCAGCAAGGCAATCCATGCTCACATGGATGGTTGCGAGGAACAATTGACAGCATTACGCAAAGAAAAAATTGAGGTTAACCGCATGAAGAAACAGTAGTAAGTTTCACACTGCTTTGTCATCGTTTCCTGGTAACATTAGGTCCTGCCACAGTACCGAGGAGATGAACGCTCTTTCAGGCGAAGTCGAGGCCAAACAGAACCAGACCGTTAATGGTGCAGAAGACAGTATCGCACAGGACCTGAGTGACCTATCGGATTCACCTTCGGAAGAAGGCTCAGAGACTGCATCTGTCACCAGTGGTCGGCGAAAGAGTTCTTCACGCCAAAAGGACCTCCGCCAAAGAGCCCATACTCAAGCACACTCGAAACAGCGAGAGATCGCACGTGCCAAAGTTGCCGCCGAAAAACAGGCACAAGCTGAATATCGTAGACTCGACGAAGAAGTCAACAAGATTGAGCGGCGACTTGAGGCGATCGAGCGGGAATTCCGCAAGTTGCTTGGAGCAATTCGGGTCAAACCGTTAGGAAAGGACCGATTTCACAACCGTATTTGGTGGTTCGACGGTCTCGGTTCAGCATCACTTCTAGGAAGCGGTGGTGTTGTTCAATATGGAGCTGGAAGAATATTCGTGCAAGGACCAACTCAGATGGACGTAGAGCTGATGTCGAAGCATGATGATGACATAGACACTCGGAGACAAGAAGAAGAAGGAGAGGGCATGCTGACTCCTAACGAATGGGCCGTGTATACAGAACCAGAAGAGGTACGCCGAGTTTGCATGAGACTACATTCTGGACTGTACTCATGTCATGTAGATCGAAGAGTACGTGGCCTGGCTTAATACGAAAGGCATTCGAGAACTCGCACTCAAAAATGCCATGATGAAATGGTGGAACCACATCGCTCCAGGAATGCGTAAACGCCTCTCGGTTTGTCCCGCATCCCATTTCCTTGTTTACAGTGCTCACTTTCCTTAGGACGTTAACGTTACTGCCAGACTACCAGAGGCACGTCGTTCGACACGAGTGAAGCAAACAAGTGGCCACGATATTTCACGTGAACCGTACATGATGTGGACTAATCGTCGAGCCGTAAACTCGTCTTGATGTCGGTGGTCGTGGGACTGTCCATTGTAAAGTCTCGCCGAAGCATTGGGATGCTTTCGTGCCTCTCGCATACACTTGCAATGTGCCTTTTCTCTCAACTATCACATGCACCCAATAGAGTAGCACACAATACAGTGAGTATTTATTTTATAGTTTGACTTTGACTTGGCGTACCAAGATACCACTGTGCGCAATGTAATCCTGTCGTCCTGGTTTTACCTCCTTGCAACTGAGACGATCCCCACGTCGGCATGCCGCGCTACGAACAGTTTTGCAGTATCAAGGATTAAACCATTAGGGGGCGTTCCTGCGTCAGGCAGTCTTACGAACCTTTTTGGCTTCTGTTGAATTCGAGCCTTTTCCGGCTCATGGAACAGTCAAGTCAACTGTGTTTGTGGATTCAACCTTGCCCCTGCTGGAACACTGAAAGTACGTAAGACCAGGCACAGATAAATTCTAGGCTTGCGCGACTTCTTGCAGTCTTCTTGCAGTGTCTTCAGCGGACCGGCACTGAAATAAGGCCTCGTAGCTTCTGACGACTTGGATGCCCTCACTAAGCTATTTTGTCAAATCCTTCCAGAACAACCCAGTTACATAGTGCAATGATGAGTTGCCCGAAATGACCCTTGTTCGAAATTTCGACGGTGTTATACATAAAGACCACTTTTCGCGTCAGTTAGAGTCTTAATCCCCAGTGAAAACTGTGTAGGATTGGGTGGGATGGGAGCTGCTCCATCCGGATTTGGTCAGAATTCGTCCGTCGGAATCGGGCGAAATAGGATTCTTGCCAACAATTTCATATTACATGTAACACTTCTGTAACACATTACATGGTCGTCGTAACACAAGAAGTACTCATACAGCGTGATTGCATCAATAACGCACACCGCACTGCGTGCATTCATTATGTCAGTCATACTGACGCATCGCACTGCTCACTTTGTCTTGTCGATGTAATGCGATGCGATGGTACATACAAGTCTCGGAAGTCCTGTAAGGTACTAACCATATACTCTGCAGCACTTCCCAAGTCGACCAGATACCGAAATCCAAGCGTGCTCGGCAAGCTCACCATGCTCTAGTAAGATCTGGTACAGGTGTAGCAGATGGAGTTCGAGGACACGCTAAACGGGCACTGTTCACACCAGGAGGTATGTCTTTTATATACTCTTCAGCTATGCTTGGTTTACAGGCCCTTTAGACAGACGCTTCTACCAGCACTGGTTCAAATACACCTGGAGAAGTGAGTATTCCTGTTTTATGGTCCCAGATTCTCACTGACTCCTGCAGATGGGACTGAACTGGTCTTCAAATCTCCCAACAGGATTCTAACTGTGAGAACACCTCTGTGACAGGACCAGCTGACGATAACCCGCCTCAAACACCTCCCTGAGAGCCGTCTCCACCCCCCCTACCCGGAGAGCCAGCAAACTCTCCTCCATGGGTGCTGTCTCCACCTCCTTCACCTGGAGAGCCAGCAAACTCTCCTCCACGAGCGCCATCTCCACCTCCTTCACCCAGAGAGCCTACAAACTTTCCTCCTCGAGTGCCGCCTCCACCTTCCCCACCACCTGCCCATCAGAATCTCTCTACCTCCCGTGTGACTATTGACATTGATGCTCTCAGGCGCCTTGCTATCAATCCCAAGCAAACTGGATGCCATCAAATTCATTGATCTTCTCACTGAAGCTTCACTGGACGATCCTGTCGTGAAATTAGATGATGCAGCTCTCTATAGGCTATGCAATCCTGCCCCGTGCTCGACTCACAATAGACGATGATGCTATCTGTTTTGGGATTGAAACATACTTCGCACTCGAGCACTCTGCTATCAGTGCATATGAGTCCATACAACGATCAGCAGCCTGGTGTTTCGATGGGACTGCCACAGATATTCCTAGTCATCACACCATCGAGAAGCTCATTGCTGGGTACACGGGGGTTGACTCGATCGAAGCACAATATGTGTCCAGATACCTGTGTGGCCTTCACTGGCCCATATTCTTCACTTGACATGTGCCCCATATGTGGTGGAGATCGCTACGACTGTATCAGACTATGCACTAGTGGGGGGAGGTCTCGCATGGCCCATCAGAAATTTGTCACCATACCACTTGGCCCACAGTTGCAGGCTCTCTGGTGCGATCCACAGCATGCCAAAGATATTGGGTATCTGTGAGAGGAGACATGTTGCATTCAGGAACAGATGCAGGCTAGCGGTGGTTCGATCGAGTTATTTGATGACTTTTGCAAAGGCTCGGATTACCTTGAGGCCGTCCAGCGGGGTGATATCAAATCAGACGACATGGTTCTCATGATTTCGCTCGACGGCACTCAGCTCTATGAAAGCAAGGAGTCCGACTGTTGGATATACATCTGGATCGTTATGAACCATGCCCCAGACAAGCGCTACAAGAAGCGCTATGTCCTGCCAGGCAGCTTTATTCCAGGTCCCAACAAACCAAAGAATGTCGACTCCTTCCTCTTCCCCGGTATCCACCATCTCGCTGCGCTACAAAACGAACGTTTACACATCTGGGATGCATCTTGAGATATTACCTTCCTGTCAGACCTGTATCTTCTCTTTGCGACGGCCGATGGCCTGGGACTTGTCTACTTCAATGGGATGGTGGGACATAGCGGCCGCAATGGCTGCAGACTCTACTGTGGACTCCACGGACGCCACAAGGGCAATCACTACTATCCTGCACTACTACTCCCGAACAACTACAATGTGGAAGGTAGTGATCACCCCAACTGCAGTCCGTACGACATCCAACAACCTGCGACATCTGAATACTTCAAAAATCTCTGCAACTTGGTCACCGCCCGCAATCCAACACAGTACAAGAAACTACGCATGGAAACTGGGATTACCAAGCCCTCGATCCTTCTCGGTCTCAATCCTTCCCACACTGCTGGGCATCCCAGACTGCCTTACCCCCTGATATCATGCATCTCGCAGGACTACTCTCAGATCTACATCTATCGTTGTGGCATGGTACCATCGACTGTACACCCCCAGACCATGTCTCCCGAATGGCCATGGGCCATCCTCAAGACCTCCGAAGCCTGGGAGACACATGGTGCTGCTTGTCTCATCTGCCGCACAGCACCTTCCCAGGGTCATTTGATCGGAAGCTGCACAACCCTGCTGAGAAGATCTCTTCTGGATACAAGACATGGGAGTTTCAGCTGTATATGTTCTGTCTTGCACCCGCGCTACTTTATGGAGTCCTGGGGGAACCAGTATTGGCACAATTACTGTAAGTTGGTTCACGGATTTCAACTCATATGCCAGAACAACATCACCCGGTCCTGAACTTCGTGATTCCCATCTTCTGCTTACTGGAGTGGCCACTCGATTTTGAAGAACTCTACTGTCAGCGCTCTCCCTCTCGACTCCACTTCGTTAGACCATGCGTACACCAAGTCGCCCACTTGACACAGCAGACAGTCAAGAAAGGACCTCCTAGTTGCTATGTGCAGTGGGCCATGGAGCGAACGATTGGCAACTTAGGTCAAGAAATCCAACAGCCATCAAATCTGTATGCCAATTTGTCTTGTGAGGGAGTCCAGTGCTGTCAAGTCAACGCGCTGAAGGCAATGGTACCTAGCCTGTGCCCTGACAAGCCATCCTTTCCATCGACAGCTGTTGAGCTAGACGACGGATATGTCTTGCTCCACAAATGTGATCCACATCTGATCTCTCCAAAAGGGCTTGCAGCGAGGGCGATCTCGCATTACTTAGGACATGCATCCGACATCAAAATACATCATTGGGCCCGCCTGCATCTACCCAATGGACAGATCGCCCGAACAGCATGGAGAGAGCTACGACAACCACTGGAGCAAATACGTCCGGCTCGCTTTGTGAAGGTAAGTATCCACTCATTTAAATGATCATACGCCCTAATTATATCTCGTAGTTCTTACTCGAAGGAAGTACATATGTCACCGAGGTCCAGTACTTCACTCGCCTCGGAGTTCAAAACAAAGATCCCAGCTGCACATCTCGTTGGTTTTGGAAGAACATCACCATTGTTAGAATGTTCTCGCCCCCCGATGCAAACCTTTTCTCACTCTCGTATCAGACAGTCTTCACATGCCACCCTCTAGACGAGGATGTGCATGTCATCGAAGTCAAATCGATCACAGGTGTTGTCGGGATGGTGCCGCATAACTTTTGAGGATTAGGCCATTGCTTTTTTATGGTAGAGCGACCCGGGCTTGACATCGCTACATATGGTGTTCCATATGAGGGGGAGGGCGCACAGGAGGATATGGCTGACGATAACAATGACAACGAGACAGATTCCGTCGATTAGTACTTAGTGTTTTTAGCTGCTGTTACAGTCCTTATAGTCCTCATCGAAATGGATGGCTTCTTGTTCACTTTTCACACACCGTATCACTTCAGAATCCATAAGAAGTTGACTAACTGTTATGCCCGAGCGCGGTGACTTCTTCAAATGGAATAGGCACGAAGCGCGCGAGGTGGGAGACTACGGGCCGAACTTGTCGTAACCCCTATGGCTGAGTTATTGCGAGAATCCGACAGAGGTTCCTTCTGCTGGCGAGTCCCTAAGGTTGTTCGCACAGAGAGGGAACAAGGATTAAAGCAAAGTGATTAGCTCAGTTGCAAGCTATCGAAAAACTGAGGATACACTGTAAAGTACGTGGGTTTATATACCCCTAAGTACGAGTACCCTAGCAGTCACGACGCGTATCCGCAGTAATCAACAAACTAATCACTGAAATAAATATGAGTCAAGCGGTGTCAAAGATGGGGTAGGCAGGCAACGAAGGCTATACCGGCTGCGCCATCTATGCGCAGCAAGGAGCCAGACACCAGAACTATAGTACAACATATGAGCAATATAAGTGAGTCAAGGAAAGGGGAAAGTAGACATCTCCTCAGCGACGACGGCGATCACGAGAGCGGTGAACGTCACGGACGGATCACAGATGACGAGTCTCGACAGGTATTGGAAATACCTGGACAGCGGGTGATCCAAGGTTTCCCCATAGCATCCGTACGCCTAGAACGACCACGACCACTAGGGACACGACGAGGCACGTGATGCACGTGACCGCGAGAAGCCGGAAAAGGAAAGAACGGGAACGGAAGCATATCACTAACTATCATTACAACGCTTCCTCTAGTTCACTCTTCCAACAGCGTATCATATCAAAATTCTTATCTTTTCCCTCCCGGTCATACCACTTCGA